TCATACGTATTTCTTCAATAAAAAACTATCAAGACACCTTTTTTGTTGAATTTTAGATTCTGAGTGGAGTGAAGAACCTTATGGTTTTACAAAGATGCTTATTTTTTTTAAAGGAGGTCAGTTTTCGATTTTCCAAGGGTTTTCCCAGCAAATGTAAAAAACCGGGATTAAACGTAGGAAAACTGGGAAAATCGATAAAACATTTATTAAATATTATTAAAGAAAATGTACAATCATTTTCTTTAATAATATTTGTTTAATATTGTTCTGATAATCCTCTTTTCCTTACATTTTTCTCGATTTTCCCATATTTTTTCCCAGTTTTTCATAATTGCTGAAAAACTTTTGAGAAAATCGAAAAATTATCACCTAAGTACCTTCCCAATCGAATTTCCAGAAATTTTTCAGAAATTAAGCTACTCTACAATTGATAAATCGGAACAAGATTTCTGGTTGTAAAATTAGACGAACAAACCTATGGATATTTTGCGATTGTAATAGTTCGAGCAAGCAATTGCTTGGGTCTCTAGGTACATTCAAAATGCATTTATTTTTTCCTTGTTTAGGTAAAAGGGGGGGAAAAAATGCATACAATTTGTTTCGTAACACGGATTTGAACTTACGACCCTTAGGATGACAAGATGTATGTATAACCATTAAATCAGGACAAACATTCTTTAAAGAATCAATATTAAGTCATTTAACATAACATATAATATCCGCATATCAGAACTTCAGAAAGCTATAATTTAGAAACTTAGTCAGCCCACTGAATTGTGACTTTACGATGGTAAAGTTCATAAATTGGCAATATACATATGTTCAAAAAAAAAACAAAACCAACTGAAAAATTAGATTTGTTCCACATAATTTTTTACTAATGATTTTCGTCAAAATTTGTTATTAAAATTCCTTTATAAAAAGTAATACTACATTAAACTCAAATTAATTTTTTTACAAAGTAAGACTTTTAACTAACCTCCTGTTAAATTTTCACACATTTCTGTTTAGTTTAACAATTTTACCACACAGTACCTACCAAATAAAAATTACGTATAAAACTTGCAAAATAAAATGTTTATAAATAGCCCAAAAATGGTTTAATTTTTTTAAAAATTTTACCACGTCTAGAAAAGACAAATATAAGATTTTATCTTAATTTCAAATCTTTGTGAATATTAATAACTGAATTACAACAAATAACAAAATTTAAAAATAATAAAATAATAAAAGCATTATTTTTGTGAATTTCTCGTTTTTCTTACGTTTTATTCTTGTTTTTCTCAGATATTATGAAAATCAACAACTTTCTTCGTGAGCGACTAAATCCAAAAATTAACAAAAAATACCTCTAAGCATTTGTTGATTAAAGCAACATTTATAGTGGAAAATATATTGCAAAAATTAAAAAGAACGAAATCAGTAACGCCGCGGCGCGCCGTAAATATTTGCCTTTTTATCTAAACTTTTGTTGCCGGTTTTTCCCAATTATTTTGAAAATACCCTTAAGAAAATTATGAAATAACTTCTCTAATACATCAGTTAGATAAATTTTCTTTCATTGAAAGGTGCTATATTTGATATATCGGAGCACGTTTTCTTTTCAAAAAGTGGTTTATTAACAGAAAAAGAAACATAATATGTTTATATGTGTATGTTTATTTTTTATAATATTATTATAGTTAAACCAATATTAGATCTCTCGCTACGCTCGGAATCCAAAATGACAAGAAATATCGATAAATCGATGTTTTTTTGTCGTTTTTAGAGTTGCCTTACGAGAGAAAAAACACATAACTAAAACTACTATTACTACAGTAAAAATCGATTTTTAATTGCAACGATTTATCGTTGCTTCAGTATATACCTTAAACTAGCTTATATGGCCTAACCTTTTAAATTTCCTATCTACAACTATACAACGACCTCACGTTGAAGTACGTCTAGCTTTTTATTTCTATACAATTTTTTTTTATTCTAGCCACAGTAATGAGTGTATTGGTTTTATGTGTGTCTATAAGCTACGTTTTAACAAGAAATATCGCTTCTATAGATGGATACATAAATAGTATAGACATTATACTGGAAAATATACAATGTCATTTATATGAACGTTGGTATAATAGAGTAATATAATCATTCTTACCGTATATAATCATACACATTGCGTACTCTAGTGTATTACAGAGTAAACTTCAAATGTCAATAAAGTAAATGACGTAGCTTTTCTGTAGAAATCACCAACAGATAGCTGTATTTGATATCTTCATCTTCTTTGCTTCATCGATTTTTTCCTCAATTAATCGTGTCCAATCATTTACTTCAAACTACCATCAATCCGCGACCATTTGTAAAACTACCCTTACAGGTTATGACTAATCTCTTCTCATCGCGTCATATTGGAACCTTCATGATTTTTCAGACTCTTTCTCGTGTTACCATCTATCGAAAAAATGTCTATGCTACTCCTTATAAATTCATTCCTTATGTTTTGTCCATTATAACGTGGTAATTACATCTCCTCCCTTGGTCTTTTTTTAATGTCATCTACTGTAACTAAACCATTGATTTGATATGCATAAATGTATTTTATAACTGTTACCGAATGAAAGATTATTAGTGTATATTACGACCATACTCATAACCATGGAATAAGATAATATCAATAATCTTATAATCATAATTTATTTGCGTTGCGTTAGCCAATCTGAAGGTGCATTTTTGAAATAATTGAACACATTGATAGAATGTGATCAAATTATCAAATGTAATATGGAATTTTTCGCATGAACCACTATAGTAACAATAATAAATCCATTATACAAAATATAATACAGTATTTTAAACTCAAAATGTAAAAATTATTCTTGATAAATAATAATTCGCAATACATTAATAACTATACTCTTTATCTAGACAAAAATTATTTGTATATACGTTAAAAAATAGCCAAATTTAGATCTACTATGATCCAAAGGTAATTGGTATAAACGCAAAGAAAAAAGAAATTCGAAATCTAAAACGTTAGATATTTTAAAGACCATTTAGGCCCATTGCCGCAATAACCACTCGATTTTTCTCCCTAGCCAGTGTTACTCCGTTCTAAATTCCTAGTTCTTCTTGGTCCTTATCCACTCTATCCTTCCACCATTATTTGTGACGTTCCTTTGGCCTTTTCGTACTTGGTTTCCATTCTGTAACTTGACCAATTATTTTCTACGATCTCCACACATGTCCAGCCCAACTCAGTATACTCCTTTTTAAAACACCATTGGTAGTTGCTTTTCCATACAGGCCTTTGATCACTTGGATTGTTCTTATCTCTTATTTTCCTTTGTTGTTAATTTTTGACCCATAGATTCTTCTTAATATCTTTCATTCGAAAGTCGTTAATCTGAGTTCGTCTGATTTTGTTGTGGCCCACGTACTACATACGTGTAAGGCTATTGGTTTTACTGCTTTTTCATTTGGTAAGTAAATCTTATGAAGTTTTGTTAAATTGTAATAAGCGTAATTTTAATTTTTGAAACATTTTGGCAATAAGATCTGGAGGTTCCCGATCTTCTCGTGATGCTTAGAAAATCCAGCTGCTAGTTAACTTAGCATATAGGAAAGGAAAGGATAATAAACATTTATTTTATATGTTTCGGCTGTCTATGCAGGAATATTGCTTCGTCATTTTTACCTATTTATTACTCTTTTTTATTGCATTTTTAATCTAATTGGTGAAAAAGTAATTTGTATATTGATTTTTCAAATTTTTTTAGTTATACGCATTTTAATAGTAAGTTCGCAGTATTTTTCGCTGTTTGGTAACATAATATTAATATTATTGTAACATAAACATCTATTAGTTCGTGATTAGAACATCACCAAAACGTTTTGTTTACCGTACAATATTAGAACAACGAATAACCAGTAAGTGGGCCGGAAACGAAGTTTTGAATTGTTTACTGATTCCGAAAACCTAAAGGTTGAAAAATTCGATAATTCATCAAACAATATCGCAGTAAACCGAATTACCAAAACAGTTTGTTCGCTAAACTAGTAAACAGGTTGCTCAAAATTGCATCGCCAAAACACACCTTTTGTATTATAATACAGTGAAACCTCCCTTAACGGACACCTCTAAATAGCGGACGTTTTTTCGGGGACGGATTATTGAATTTATTTATTTGTTAAAAAACATGTTTTCCTCTAAATAGCGGACGAAATTTCGGCGACCGAGAGTGTCCGCTATTCAGAGGTTTCACTGTATACTGAATAAACCGAAAAGAAATTCACCATACAATGTGATGCTTGTCAATACCTATAATTACCTGTCCATAAGATGTGGAAAGATATGGACATGACCCGTATATACCAGTCACACAAGTTGCCGAAATCTTATTCTTTAGAATCGATTATGCCACAATTTCCTATAGACGATTATGCGTTTATAGGAAATACATCTATAACTTTCTTTTTTTTTTTAAGCCCTTCCCTTGAATTTTATTTTATTTCACCCCTTCCCTTAAATCAGCATTGGATCCGCTAATGTTTTTAGATTTGAATAATTATAATTCGTTTATCGTACAATTTCCCTGATGTTTCGCCCCGCCTTCTTGTCACTACTTGATAACAAGCAGGAAAAACAGACCCGGGTTCGTCGATGGGCTGACAAACCATACGATACACCGATACACCGGTCAGTATAGTCTGCCAGTTCTTGTTTGTGGATAAGTTCAACAGTAATATCATATTGTGTATAGAGTGGGAATGCGGGGAAACCATCATCTACTCTCGCGTATTTATCTCTTATACCTACATAATATTATTACACGTATTAATATGTCGAATCGGATCGGAATAAAACTGAACGAGTTGGCATCGAGTGCAAACACTAAATCGGATCTGATCGGAACGAAACGGAATTCTTGTCAGTCGACTGTTGAGTGTTATCAAAACCACACCCGATATTTTAAAAATGAGCGACAGGCCGACATTAGCGGTGAAGAAGGATGGCGGTTACATTAGCACTTGCTGCGCTGTTGCTGATGAAGTAATAATAATAATCGAATAAACAACAATTATTGTAATAATCAAAGAAATCTCTTACAATTTTAGCTTCATGAAAATACATGACTTGAGATGAAAAAAACGCGAACAATTTGTTATAATCTATTTTTGAGTTACAAGTTAATATAATTTTCAATCTTAACAAACAATTTTTACTAAATTTCGCCCAGAATCGTTTTTCGTTTTTCAATGATATTTTTCATTGCAAACATAAATCAAAAAATAAAATAAAATATAATTTATTTTTTTATTTATTTTTAGATTTTGAGTAGAGCGAAGAAACTTATAATTTTACAAAGATGTTTATTTATTTTTTTCTGTCGACAACTTTTCTACCAGTAATTTTGCTCCAACCATTAACGATAGCAATATTTCTGAAAGGAAATTTCACTGGGAAGGTAATTGATATCTATTTATTTAATAAATGAAGGTGATTTTTCGATTTTCCCAAGAGTTTTCCTAGTAAATGTGAAAACCCGGGATAAAACATGGGAAAACCGGGTAAAACGTAGGAAAACTGAGAAAAACGGTACAACAGTAAACGAGTATTATTAAAGAAAATATACGAAGGCTATTTAATTATTTTACTATAAAATGACGTATATACTGTTGACAAAGCATCACTGTTTACTGAACTCCGCTCAGAATCGTTTTTTCGTAAGCAATGGTTTATTGTTGCTTACGGGTATACATTGAATTGTCGATAACAGTGGCTGCACCCGTCCGCATTATTCTAGGACGTCTATTTTTTTATTATTATCATTATTATTTTTTTTTTCTATTGTATCGAATGTATTTCTTTTCCGCTGGTTAATACACTGAAAATCGTGCGCATAATAATATAATTTCACGATGTGCCACACGAGATCGGGGAAAAAAAAAATAAAAAGAATCGGTCCGTTCCGGTATGTTCCGATCTGACGTGTAGCGTGCGGCAATTTTGCACGCGGTCGGCCGTGGGCCCGGTTTCGAGCTTTTCGTAATATATATTACGTCATCGGGGTCTCCGCGGGGATTCCGTGGCCGGTGGCGTAATAATAATATCGTCGTCACTCCGTGCCCGACCTCCCCCCCTCCCCCGGCACCCGCGCGACGCAATCTCGCCCCGAGACGGAAAAATTAATTATGAATAATGGAAAAGGGACCATCGCCGGAAGTGTACATGCACGTATATACAGTAATAATATTTTCATTGGAGCGGACACGGGGATGGGCGCGGCGGGACGGCGGGTGGGTCCCGTGCGCCCGAAGGGTGTGGCCGCCGCCGCCCTTCGCGCGAGCCGAGCAGGGGGCGCGCGTTTGAAAGGGGCTAAGGGAAATGTACGGCGCGCGTCCGTGGCTATTGATTCCGCGCGTGCAGTGTACGTACGGGCCGGCGGCGGCGGACGGACGGGCGCGCGTTGCAGCGACCCTCGACGCGTCCCGTTCGCGATCGTCACCCCTCGGTCGCGCGCGAATCGCGCTACCGTGGCGCGGCGACCGGGCACGACGGCCGGCGTCTTCGGGGCCCCGCGCGTTTCCCCCGGCGAAACGCTTTCAGTGGCTACGCGGACGGTTGCGTTGTCTGCGCCGTCCGGGCGACCAACGGCCACGTTGTTATTATCGCGGACGCCGCGGCGACCGCGACGACAGCCGAACACGCAGGAAACGTCCGGCGGCCGACAGATACACGCTCGTTAATAACGCACGTAAGTCCAATCCGCGATACCGTCACGGATACCGCCGAATACAATAACAACAATAATAACAATAATAATAATAATAATAATGTTTTACGAAATTTTACCTGTACAGTGTGCGCGTCTCACGCGTATATACCAGTGCCGTTGTCGACGGACAGTTGTCGCTCGCGCCGGCCGATCGCTACCGTGACCGGCCCGTTTTGTAGTACGGCACACTCTACTCGCCCGGTATGCGGTAAAAAGCGGTAATATTGCATTATAGGTTTTCGTTTCAGGAACCGGCGGCGAACCATCACGTCGACAGACACGACGACTGCCGGATCCGCGGGAACTGCCGCCGGCCGAGATCTGGTGGAGTCGCCCTGTATACGCACATCTCTGCGGAACGTTGGAACGTTGGACGACGAGAACGCGACCGCGGCGACTGCGGGAAGGTAAACGAACATTTTTGAGGAAAAACCACGGATATCGGTGTAATACATATTATGCCGCGACGACAGTGGCGGACGAGGCTATTTTCTGTTGCCGAGAACTGAATTCGTGTACTCCCCCTCCCCCTTCCACCCCAAAAAAAAATAAAAATAAATTCAAACATAAAATAAGGCGTCTTAAGATCGAGCGTCCCGAAATCCTCAAAATCCCGATTTCCACTACACCCAGTGGTTCCCAATCTTTTTTTATTCTACACCCCTCTTGTACATTTTCGAAAATCTCACATCCCCCTCTCTTAAATTATAGATTAGACTGTTAATCTGTTGTTTTCGATTGGACTGACTGTAAAACGGCATAATCGTTTTAACAACGAAATTCTCGTTATTTCACGATCGCTATATTCCCCCCGTGCAGTATGTAAATTCCCCCTGGGAGGTAGGATTATCCTCCCCCCTCCCACTTCGGTTGGAAACCACTGGCGCTACAGACTATAGTGTTTCCACCATTTCCGATAGACCGGTCTCCGCCACTGTACCGCGGCGAGGTTCTTATCGGCTCGACGAAAACCGGCCCTTCGTACTTTACAATATTATCCAATAACGACGTAGTCCCGTGTAATCATATTTTCGAATATTGCGATTTCGCTACGGGACACGGTATCGTTAGTGTTGCATACTAATAATGTTGGCCCGTTACGTTGACAGACGTCGGACGCGATTATGTACGGCGCTTTTCCCGAATCCGGCAGCATTTTTTCCGGCCACCTGTTTTCCGTTACTATGCGTGTAACAGTACACTCACTTCGACATATTACCGAATCAGAGTAATGAAAAAACCGTGTTTTTCCTATCTCTTATTGCGTCCCCGTATTTTATATATTACGTACACACACACGGGTAATAGACAATCCGGGCACACCCTTTTCGCCGTGTTTGTTTTATAAACTGCGTTTTTTTTTTCCCCCCCGCACTCGTAAAACCACTCCGATGGGCGTCGGTCTCGCGGACGACACGTTAAAAACCGTTTGATTACTGTTACAATGCACCGTCCGTTCACCTACCCGCTCCGTCACACCCCGGCCGCATCACACCACCGAGGGAGGCCATTGCACTTTGCGAGTGGTTTTTTTTTTTTCATTTTCTTTTTTGTAATTTTAATTATTACTCCGAGCGCATATTATTATCATAATTAAAAGGGCCACCGCGACCGAAAATCCATAATTCTCCAGCCCCCCGGCGGCACATTATATAATCGGCTTGCACGCGATTTACGTTCGCGTTTCTAATAATAATAATACAGTCGAACTAATCGCGCGCGAGATACGTGTCGTTTTCGATACATTTCTTTTATTTTCTTCTTCTATAATTCATTCATAACAATGCGTAATGACGTACGGTGATAAGCTTTTCACTCGGTAACAATACGCATTATTACGCGCTTATGCGGCGGTCTTAAGTTCACTTTGAACGATAATAACCGGAAAGACTATAAAAGGAAAAAATAAAAGAAAACGACCTGTGCTTTTTGAAACCGTATATTATCACTTTCTCCGTGTAAAATCGAACAGGCGGACGCAACGAGCCGACATTTTCAAATAACGTTTAGGACGGAGTAAAATCTATTTTTAAAATCGGAGGCGTCCGATTGTCGCGCCGATAATGCAATCAATGGTAACGAAGCAATACGATTTTCATATGAATGCGGTTATAAACATTATGTAGAAAACAAATTATAAAATACAAGAGAATTCTTGTAGACAGTTAAAGCGGGGAAAACTTCGAATGGGCGCTATATTTACCGAAAATTGAAAACGGTATTGTCGCAATCGCTGCCGGTCTCGTCCCACGATAAATACAATGTCGTTAGTGATTGGAATTCGACGTGAAATATCGCGTTCTCGCAAACGGATATTATAGACTTTCGGTAAAAACCGCGTGTAGGATAGGTATAGTAAAGATACATTTACCTATCGACTGAGTCCATCAAGCCGTCAAACGGAAAACACGCGGATTCGTTTCGAGAAAAACGGATGTACTTTTTAAATGATCGGCGAGTTTTTATACGGTTTTGACTTGTTACTGCCGCTGAAACACGAGAGGATAATTACGAAAACTATTTGTGTACAAAAATACTCGACGGTGAGGACTCTCGTAATCTAACCTAACCCGTGGCCCCGCAGCAAAGACCAGTTTACGCCGAAAATGAGCGGGTTTTTTTTTTCATACATCCGCAGTCCACACAGCCTGAATTTCAATTTTCTCGTGGAAAAAAGTTACACAATCGTCGAATTCAAATAAAATATATTAATTAAAATTCGTAGTGGACAGAAACGTATTCATGGAGGGCTTCGGGTTCGGAGCTACAGCCCACATTCGCAATTTTCGGAAAATAATGCTTTTCAATAAAATTAGAGCGGGTTTCGGGGCTTTGGAGCTGAATTTATGATAAAAAAAAAAATCCCGTCTCAAAAGAAAATGTCTATTTATACGTAAGTACCTGATAGTGTGGTTTTCGACTGTTCTGGTATTCTATAAATACTGAATCATGGTGTCATTTAGGTTTTTTCAATAGGAATGCAAAGATTTTGAATTTTTAACTTTTCCTCTACCAGGTTATTTATATATACCGTTTATTTTTCGAACCGGAACAATTCTTTACTCACTTTGGCGGCTCCTAAACGCGTTTCAATTTATATTTTAAAATTAAAATAAGTACTGTAATTATTTCAGAGTACAATATAACGTCGATACCAAACTACGACCATATAGTATATTTTCCATGAAGTATAACTCATTGTTGTACCGCGATTAAATACGCGTGACGTCAGTTCCGAAGCATGTTATCTTAACCGCATGGTAACGATATTAACCGCGGTAACAATCGCCCGCGTCTCGATCTCACAACTCGGACAAACGCTATAGATTCTTATAGAAGCGGCCCACGGCAGTGGTTCGATTTCCTTTCGCATTTTACGTACTTTTATCGACGACGACGGCGAAATTATAACTTTGTACGCGGGCCAAAATCGGCCGAAATAATAGTCCTCGGCCTTTAAACTACATCCGCCTTCTGTACGTTTACCGTACCGCTTAGTAAAATTATAATAATATTCGCGGATATTGCACGGAGATTCTTAATTTCCCGACGAAGAACCAAAGACTTTGAATCTAAGGATCTATATTGTTAATAGATACATAATATTATATTGATTCGTAGCGAAACCTTTGGTGTCGATTTACGATTGCCGCCGCGCCTGTTAAAACAGAATAGTTTCCACGCTTTCATTGTTCCGTCCGTGTCTATATTTGGCCTATGCGAAATCGTGCTGGGCGCCTTTTACATCCGATATATTAATATTATGCGTTGCGGAAATACACATCCGCGATCGATTATTACTGGACCGAAAAAAAAAAAATCGATAATAAAAAAAAAAACGGCCGCGTAAACTCTATTCCGTTGCAGTCGGTTTTTACGCCGCCACGAACCCTTTGATCGCGATTATAGTTTCCCGCGAGTTCTACGACCGCTCCCCCTCGGAATTCGGTGCGCGCAGAGCCGTTTACGTGTCATTATACGGAGTGATCAATCTGTCATAAGACACTCATTATCTCGGAAAGTAATCATTATTTCTACGATTTATTTTCCAGAACATTTAACAAACAAGCTGCTCTACAATTTTGAATTTATGTTATGTTTTTTGTCATCCTTATTTTTGCGGATAAAACCACTACCTACCTTTCATTTTCAAATGGCGACCTATAATAAAAATTCCATAAATGGATAGAGTATTGTTTGGAATAAATTTCAGTGTTGCAATGTTTGATTTCCGTCAATCAGTTGACGAGATATTTTACTTTTAAAGTTTGGGTCGGGGGAGAGTGGCGGTTCGTTATTAACACGCCGCGCGCCGTACCGCCACACAAATGATACTCCGCTACTGTCCTCCGACTAAAAACTCAAAAGTGAAATATCTCGTCAACGGATTGACGGAAATCAAAAATCTATTTCAACCAACACTCCGTCTATTAACAGAATTATTAATACAGGTTGCTATTTGAAAATCGAATGTAGCTAGTTTGGTTTCGCCCCCGAAAATGAGGGTGACAAAAAAATAACATAAATATGAAATTGTAGAGCAGCTCGTTTCCAAAATGATCCGGAAAGTAAACTCCGGACTAAGTCAACGATTTCCAAGACAACGAGTGTCTCTCACGACAAACTGATCGCCCTGTATAGTGGCGGAGGGAAAATTCGAAAACGCGCGATATTTTCCCTCCCAGCGTGGCGTAGCGGGAAATCCACTCGCGCGCCCGTACGCGTATTATTCTACACGAGTGTAAACCGGCGGCGTTGTCGTGGCGACCGGCCGAGACGCTTGCGCGCGCGTTTCCCCTCGGCCGCCGCCGCATCATCGCGACCCCTGCTGCGTAGTATTGCAATAACCGCGTACCCGGTCCGCACGTCCGCGTCTCGCACACCGTGAGCGCGGCGCGCCATAAATTGTCGTTCACGAGGGTCAATGCCGCCGCGCATACACCGTGCGCGGGGTCGGCTGTGCCGCGGGCACGCGGTCGACGTTCGTCACCGGTCGCCGGTCGAGCGGTTGTTACGTATAATTTACGGTGTGCGGACGTATCTCTTTTTCGTAGGACAGTACTCTTATTTTGACACACTGTCCCGTGTCCTTAACAACAGTGTCGAGTACATGTGTATGTTAATTAAGTTTTTTTTATTTATTTATTCAAATGTCTACATTTCAAAATTAATTTAAATATGGTATTCTTTAGTTACACATGTGTACTTCAAGTTGATTAAAATTACTTAAATTTCATAGTATTTTCATTATAAAGACACGTTCCAAATGAGTTGGACATTATGACTTCAAATAGTTAGATTTTATAGTTGATAATGTGTGTAGTTGATAAAAAGTTTATAATAGAGCAATCGGATAATATAAATATGTAGATGGAGGTATGCTATGGGTAAAATGGGTAGAATAATATACACAATACCCAATTCTTTTAAGGGAGGGGTTTTTTATAATGAAGGGGCACAATTTGAAAATGTACTTATTTTTTGATTTTTATATCTGGTTGCTATTAATACAATAGTTTTAGATTCGAAGCGAGGGATCTACATTTGTTTTACTATGATGCGTGTTTTTGTATTTTTTCGGCCTTTGAACGACTTTTCTACCAGAAAGCTTGTTCCTAAGTATAGACTATAGTACCTTTTCTGGAAGGTAATTTTCTCTTGTCGGTACGTTGAGGAGGTCATTTTTTTGATTTTCCAAGGGGTTTTCGAAATAATCGGGAAAAACCCGAAAGAAACGTATTGGTAAAACGGAAAATATTTATGGCGTGCCGTGACGTCACCGTTTTCATTGTTTTTACCATGTTTACACGATGTTTTTTTTTTATTTACACATACTATAAACGCTTTATGGGAAAACTTTTTTATGGAAACCGTATGGAAATAGGTACCGACATTTCAAAACACGGTTTAATCGAACTTCGTTCAGAATCTTTTTTCGCTGCATAATACTCGGATATAAATTAAATCGTTAAATAAATGTATCCTATGCCTTCCTGACTTTACACCTACAATAGTGGCACTGCCAGTAGTAGGTAGCTGTCGGCGTTATTTATTTTATCTATTTTTTTTTTTTTTTTGCGAATTTTGTTAAAATACTTCCGTGATGCAGACATGTTTGGTTTTTCAGTAAATATAATTTTCGAAGTTGCATTTCTATCACCACTGATTTTTCAGAACAGAAAAAAAAATTAATTTTCGGTAATTAGGAACCTATCTTGTAACGAAGTATAACATTCTTTGATGAGGTCTGACATTTTCACCGTATAGTTTTTAGTATTTTTTAAACGTAGTATTGTTTTCTGCCTCTTGCTGACTTGTTTATAGCTATATGCTCGAGTTTTGTTTAGTTAGGATACAATTTGTTAAACGCCTAGTTAAACAATTTTCGATAAATCAACAAAAAATTTCTCGATAAGTTGATTTCATTAGTCAAAGATAGTTGAGCGTTCAGTTCCGTCCATAATCTTATTTTGAATACCTATGTAATAACTAAACGTTGCTATCTGCAGGGTTAAAACTAAATTTCCCTACAAAAATATATATTATCTTTCAAATTTGTTACTTACAACTGTTCGTGATCAGCATCAGTTCTTTTTTTTAACGCTGTTATAATAACGTTTTAAAAAAACCGAGTTTTCCTTTTTCACCCTTTGCTTTTGTGAGAAAATGTCTATCCTCATGATGGATCTAGGAAAACTTGAATTAAGAGGAGAAGGGAGGGGGGTACCACGTCCATCGGGCTCATGGATGTAAAGGGATCATTACATAGTAGATTTGTGTCATAATAATTTAGATATGTAGGTATGCAAAATGTTTTCAGTTCATAAATTTACATAATATGTCTATAAATGACCCATTTTCAAGTTCGACCATGGCACCCACTGGACCCTTATTCCGATCGATAATTTAGTCTTTTGTAAGATTCTAGCCTAAATTTAGTCGTAATAAAATATTTAACTTGAAATTAGGTATTGATTGAACACGCTGAAAATAAATGTAATTTTAAAAATGCTGTTTATTTACCCATAGCGTGTATTCGAAGACTCTTGGCTCAAAATGTTTTAAATTTCTAAATTGCTACAAAATCGAATGCGTCCAAGAAAACCGTTTTGACTGTGATTAACATAAAAACGGTATTGCTAGAAAGTCCGAAAACGTATTTTGACCAAGTCTACTAGCTAAAAAGTGCTTTATCTATATCTACGCATACGATGATTTTGATTTATTTTCGGTGTTATGTATTACCTATTGCCGACGAATCAAACTTCGTCGTTGTAATAGGCCATTGAATCTTCTTTCGAAATTATGATAAACGATATTTAAAACTTTGTTTACATTTACAACACTCAGTCTATATACTAATAGGCAGGTACATAACACAGAGAAAAAAAATTATCTCGCATCTTTTTGGAATTCATTCACGAAACGAATGTTTGGATAGGTACGACGTTCATTGTTATGAATTCGGTTTACTGAGAAATATAGTTTTTAAATGGCGCTATTCTCATTAAAAATAATGAATCGTGATCACAGTGTCGAATTAATACAATTTTCACGCTTGTAAGTGTTTTGCAGTCGGTAGTCAAGTGTATAGTGTTACGAAAAGAAAAGCAACTACAGTCATTTTAAGACACCTGTTTATAAAGCTTATATTTTTACCGGCGGTAAACGTCCAACAGTCTTGTAAATTTAATCGCCAGTATCACTTATTAATTATACAGGTATCTACCCAAAGCAAAGGTTATTCATTCCAGCAGACAGGTGGTCCATTTTTCATTTTGTAAATAATACCCGTGAGTTATACAGTGACAAAAATCTGTCCAAAAATGTTTTTGATTTTTTTTTTTTTTTTTAGTACCACGACACTTATGACGGCAAAATTTTCAAAATGATTCGTATTTTTTACCATGGACGGGCATCTATATATTATGACCTTTTTGAGCTACAAATTCTGAAGTTGTTACCGATCGCCACAAATCGGGAGATGATAATAATATTCTATTTGTAAGTATATTATTCAATATAGAGACGGGCGATACCATTTAAAAATGTAAATTTTCGTGCACTCGATACTGTCTATGATAATGCCTTTGACATCTCAAAACTTTTATATCAGGAGTTCTAGAGTTATTGCGTGTAAATGCTACTTTTGATTATCGAATTTTCCCTGAAAATAGTGACCAATGCACTGTAGTGGTTTGTCTTTTTTCCGCTACTTTAGTAGACTTTTAGAAACTCCTACTGGTGCCAAAACAAATTCTGAGATTACGAATTGTTTTAAAGGTGGATTGAAATGATAATGGCATTAGGTTGAATTTCAATGTATTAATTTTACCATATTGTTTCGAGCTGGAAGTATATTTTTTTTCTAACTTTGATGCCCCAATTATATGCAAGTCATGAAACTGCGTATATTAATGGTGTTAGCATCAAAGACGTGTCTCTTTTGGAGATTTCAACTTGCCCTACCATTTTCATGCTCAAATTATACCAGTTTTTTTTTGTGGGAGGGGATTGGTTTAATTTTAATACACGCCTATATCTTATTGTAGTATTCAAGTGTTTATTGTTTTACAAAGGATATTTGTATAATATAAACTAGGTGGGGGAACTATAGGTGGACTGAATAGGTTAGTTTTTTTTTTTTTATGGCGTATAAAGAATGTAATAATAATCCAAATATTATAAAATCATATTATAAACAATAAACTCAGATGATAATATATCGAAACTGATAATAATAAAAAAAAAAATTTTAATTTTGTTATCGATACATACCTATATACCTAGGTATACAATAGACTTGTGAAGTATCGAGGTAGGTAGCTCTAATTTATCGTTTTCACACAAAATGTATGTTACCGTATATACAGATTCCTACTTAAAACAAACTCGATAATAAACGACACATCAATTACGAATAAAATAAATGTAACACATTTCAATAATACTCGGTGCAGTCGTTCAAAAGAATACTAAAAAAATAATTTTTTTTTTTTTTCAAAATAACGTAAATTTATTTATTTATTATCAATTAACCGTATAAAAATAATACACTTCTATACGATAGATGGGCGCAATGTTAAAGCGCGAGTCGAACAACAGGCTCTGATCGGTTTTTTCTTGAATTCGGCGACGCGACAACCATACACGGACGGTTTAAAACCCTGAAAAATTCGAAAAAACAAAAAGAAAAAAGAAAAAAACAATAATAATTCGTACGGGTACACGATCGAGTCGTTCCGAAATTACCTCGTCGTTATGATTGTAAATAATAACATATTTCGAACACACTGGGACATTAATTCAATATTAATGTAATGATGTAGTATAACGATACCCATCATACTATGTAATAACGTTCCCGTATTGCCCCCGTATAGTTGATTTTATTTCGTTACAATTCGGAACGACCGAGATATAACACGGTGTCTAAAAACTGCAGGGTAGGTGTACAATGTCATTAGCGTAATAGTAATAATAATAATAATAATAACAATAATAATAAAAACACAACTTTAATGGTATATTTATTCATTTTTTTTTTTTTTTTTACGGGATAAAAAATTTATTTTGAAGTAATATTTTTCCCCGAACTAACGACGGGGGGAAAAAATAAATAGTATATAGTAATGCAAGTAATAACGATAATAAATTTAAATACAAGTAAGTACGCTAATCACATATCATAGTAATAATAATAATAATATTATCTACGCCTAATATATCTAAACCAATTAATACGTAGTTAATAATATTTCGTATAAAATATTGTCTCTATGCGACTATTTATAATAGTAATAGTGAATTAATTAATAACCAACAAACATGACTAGACCTAAAAAAAAAATTTAAAAAACAAAAAAAATATTAATTAATAATGATAATATTCGGTAAGTTGTACCTATACAAAATGTACACGTATTTTTTTTTCTTTGATTAAGTAAATACAAATCTTCTAAGTATAATAATTATATAAATAGTAGTATTATGTAGGTATAAATAAATATTATTATAAAAAATAACACATCGATATTTTAAATAATACATTATTGTTAAGAAAAATATGATGGACAGTCGTGATTAGGTGCTACCTACTCTCTAGAAAAAAAAAAAAAAATGATAATTACGGTTATATTCGAATAATCGTGTATATATATATATATATATATATATATATATATATATAAGGTATGGGATATTACAAAATAGGAAGACTTACAGACAGACACGTCGACCGTGTTAAATAATTTTTTATAAATAATTATGTAAATATATATATATATATATATATATAGGTATGGGTAATATAGGTAATAGGTATAGTAAAAAAAAAAAACTCGACTAGTACAAGGTATTCTCAAATATCACAAATTTTACATAATAATAATAATAAAAAAAATTAATTATCATTAATTTATATAAATAAGTACGTATATATGTATATAATAATAGATTAATTAATACAATTCCTAATAATCGCTAAATATTTATATACATATATATATATATATATATGTATGTATAATATGTATAAATATAATAAAAAATACATGACGAGTAAAAAAAAAAACGAATCGCTAATATATATATATGTAAATACCTATTTTTTACACGTACAAAATATATTATGATACATATTATATTACTTCCGTCCGTTACATAATAAATATACATGTACTATTATGTTGGGTTTAGGCACGCACGTAATAATCATAATATTGAGCTAAATAATAATTAATGTGTATTACATGTACCTACCTATATAATAATAATAATAATAATAATCTATGCGCCGGTCTCTAAGTCCGACGTTCGTTTACTCTAAAATAATCACGTTAGGTATTATAAATATCGTATGTATATAGGCATAATATTGTATAGTAATAGTAATAATAATAATATGCACGTATTTATGTATGTGTATTCGTTTGTCGTAATAATGTAATTTATAATTTATTAAAAAAAAAAAAAAAAAAAAAAAAAAAAAAACCCACCCTAAGTATTAAATATTTATATATGTATATATATGTTATTCAATAATTACACATCACGCTAAACTATATAATATATAATAGGTATTTGAGCAATAGATAATTAAAAAAAAAAAAAAAAAAACTATTTTTATTATGGTTCGGTTTTTTTTTCTCTTTTGGCCGGGTAGATAATATTATAACACAAGGCAAGTCGGAGAGAACACCGTCGTATCCGTCACCAACTCCCCCCCCCTCCCCCCCACGAAAATATCATACACAAGTGCCCGCGCGGTGAATGTACTGTACCGTTATTAATATTAGGGCCGCGGACACGGACGCGTCGCAAACCGATACCCCGATTGACCGCAGTACTATGGGTACGAGAAAAACGTCTGTAACGCCTTTGGAAACGAACGCATTTTTGCGGAAAAAATAATAATAAAAAAAATCGCGCGTTCGTTTTCGATATCAAACGTCGGATGAAACGGGCGAAATAACGGGCGGGATAATCGGCCCCGTCCCGGAAAATATTGCCGACCGGCCGCGAGCGCTCGTTAATATTTATCGCGCGCGTACCCGGGCGGGTGTGCGTGTACACCGGGAAAACGCGTCCGGGAGGGGCGCGAAAAAGCGTACGCGGAGGGGGGGAGGGGAAAAAAAAACCAACAAAACGTACGACTATTACGGCTAAATATCAAGAGACCCGTGTCGGACGACTGCGTGCGCTCGTATACCGACTGGCATATTAACGGCGACCGACGATAATTCCGGGTGTTAACAATATCAATACGTCTACGGCGTACGCGATCGTCTACGCTATATACGGCAATATTATCGTACGGACGCATGCAATACGATACAACAATAACGCAATAAAACATTACCATAGGAGGTATACCCTCCTATGAGATCGGCGTTAGCTACGGTTTTAATTTCGATTGTTATTTCATAAGTAATCGTGTTACGAACTAACGTACATAGGCGATATTATTGAGCCGTTCGAATCAACGTCTATACAATGTATCATTACGATATAAAAATCGTCAATATTGATTGTTTTCCCCCCACCGCTCTCATTGTGAATATTATACTACAGCGTTTATAATATTCGCCCGCGGTCGCGACCTGTTTAACACGAATATACAATAATGTTCATATAATTTTGGTTTTTTTTTTTTTTCAATTGACAAGGGCACGGACGGTAAGAAGAACAGTAGTCTGTCCTTCCACCCCCCACACAATCCCGATTTCGAAAAAAATCGACGCGGTTTCGCTCATATTTTCGAACGCGGACTACTTCGCTGTATCCGCCTACACCCGTGCCCTTCGTATCCGTGTCGAGCGTTAACATCATGACAGTATATAGGGAACCGTGATAAAAAAAAAAAAAAAAAAAAATTGTATACTACTTACCTAGATGGAGGAACCGCGAGCGCCGACTGCCGCTGTGCTGGACACGTATTCGCGGGTATATTCTTAACAAATATCGCCGTCTTCTTCGGAAATGTACAAGATTTACTAAACAAAATCGTATAGAACAACAATAGCAAAATGTTTTTTTCAAACTTTTCCTCAAATTCCCATTATTATAGTGTAATACGGCGGTGGCGGTGGTTACAATAATATAGGTTAGATGTAAGTACACAGCTATATAATGTTACGTCAAGTATACGAAAATACTCATATAAAGTACACAAGTATATTATAAAATACTGCAGCTATCCATATATAATATTTGCAAAAGCGTTCACTAATGTTATTTTAAATATCATAATAATATACCTACTATACGTTTGTACGTTGTTAATAATGTATTATTTATTTACTATGTTTTTGTATTAATTTTGTTTTTTTTTGTATTAATTTCATCTGTTCTACATACAGGATTGCATTATTATAAATATTACTTCTACGGTGGCGGCGGCGGCGACGGCGATGGAGGCGGCAACACGACGACGAAGACGATGAAAGTTGGGCCGAGGCGAAAACGAAACAGAAAAAAAAAAAACAAAACAAAACAATACGAAGACAGAACGAGGACCGCCGACCAATATTATTAATAATATACCAAAATAGAATCAATTTATATATTACCACGCAATATATGTACCGGCCACCAGGAGAGGAGGGTTACCGAAAATACGTGTATTTTTTGTAATACATCTACACGACGACACGACACAACACGACCACTACTATATATATATGTACTGTATATAAACCGCAAATACACCTCCTAACACCTCTCGGCAAATATACTACACGCAATAAATTACAATGTGAGTAAAATACCTAATACAAAATATTAATTACTAATAATACTCGATATTAATTATCATCACCGTAACGAATAGAAAGTATATTATTATTATTAATTATTATATCGTTTGGAAACATACACGTAGCGTTAATTTGTATATTATCAATTAGTTAATTAAGTATATATAAAGTATTTTAATGTATTATTTGTTGTTTACGCCGGCTGATGATGTATTTTATACTGACCGAGCCATATAATATTATTATTTGATTATCTATGTGTATTAAATCTATGTAAAAAAAAGCTGGGGATACGATATTGGGCGTAAAAAAAAAAAAAAAAAATATATATATATGATTATTTAAAAAAAAATTAAACAAATTCGTTTTCAGTCGTTTTAACCGATCAAAAAATAAAATAAAAATGTTGTTCTCATTTGTGTGTGCATTTTTAACGACATTTCACGGGCAAGTCTCTGGTCGGGGTTTCAAAAGAAAAAACTCGGCCTCGACACGTTCATATATAAAATGTACGTGTTATATGATATTCAATATTAATAGAGAGACAGGACGAATGTAAGAGACTAATCTGGCTCATTAGATTTGGCGCGAAATAAAAAATATTTCAAATACTTAAAATCGAATAAATAATATATATATATATATATATATATATATATATATTGTTGGTAAAAAATACAAATACGCCCATGATCGACACCAATAGAAAAGTACCGTCCGGTTGTTCTGCGCTCTCATTAATTTGTCCAGTCTCTCTATGTTTGTCTACATAATAATAATAATAATAATACTATTATTATATATCAATGTGGTTAGTAGTATAATGTTAATAATAATCAATAATAATTTAACTACTTCAAACAACAACAACAATAAAAAACAACAACAACAACAACGGTTATGTAGGGTTAATACCGCGATATGCTTGTATCGCACATTGCCACTAAATTAATAGTACCAAATTCTTTTTTTTTGTTTATAATACGCGATGTTAATAACAATAATACATTATGTCGTGGCGTCTGAAAGGAGGTGGTACGATTAAGAATAATAATAATAATAATACAAATTATTATTATTATTGTCATGTTAGTTATCATGTGTTTCATGCAAACAGTCATTAATAATATTACAATAATACAATATTGGTACACGGAAGGGATTGGATTTTGTTCTATAGTCAAATAATATATTATACAATTATGTTGACTATACCAAAGAAAAAAAAGAACAAATTTGAAATAAAAATATTGAATGGTCTGATTTTTAAATGGATATGAAATGATAATTATAATAATAGTATTGTATTAAAAAAAAAAAACAATTCAAAAATTAAATTGAAAATATTTTTGAAATCAAAAAACCAAAAGCGAATCTGCCCGATTTCTACTGACAAAAATACTACTTTTATTTATTAATTTTCTGTTTTATAATTTAAAAACAACACAGCATTTTTAAACATTTAACTACTAAATAGAGTGCGTATAAAGAACTAAATATTATTAGTATTAAAAAAAAATAAATATCGTATTTATAAAAAAAAAATTAAATAATAAAAGAAATGAAGGACTCACGTAGGTATCTAATACTACTGTTAATATTAATTTTTTTTACGATTTTTTTCATATGTATATATATAATATATACGTATAAGTCTACACACAAATAGTATATATAGAATATCTACACAGAAACTAAATAAATTGATAATAATTTTAAAAAAAAATGTCAAAAAGTGTACAATTAAATACTTCTTACAACTAGATATATGTATATATATATATATATTTTTTTTTTATAATAAATATAGTAGTTAATTAATTACTCTACAAAAAAAAAGTTCTAAACTAAAAAAAAAAAATACTGTTAAAATACACACCAATTCTAAAATAATAATATGACGACATTGACATTAAAAATTATTCACCTAGTTATTGTTTTTCTTTACTTTAAAAGTACTAAAAAAGTCTAGGTCTAGGATAAGACACAAAACCGGAGAATTTATGTAAAAGCATCGCTAATATTTATAACCCTCTTTCATATATGATATATAATATAATTGCTTTTTTCTTCATTTTATTAACTCTCAAAATATTACAAAAATAGAGGGCTTACCATACTAAGTAAAACTATATTATATTATTATACTTACTAAAAAAAAGATTTAAAAAAAAAAAAAAAAAAAAAAAAAAACAAAGAGATCAATAACCTTTTAAGTATTATTGCTTTACATACATATAATAATAATAATGTTCTAATTAGTATTGTCCAGTCGAATCAGTGCTTTTCGTATTAACTTTTACTCGTATTTAAATACTAATAAATCACTAAAAACTAAAACGCATAGACAAAAATTAAATTTTATCATCTTAATAATAAATAATATTATTATATATTCTTAGTAGATACGTCTGTTTAGTGTCTAAACTAAAATAATAATAATAATAATAATATTGAACTTGTGAGATTTCCGTTTACTTATATAGATGATGATACAAAAAAAAAAAAAAAAAAAACATACGTATACTAAGGCAGCTAAAATTATAAATAATCGTTATGAACAACTCCAATGTCTTGTTTTACTACGGTTATATATAAGTATACAATAAGTAAAATGAGAAAATAAACAAAAGAAAAATATATATATAATTTTTAATATTTACAAGTTTTATAAAGAATTATTGATTTTTTTTTTTTTTGTTATACAATTTTCATATTTTACGTTTCTCTCTAAGTTAATAATATATATTCATATTATAACTACTATAAGTACTGTACTCTAACTATAGAGCAATGAGTTAGTAAATCTGATTTTAAAGAAGCATTTGAAACAAGAAGCGAGAGAGATAATAATATTATATTGTTATGCACGTTGTGCACGTATACGTGTTACGTAGTGTGTAGTTGTTATTAGACGTTAAAATATTTTTATTATAAGACGTATAAGCGCACGACGACAGTGAGAGAAAAAGAGAAAAAGAGAGTGAGAAAAAAAAAGAAAGAGAGAGAGAGAGAGATAGAGAGAAAAGAAAATTATATTTGTGAAATGGTATTATTTTTAAAATAAAAATAAATTGTCATGATGTATATACGCTTGTGAGCAGCTTATTGGTCCTTAATGGAATGTATTTTCTCTACTGATCATTGGAATTTTTTTTCTTCTTTAAGAGCAAAAACAATAATACATTAGTTCAACTAATCAATTAAATAAATTACACGTTATTTAGACACTAATCACACTACTATTTAAAGAAAGTTGAGAAATATTAAAAATTAATAATAATAATACTTAGTACATAAAAAAAAAATAAATAATAACTGACTAGAAAATCGTTCGTTTTTAACCATTGAAAAATAACTCACGACAATAATATGAGGCAGTGGTATGGCACATGCGCGGATTGATCTCCAAAGATCTGATGGCTGTCAGCCTCGTCGATTTTGAAAAAACAAAAAATTATAATGAAATCAGGGGAGGGTAGGGAATACTTTAAGATGTAATTTTTTTCAATATATATATATATATATGTATATATATATAAATATACATATTGTATATTATATATATATATATATATATATAAATATATAAACCTATAATTTTTTTTTGGTTGAATATTAAAAAAATAATTTCAATGATAGAATGTATCTGAGCAAACAAGAGAATGTTTTCCGTTTTTTTTTTTTTTTTGTTCGGTTATTATAATTTTTTTTTCCGTGAAAAAAAAAATTGACCTGACCAACACACATACAGCAGCACAGACACAAGGACACGCCTAATGCCTAAACGTACATGCCGCCCATGCCGTACATGGACGACCAGTCGATGCCTTGGAAGCCGCTCATGTCAATACCGGACAGACTGTATGCCGGGTAGGCGGCCTGCGTGGCCGCGGCGGCTGCGGTGGGCACTGGTTGCGGTGCGGCGGTGGCCTGTTGCGGGGCCGCTGCTGCGGTCACTGGCACAGGATACGGCGCGTAACGGTAGCTGGCCAGTCCTGGATACGTAGCGAACAGCTTGTTGTAGTTGTGTGCAGCCACCGCGGCTGCAGCGGCCTGAGCCTGGGCTTGCGCCTGGGCCTGAGCCTGTTGCACGGCCGCCAGCTGATGGCTGGCCGCCTGCGACACTGGGGCGGTAGCCACGCGGACGCCCAGCGGGCCACCGACCAGTACGGGGCGCTTGCCCAACAGCAAACCCGCGGCCGCAGCTGCCGCTGGCTGCACCAACTCCTTGGGCTGCGCCTTCTTGCATTCCACCTTCTTGTTCTTGATCGTGTGGAAGTGTATCTCACATATGGTATCCACAATGTCGTCGTTCTCGAACGTGACGAATCCAAATCCGCGATGTCGCTTAGTGTGCTGATCCATGAGCATCACCGTCTCCTCCACCTTGCCGAACTGGCTGAAGTACGCCTTTACCTCGTCCGCTGTTGTGTCCTGACTGACCCCGCCCACGAATATTTTCTTGGTCTTGCTGCCGGCCTTTGGCCGGTTTTTGGGCGTCGCATGCTTCGGGTCGATCTTCTTGCCATCTAGCGTATGTATGGGCACGGCCAACACCTTTTCCACCGTCTCGGCGTCCGAAAACGTGATAAATCCAAAACCGCGACTCCTCTGCACAAGAAGAATAAAAATAAAAACGACATAGATTAGTTTTTGCGTTTGTGTGATCATCTACCTACTGTAATAATAACAATAATATACCTGCGTGATGGGATCCTTCATGATAAGCACGTTTGTCACATCACCGAACATGCCGAAGTATTGTTTGAGCTTGTCGGCCGACGTCTGCCAACTGAGACCACCGACAAACAGTTTAGCTGACGTACCTTCGGTACTGCTGTTAGGCGTCGACCGGCCGCTGGGTGACGGCGCCGACACCTGTTCCCCGTTCCCGGTGCCGTTTTGCTTACTGGCGGCGGCGGCGGCGGCGGCGTTTATGATGGCCTGTTGCTGTTGTTGCTGTTGTTGCTGTTGCTGTTGAGCAGCCACGACGGCCGCGACGTCTTGCGCCGACTGGCCGCCATTCTGCAACGGCGAACCGTTCTTGTTAGCGGCCGACACCGCGGACTGTTGGGGCTGAGCGATTTTCACTAGGCCCGGCAGCGGACCGCGCACCGACTGGTGGTGTGGGTGCAGGGCCAACGGCACGGGCGTGGCCGTCATCGGCTGCGGTAGGCCCATGCCACTGGCGGCCAACATGCCGCTAAAGTCGGCCGCGTGTTCGGCCAACGTAGCCATTTGATCCACTCCCAAACTAGATAATATAATACAAACGAATATTATTAGCGTTATAGACGTATAAGATTGACGACGGGTTAATGATTTTAGAACATTTTGTCGGTTCTCGTTAGTTGTCAATTATATTAATACAATGTACTTATAATATATATTATATGGTATGTATTTTGTCTACAGGATGACATCAACGTTGTTGCGGTGTACATAACTACGTCTCAACAACAACAACGCACCACAACAACAACATATTATATGGTAAGTCTACGCAAACGTTGCTCTAATACAAACAATAAATAATAATAATATTGTAATGATATAATAAAAGCTTTAAAATAATAATAATAATAATAATAATAATAATAATAATAATGATAATGATAATAATAATAATAATAATAATAATAATAATAATGATAATGATAAAATAACGTTTGTTTCCTAGCAGGCACTGCGACGACGACATCGGCACGCCGGAGATCGACGGGACGAGAGAGAAGGACATAGAGAGAAAGAGACGCACAGGCAACGGGATATTTCACGCGGACGGATATACGACACGTTTTATGGATGACACTCCGATATTGTCCTGTCACAGCAGTAATGTCACGAATTCGAATTGTACTGCTGTCGTGGGACATTTTCGGAGCTGTCGTCCGCGGAGAACGTCTCGGAATCGGATAAGAACTTAATCAAACATTATTGTAAACTTTGTTTTTTTTTTTTCCTATTTGATTTCTCTTGTAAACGGCCAATATTTCTGTAATGGCCGTAAATAACGCACGGTATTGTTAATCGCGTCATCGTGCGCAATAATAATAATAATAATATAATATATACGCTATCCGCCAATGCGAAAATAGTCTACTCGAACAAAAAAAAAAAAAATCAAATTTGTACTCCCGGTAAATCATACCGTTATTTGTATTCAGAATAGATCGACCCGAGATCATAGATCACGGTAATATCTAGTTTTTTTTTTTTTTTTTTTTATTCAAAAACGTTCACATGTGTCTATGTCCGTCTACTTGTCCGCCGTTCCAAAAGTTTTTTCTACACAATTTTGATACATTAAAAAACTGTAGATTTGATAGCAGAAAAACCTTCAAAACCGTTTCTATGGCCCCCAATGACAGTGTGCCTTTATGAAATATTATTCATTTTGACCGGTGAAAAGGACGCAAGTCATTTTACGCCATCGTTTTAACTCATTGGAACATTTAAGTCCTTCGCAAGTTTGAACCGTAAAAATTATTATTGAAAACATCCCGAAACGGTTTCGTGTGTAAACGAGACTGCCGTGTATTTTAAGATTATTAACTTAAACGTAAATAGGAGCTTATAATTTTTTTTTTTTTTTTTTAATATAATCGTATTTCGAATTCAGGCGGTAAATAAAATTATCGAAATAGCACGACAATATTTGCAGATAAGCGATACTATTGTTTAAGTCTTGTTTTTTTCCGGATCAATGTTATATCAAATCGAAAACACACGTTGTTGAAATCAGATTTTCATAAAAGTTTTTTAAATTGTACTTAATTTAATTTTTTTTTTTTTTTTTAAAACACATTTAAATTATGCACACATTTTGTGTACAAATCTAGTCGATGTTTACCTTTAAAACTGTACTTTGTTTAAAAAACAATGTATATGTATACATTATATTATACATTGATCACATATTTACTGGGGCCTATATACGTTTGTTTGCTATACGTAAACACACAATTGAATATTACCTACTCATTGCCCGCGTGTACAGAAAACATTTTGCGTAATTTGAGCGAATTACTATAATGTAATATTTGAATAAAATTGTACTATTGAAAAAAAAAAAAAAAAAAAAGATTTGAAAAATAGAACGGTATCGAAATTGTTAAATCGTTTAAAATATCAAATATCGTGTAGTTATGTTATGTATTTATTCAGGTTTCTGATCTTTATTAATCGACCTAGGTAAATAGGTATTATTGCAACGTCTTGATATAGTTAAGATGCCTACACTGTTAATTACCACGTTCAAATAGTGTGCAATCACTAGTTCGCATTAATCTAATTATTAGTTTAATTTGGTTAAAATTCCATATAAACAATAAACATCAACATACGCATCACTTGTATGCAGTTTAAAAATGTATCACATTAGTCATATCGAATTAACTGTAACTCTCGTGTTATGGAAACGGATGCAATAAGGATATTGGTGTTTTTAGCAGGAATTCAATATCTAATTACGTACGCTATACAGAACGATGTAAACGTTATAAACGTAAAATGCATATACTTCATACGAGTTTAATGCTAATAATATTATTTGTGACGTACTATACGAACCCGTACTGCAACAATGCACATTGACTGTGTAAGATTATTTACTGGCGTATTGAATTAGTGCGTATTAGCGATGACATATTATTATTATAAATTATAAACATGGTTTATGATAAGGTATTTAATAATCTTGTTACAATTAAAATTAATAGTAATATTATTATAACAAAGCAGTTGTTACGACAGTTCTCAACGGTTTTGTTCAACAAAACATTGTGCTATGTAGTGCATTTTAGGTGGTGTAGTTAAATGTTATGTATCAATTATCTTATGGCGCCGTGAACACATTATTACACTTATTCAATTATATCGTCGTGTTTTGTGACATGATTTTTGTTACATACACGGACAAAAACTCATCAGTAGTGCAACCAAACGCGTAGGCGCACACGTTTATTGTACACCGATAAATCGCACATTATTATATATTGTTTAAAAGTTTTCGAAAACGAAAAGAAAAACATACAAATGTATAAAATAGACCGTTCTGAAGCATATGTTAATGTACGAGACGTGAACGAACGCTTTATTACGTTGTCGGTCAATTAAACGTTTTAACAACGCGTGTACCTAATATATTATTTTATTGTAATGTACAAACAAGTCGAAAAACACCAAATGTACGAGTGTATACATAGGAAACGTGTATTTTTCACGTCTCTAACTGTACAACTGTGATGACGATGATGACGGTAGGTCGGTGGGAAAAACGGAATTCGAAACCGCAAAAATAATAGGTATGCAAAACAACTTACTACATTAACTTATTATAGATAGCCGACACTATATGAATAAATTCGAAGGTTGGCAGCCATATAATACAAGAGGGAAAATGTTACCGATTAATCCGTAACATATATTTTGTTTATACGCCACGAATGAAAACATGTGCGCGGTGTTATAATTCCATCGCGTAATTCGTGGAATTAAACGAATGTGTGTTAGAGATTGATGAAGATGAGATAGTCACTACACGATCCGTGCTCACCAACATACCGCGGGTTAACCTTGTTTTAACCGATCACGATTGTTGATCGTCGGTTATCTCGTAAATTTTGTTTGAAAATCAATGTTATGTTGGCTCTTAGTGTAATGATATGACTGCTGATTTCATAATTATATTTTTTATTTGGACCTTGCCATACAGTCGGTTATATACAGTTGTTATTTGCAAATATATAATATATAAAAATCCTAATGTTCGATTGAAACAGACTAGAAATAAACCGGACAAAAAAAAAAAAAAAAAATGAAAATATGATTATAATAATCGTGTTTTGTTAAAGTACTTATTATTATTGTCAACAAAAATTCCAGTCGATCGTCCGCGACAGTATTTATATGATGCTTATAGACAGTATCGTATATATATATTTTATATTTTTAACTGTATGACGCGAGATTGTATTTTTAAACTTTTTATGCAGGTATTTCAGTATAAAATTATATTACGGGCCTGTAGGACGATACAAGATTATAATAACGTTGTTTGTATAATTTGTATTTCACGGATTTAATTTTTGTTTTTTTTTTTTTGATAATATTTAGCAGGATTTTTCGAAAATGTTGTAATATACAAACAAGTTCTGTTATCCAGTGCGATCCAAATATTTCAGTATAGTAACCGATCACCTTCTGACCAATCTGGCGTCAAATCTGATGAGAAAATTGTTGTTTTAGTTTTCACTTCGTTTACGGATAATTTACTTTATGTTCGGTGCCCGCATACCTAATATTAATTAACTTGATATGTTTTTAATTGGCCGCACAACCGAGTCTCCAACCAAACCAACCAATCTTTCTTCAATACAAAACCTTATTGTACAGCCTACCATTCTAAATCGTTCATCGCGTCCTTTACGACATCTTCGCACCTCACTCTCGTTCTTTCCCATATTCGTCTCTCGATATGTGTTCCATCATTGTCCTAAGCGTGTCCAGCCCATCGTATAATTTTCCCTTGTGAAAATGTTTTTTTTTTTTTTACTGTACATTATGTTTTCAGTTCTTTGTTTTTCTTCGTCTTCGCTCTCGTGCAGGTATATATACCCCTTCTTTGGTTCGAAGATCGTTTCGACATAATATACATAATTTTCGATATAATTGTATTGTTTTATCGTCGGAATTATAGATTAACCCGGCCAATCGAAACACGGAGAAACTCTTGGCCGACCTCCGAATACTGCAACTTTGTTGTTTTATAACAGTAGTATACGTTGTAGACGCGAAAACGTATTAATCATCTGTCAGTCAATGCGTTGTGCTTAATAGACTCTCGTCTATAATACTACCTACCTACTACCTATTGTGTTTCCTGGATTAATTATCGTAGGTATATATTATATAGGTAGTTACAATGACACGACGACCGGAGGGTAGAAAAAACCAAACCGAATCGATAACCCCGTTCACACCATTTCCGAATGAGTTTCTGTCGCATATTGAAATTATTCATATAAAAAAAAAAAAAAAAAGAAAAAAAAGGTGTTTCGCAATCATGTTTTATATAAGTATTATATAAAATATTTATGTTTTTCCCTATACCTAAGATTGTATTTATTAAACTTTTTTATTTTTACTTTCGGATGAGGCGATATAGTTTTTTCAATTAACACGGCCGGTCGGCTACACGTAAAGTAATATAAAAGAAAGAAAAAAAAACACTTTAAAGGCGCCGAAATGAAAATAAATGAAAAAATAATAATAATATCACCTACTATATTGGTAATTTAATCGATATCGAAATAATATTGAAAAAATGTACTGCGACCGCAAAAAAAAAAGAAAAAGAAACGGAAATGGCAAACGTATTTTGACGATGATGGCGAAAAGGAAATGTAGTTCAAAAAATTATTAATACTTCAATAGTTCAATATATTCGAAACAGCTAGAAAATCGACGATTGCGTTTGAATCAAACGATGAGACCGAGATAAAAAAAAAAAAAAAAAAAAGGAAGCGTTTTATACTTTTTATTATTATTATTCTTTTTCTATCACTTTCAATCGATAAACGTTTTGCTTGTTTAGTATTCAGCGCACTGAAGGTTTGTAATGTACATGTTTCGGAAAGCGCGGTGTATTATATGATTTCTCATCGGAGGTAAAAAAAAAAATAATAATAATAATACGTAATTCCAAAAAGACGATTATGTAATAGATTACACGGATGACGAACAAATTAATTTAAACTCAACAATGATCGATTGAAATAAAAAATGCAAAACTGCAGTTTGCGTGTCTAATCAGGGCCGGCGGATAAGCGGTGACAACGTACGTCCTACCCCAAAATTTAGAAATTTAGATTACTGAGTCTAACTTATATTGCGATATGTGGTTATATCCAAAGCTTGACTCGGGGGGGAGAGGGAGGATAGAGAAACCGCGTTTACCTCAACTAGTTTTTTTATATAAATTTACACGGAACGCTACTGAACACTATGTTTAAAGTTTTTATCAATTAAAGTTTAATTGTAATTTTACCAAAGAAGACTAGGTAGATAAATTATGGATTATGCACTGGTTTTCGATAAAATATTTGAGGTTAAATGAAGCTTAGGTAATAGTTATTTTTTGAGAAAAGAAATTTTTTTTTACATTTTGATTTTATATATTTTGTGTTACTACGCTCGGCTATGATAGAAAATTTCGGCCGAAACGAATCGTAAAAATATAACTGAAATAATAATAATTCTCGTGTTTTGCATATTATGTCCTTTGGACAATTCGTTCTTCTTTTGTAAACAAAATATACGATTTGACCTCATAATATTATATTATTATCTTAGGTATATTACGTAATTCATTTTTTTTTTTTAACTCCTCATAGCAATAACAAAATTATTATCTGTACAATCTTATTGTATAGAATACGGTGCTACGCCATCATGTACATTGGAATACGTAATTAGAAATAAAATATTATCCTCGTATATGTATATATTATAATAATAATGTCGTTCGGACAAAAGCGGCGTAAAAAAAAAGAAAAAGAAAAACACCAATGAAAAATGAAAATATAATATATATTTTAATGTTTTAAAAGGAAAGCGTTTGACAAATGTTTTTGAACATTTTTTTTTTTTTTTTCATTCCGATGCATTGTTATAATAATAATATATTAAATGTATATAGTCGTAATATTTTAAAAATGTTTTTTGAACCCGTCCCCGCGTCGTGCATCGGTTTCGTATATAACAATAATTATATGTACTCACAAACGGAGGAAAATCCCTAAAAAAAAAAAACAACAAAACAAGAGATGAGAGTTTTATCACGAGATGACAAGAATCCGAAAAGTATATGATCGCAGCGAAGTGTATACACAACGGGAGGAATAACAAAAATGGTTAATACAAATTTACACTATCTCTCAATTTATATGAAATAATATCCAGAGTTAAAATTGAAAAAAAAAAAAAGTGAAAACGGTTTTTTTAACCTTCAGATGTCAGAAATACTTGGCCCGCACGTATAATTTGTGTAGTTGGGAAGAGTGTTTAAAGTGACGTAGTAGACTTACTTTCCCCCTACCCGAACGAATAATATTTATTTTTAAAACGCGAAAACTGACAAAAGTACATAGCGAAAAAAATAACCTTGCCATCAAAAATTCAACCAGTCGGTGAATCCGTAGAAAAGTTAATGGCTACCAAAATATTTACACCGCGTTCGGCAATGGAACATGCAATATTATGATTGTGATTATAATATTATTATTGTTGCGAATATTTTTTTTTCCTTATGTAATCAAAATATATAATACATTATACAAATTACCACTAGCGTGTTTTTAGTAATTAGTAATTACTAAAAACTAATTAGTTATTAGTAATCGACTAATCGAAGCAAAATAATAGAACAAAATTATAAGAACCGATGAGAAATATCATTCGAAAAAATCGATAATAGAATCAACGTGGTCGATAACGCGGGATTTCGGAATAATATAAGATCAATGACGCATTCAAGAGAGGGGCCGAGAGGGTCCCCTTGACAGTTATATTTACAACAAAACCAAGCTATAAGGATATGTCTAAAGAAAAAGGATTTATATGGCTCGAATTCATAAAATTATAAAGAACTTAAAGTTCTACCGATCAGGTGTTTATACTGTCTGTTCTCTATTATATTTCAAATGGGTAAAATTACTACTAAACTAGATAATAAACGGGAAACTAGAGCTTATGACACGTATGTTAGTTACAAAAAAAAAAAAGTATAGAAAACAAGTTTGTAGATTATTTAGGTCCAAAAAATTATAACGCTAAACCACTGGATCTGAAAAAATTTATTTATAACACTTTTAATGTTAATAATTATGAATTTAGAAAAAAACCATTGTTAACTGGTTATTATTTGAATTTTTAGTTTTATACCTTAATCTGAGGATAAGTATTTTTAATATTGTAGTTAATTTTTTTTTTTCTATCATAAATATTGTAATTATATTTTTGTTTTTAATAAGTTATATTGTATGATTAACTGATTTACCTCGCCACAAGCATTGCTTATTGAGGTAAATTAAATAATAATACTTTGTAATTCATTGTGATATTATATATATATATAAAAAATTGCAGTTGTAGTAATATGAATTAATTATGATTATAAACTATCGTTCAAATTGCGGTTAGACTAATTATGATGGTCGACAATTTTGGACCCCCTCCAAAAAAAAAAAAAATCCTATATCCACCACTTATGAGATTGAACAGCAAATAATAATATATTTTCAAACTGCTTAGTTTTGGAATGTGCATTGTCATTTTGATCGACCGTCGTTGAATTTCGGTAGGGTACCCACACTCCGACAATAAGTATAAATGTATAATATCCTACATAGCCATCCGGCGAACCGAACGCCCGAATGCATATTAACCTATAGATACCTATAATGGCTGTATTAATGTGTAATAAAAAATAACATCCTAAATATAGATTAGGTAATCGACAGGAAAAAATGGCAATAGATTCTCGTCGTTACGTTATTCACGATTTGTCGGTTTTGTTTTGCCGCGGCGAACCGATTGCACATCGAATGGAAATTGCCGACAATTTATGTTTGTATCGTACCGCGTGCGTATACGTGTTGACGAGGGTTAATAGAAATAACAATAATAATATACTGTATTGACTGTTGGATAATAATATTATTATGCGGAGGCGAATCGACGAATCGGCGGCACGAGCGTGTGCAAGTCGACCGGCTGATTGGCGTGTGCCGCAACGAATGGCCGCAGCGGACGCATTCACGTTGGCAAAGGAACGTGCCTCGGATGGAAATTCGAAATCCAAGGGTCGTGGTATGGGTCATGCGTATAAGTAATAAGTTAAGCGGCCAGACGCGTTTCTATCTTAGATAAAAAAAAAATAAAATGCACTACGGAAAAAAACCCACAGACGGTCCGACTTTGACGATTGTTTTTTCGTTGGACGAAGGAAAACACCCTGCGACCCGCGTTGAACTCAATTTTGTTTATATTTTTAATCACAAACATAATAATAATATGCTAATAAACAAAAACCAACTATTACAAATCAAATAAAACACGAACACCGGAGTTCAACGCGGGCAGTATAAAATGTTCGTGTTTAACAGTTAAAAAATAAATGATATACAAATTACAGATATTCAATTAGCAATGAGTCATCCTTATTCCCGGAAAAACCTTTCTCTGTAAATATGTATTGAAAAGTAGATGAGTGGACTCAAAAGTAATGTTTTAATTGTATACAATTAAAAAAACAATACCGGAGTCACATTAAACATTTAGAAAACACCAATGGAAGTATTCTGTATAAATTTTAATTGTATACGATTTGGAAAAAAATAAAACATCGATGTTCATCATCACTATTCCCTTTTTATGTCTACTTTTCTCAAACATTTTTTCTTTCGACTATTATAAAGAATGTACAACGAATTAATAAAAATAAAATGACCTCACTAACAATGGATTTGAATTTTCACAAGAATGCTTCTGTGAAGTTTTCGCAAACTTGTTCGAAGACCGGAATAAAAACGCACACATAACAATAATTTATACTTAATATCCCACAAAAAATAAAACATACGATATCGAAAACGATACGATTCGAACGTGCTGCGTGACGTAATTTTGCTATCGGACAGACGGTATACGATGTAATGTGGCCGTGAAGTCGTCCTCGTAAACACACACACACACACACACACACAAGAAGAATATTCCATTTAGGTACGAAAAATCATCGATCAGCAATAACTCGTTTTTCGCGTGCGTTGAAAAAATACAAATCAATTTTCTCTCGTCCGCAAAACACTCGGCTGAGGTGTGCTTTTATTTTATTTAAAAAAAAAAAGAAGTTTAAAAAACGTCGAGTAGTCGTGTGGTGGGAGGAACTCCTCGGTATTTCCGGTACCGGTTAAGAGGACGTAGGGCGTAGGAAAACGCAAAAGAAAAAAAAAACAAAACAAAAAACTTCCAGGAACAAGTGCACTCTCTTGGGGATGTACAAATAAAACGACTAAGTCGCTGACGACAGGCGAATTTCGGATGAGCAGGGATCGCGTGCGTTCTCAAGTCCTCGTCGATCGTGGCGGAGAGGGCGTTTTGGTAAATTTATAATATTATATAATATCATAATAACAAAAATTCAAAAAAAAAAAAATAAAGAACACATTTTTACTAAGCCAAAAGTCTTATTTTTACAACATTAAATAACCCCAGATTGTTTTTTTTTTATTTTAATTTTTTTAAATTATAGATTATTAACATAATATTATAGTAAATTATTGAGTGATGCATAAATATTATAGTGAGTTATGAATTGCATTAATCTCATAGTTCTACGTTGTAATAGGAGATGTAATAAATAATTATGAATTCGAGAAATAAAACTTGTAATAAATTATTTTTGGAGTGAAAAAAATTAATTCAATTGGAATTGTTTGATAAAAATGAATGTATAAGTGTTTTTAATCAAACCTCTATGATAATTAACGAATTACTTAGTGATTAAAATGTTTTAATTTACCATCAAAATATTCCAATGAAAAATAATTGGCATTTGTTAGGCTTTAAAAATGAAGTTTTGGTCAGCTCGGTTCCGAGCAAAAAACAAAACGGTAGGTATTTTTTTCATCGTGACACACGATGACGAAAGACGAATGGACAACAATAATTATTACAGCACGAGCCAAAATAACGGGAGAACAAAAAAAATAAAAATAAAAAAACAATGACGAAAAAACCCCAGATAAGAACCGTTTGTACAATAACACGGTGACTGGTATACACGGTTTTTTTTTTTTTTTTTGTACAATTTTTCACGTACTACCGCCACAATCTCGTAGCCGAGGGTTTTTTGAAAAAAAAAAAAAAAGTACTTTTATAATACCGCAGCGGTGTCTCTCCGCGCAGTTTATTCCGCCATTCGGCCGGAGTTGTCGTTCATAAACCGAGACATTTTCCTAATGGCGTAGCAAAAAAAAAAAAAATGCAAAAAAAAACCGTATATTTTTACGACGGCCCCGAGGCACCGGGATAAAAATTAATACCTCCCCGCGATCCGTAAAAGGTAAAACGACTATGACGACGCGCAGGTGGTGCGTATAGAATTTTTTTTTATACATTTCCGAAAATACGAACAAGCTTACGAAGGCACTTCGACCGTAAACCAAATCGTACGTGTATGTACGCTGTACAGGTATATATTTATATATAATTTTTTTTCTGCCGAAGACGTTATCGGATCGAAAAACGTTTTCAGAAATTAAATTCGTTCGGCATATACCGGCGTACTAGATAATAATATTATACACCTATAGGTACAATATTAAATATTCCACGTCGATACGGCGAAGGTCACGGAAAGCCGCCGCTGATATAACAAACGTCGAAAACGGAAATTTAAAAATAAAATACATAAAAAAAAAAAAAAAAAAAAAAGGAAACACCACGGGATGTTCGTTCGTCGTTACAATATAAAAGTTGTATTCGGTTTCTCGGAGGTTGCGTTTATTATTATTTTTTCGATTCGACTACGCGTTTACGTACGTTCCGGAGTATTTATTTTTTATTATTACCTATTTTTGTTTTGTGTTCTACAAATTTACGTTGTCTAATAACAATCGATTTTCGGATAACCTACGCTAAAATGCGAACAACAAAAAAAAAAAAAATCCCGTTTCTATATGTTATTTTTTTTTTCTCGCGTTTACGTACGTTCGTTCAGAAAACAATAAAGGGTCCCGCACGCACACACCCAGCCAGCCACCCACCCACCCACCAACACACGCACACACACACTGTCGGGGAGCGTTGAGAAATCCTATCGGACGGACAAAGACCGTCGTAATAACGCCGAATAACCCCGGCGGGTTCGACCGACCGAAATTGCCGTAATTGCAGTACCTAGGTAATATTGATAATAATATAATAATACTCACATTTTCTGAAAAAGCGCACGCCAGTAATAAAGTTCGTACGAATGGGTCATTCGCCGCCGCGGGTTGTCGAAGAAAATCGCTACGAAATTTCCGGCTTTATAAAAACGCGGTGCTAGGCGACAGTTGCACGTCGGACGATGAGACTGCGGAAGAGACGAGACATAGAAGAACGGCGGTCGCTAATGTGCGGTCGGTCGACAACGCGTTTCGAAGCTCATTGACAAAAGACGGCGGCAGCGGCGGTGGCGGGAAAAAAACCCGAAAGCGTTTTTGAATTTCGTTGAAATAATCACTTTTACCCGACTGCCGGCCGTCCCCAGCTGCCGTCACTCTACACACGATATGATAACGAAATTCCATTACGTAAATTGCCTTTAAATCCTAGTATAATAATATTATCCGGAGTACCGCCGCGGTTTTCTTATTTTGCTTTGGGTTTTTTTTTTATTGTGCCGTTATCTCTTTTTTTACCCTATCTCGTGACGAAATCGTACGGATTTGGTGATCACAATAAAAATAAACGCGCGTCTTGCGAACACACGGGAATAAGGCGGTCTCGCGTTAAATTTCCCTCCGAGAATGGGAAAATGGGCATTTTGTATCTTAGTAAGGAAATTATTAACAATATTATTAGTAAAATTATATAAACGTAAATAATATATTATTTTGGCGTGTATTTTAACGAAAATGTCAGTACATTATTTATAACGGTTTTAGCGTTTAGGATTTGAGTATTTATACTAAATAATGAAATCTATTGACCACAGATATAAATATACTTACTAGTATAATATATACACACATATTTATATATATATATATAAATCTGGTGCTTGAAGCGGCCTTATCATATACCTACTTTCATATTGTGATAACTGTTGAATCTGTCTTTTTACCGCTGTTATCGCGGTTACCAAGACCGTGATTTACTAAAAACAATACACAGATTTAACAGTTATCACGTATCGCGATATAAAAGTAGACGATCCTCGAAATAGCGGATTGAACCTGCACTTCTTAACACCGGTCAGCAATCCAGTTTATTGCGTATTATAATATGTGTGGTGCCGGTTAACTAAAACGCATGTCTAAGAATTATTTGTTCGATATTGAAATTAAAATTGCACTATATTAGTCTGTGACGAGCATTATTTATGTTCTATGAAAAAAATGTAACGACCGAAGTTGTTCGGTGGTGAGATTTCGTTGTCTTCAGAGGGAAAACTGTTAATGCCTATCTAGCATCACTGGCGTACGACGACGGCCTTTTAATTTCCGGACGTGCACGCGTGATATTTTAACAATATAATAAAAATATTGTTATTATTATACACGAAGAACAGATTCTTCTCGTGAAACTCGGGCAGCATTTACCAACGCGATAATAATTTCACGGCAAACAAAAGTTTGATGGGTAGGTAGGTATGCAAACAAAGTTATACATTATTATATAGTAACCTCCAGCGGTCCTACAGCGAGAAACCGCAAACGGCCGTCACGCATAGTTCGTTACGTCAAAAACTTTTCCAACGTCGTCGAACAGATAAGGACACACATAATAATAATAATAATAATAATAATAATATTGTTATAATGTACGGTGTGTATGTACGCAGTCATGTCGTCACCGCCAGTCGGTCAAATTAATATAATTGGGAGTAGCAAACGGGATTTTTGAAAACTTTCGCCCGTATTAAGGTACGCGTCGTTGTCACGGCGTCGTACCCCCGATTTGCACTGCCCCCGCGAGTAATACGGCTGTACAACGTGGGGGCGGCGGAAGGTTCGTTGTTGTCGGTGTGGTAAAAAAAAAATCGCAGACGTCATTAGAAAAAAAAAAAACCACTCTTAAATATAATCCAAAAGTTTTACTTGTTCGGAAAACGGGTTATTATATTATTATTATTATTATTATAACAATGGTCGCCGTGACGCATCGCGTCTGGTACCGTGTGCGAGCGTAATCGCGACGACGGGATAAGGTCAAAGTCTCGTCGCGAACTTATACACAGATACCTATTTTATGTAGGTAACCGAACCGTGGAAGCAGCATAACGGTAGCCGGTAACACCGGTAACGTAATAAATAAATATGATAATACGGTTAAGGTATATACGGGCGAAATTCCCCCGTCTACCCGCGCCACGACCGCATTTGGTTTCTCGGTTGAACTCTCGGGCACACACACACACACACACACGGCTGAAAAGAGACGATTATTATTACGTGCGTATACACCGACGGCGGCACATATACACAGTATACACGGAAGGTCGATCAATATATACAGGGGGTAGCAGGTGTGTATATATATACACGAGAATTCCAAGAGAGAGAGAGAAAGCGCGAAGAAAATAACTAAATAATGGACGTCAAAAGTGTGTAACGATTTGCCGTGAAAATATAACGAAAACTTATTACTGCTGCGCGGGGCTTGTCACCCGTCCACTGGTATACTGACAATAATATTAAGAACAATACTCGTTTAAAAACAAATTGATTCGATAATACGTACGTAATATTATTTTGATACTGTATGGCCGTTGAAAGACGGAACGAATGATAATAAAACAAGAACGCATCAGACGATTTCCTATAGGTTTCGTCGAAAACACGTATAATATTATACGAGAAATTATTTTGAGTTATAAGCACACATTTTTTTAGACCCCCGACGAAAATCATCGAACAAATTAAATACTTAAGGGGACGTGATACCTGCACGTGTTGTTTAACAAACGTACATTTAATAAAAACACGCGTATGAGGATTATCCAAAACTAATAATGCTTATATCTCGCTTGAAAATTAAAATATCGAACAAATAAAAAGGTAAATTATTTTATGTTATAACGCTCAAAACCCCACCGGGCTACGCCGCGGGTTGACAGAATTACCGTATACGTTATACAAAACCATACCTCGCTGGAAAAACTTTCACGCCTAGTAGAATTTGTTTTAGTTTTAAATATGAAGACTTTTTGAAAAATATTATTGAACACTGATTAACAAAATTAAAATTCTTTATCGTCTGTTTTAAGCGTTTGAAAAATTCGAAATTTTTTAACCATTTTTTCCAGCATTACATATATATCGTTGGCACGTAATTCAAACAGACCCGGCGTTTTTTGATTACACTTCATATATATATGTATAGGAAAATTTACGCAGAGTAAATAATATCGCATGCAAATATTATAATATAATTATTCTTGTTGACGAAGAAATGTTAGAACGCCGCTGCAGGAAACGAAATTAAGGCTCCTGAAAAACTTAATTTAACGTAAGTCGACTGGAAAATCCATTACATAATATAACACTTAAAAATTTAAATTCATTCTTTATATTACATTATAGCCGCTGCAGTGTGAGACAATTCCGAATGAAGGTTTATTTTATATTGTTTGAGTACTCAAAACGGAAATATTTAAATTTTTTTTTTTTTAATACTGATTTTCACGATTATTATACGCCAACAAATTGCCCGACAATCGTATTTATCTAACGAATATTAAATAACAAAAACCGTTGGTATTTTGTTTTTTATTATTATTAGCGGAATCTTTTATTTTATTTTTGTAATTTATATGTCAACTTCGTATATTATTTAACACATAAAACGCACAAGTATTTCGAATTCTGTATTACTCGCGCGTGTAGTAAATCATATTATTATATTATTATCATAATAACAATATAAGCTATTTGACAATAAACCCAAGTGGTTTCTGTCAAATAAACGCGATGAAGTATATTATATATAATTTATTTATTATATTATATTTGATGGATTTTTAAAATTATAACATTATATGATGATAAAATACACGCACGACTATAATGAAATAGAAAACAAAATAACAGGTAAAATATTGTTTTAAAGAATCTAATTTGAAACATTCTAACGATCCAAAGCAGTTAATTTCCCATCGATTTATACATAATTTCAAAATTAAAAATATAATTTTAATGTTTGTACCGTTTTTGAATAAATTACATTATAAATTATAATTAACTAACTTAAATATTTAAATAAGAAACCATCGATTGATTTCATAATAATAGTCGAGAGTGATGCTAATTTTATATGATTAATAAAAAATATTACTTAAATGAAGTGGAAAGTTAATTTCTTTTGGTTTTTAAAATTTTATTCTGGTTTATTCTAGGACTATCAAATATAAGGTATACTTATTTTAAATTCGACATATATTTAATGAGTACGGCGAAAAAAAAATAACCAGTTATACGATAGTACTAATTCAAATAATGTTTTGATTGTAAATTATATGCTATGTTAAAATCAACTTGTAATTTATCAAGTTATTGTTAAACAAATTAATTAAAAATTTCAACTTTTTAACCATGCTCATTGCACAGCTTTGCTTATATAATTACAAAAATTATGGTACATCTATGATTGTTAAATTTGAAATTTTTAGGCACTTAAAACAATAGATTCAATTATTTTGTTGCTGAACAAGTACAGCATAGAGAAATATACAAATAATTATAAAAAAATCGCATACATCATAGTAAAAACTATATATTCATAGTTGAACTAAAGAATTTAAAACAAAAAATTAAATTAAAATAAGTACTCGAAAATTTGACCACATCTTTAAAAAGATAATATAAGTATTACATAAAAATCTGTACGATTATTTTCACTGAACTAAAAAACAAAACGAAAATAATGAAATCATTTTTTCTGTAAATTTTCCGTTTTTCCCAAATATTAAGAAAAGTGCTTATCAATGTGCCGAGTGAATCTAAAATACTACAATAAGGCTCTCTTATATTTTTTTGATAAGACTAACAATTTTGGTATAGAAAAGTTGTCCATGGACATAAAAAATAAAAAAAAATCATGCCTAGTAAAACCATTGTGCTTGGAATCTACATTTTTTCTGTATATCTTATATTTACAGGCGAGTCGTTTGGATAAAATAATGTAAGTACCAACCTAGATATTTATCATAATTGATTTAGTTTAAGAGAGTTTGTCCGTAATATATAATATCTACGTATAGTTTGTTTGTCAATATGGTCATAAAATATACGACGGGGGAGGCCGTTAAGGGGTAGGCAAATGTATAGTGACGATATGTAGGTATATACCATTAACCATAGTTCGACCCTCATAAATTCAGTCACACGCCGAGCTTACTGTCAACGGTTCCGCGCTCTGCAGTTATTCAAAATGTATTTTACCTACACACAGCATAATATTATGGGTATTTTTTCCGTTCGGCAGAGTCGTAATGCGAGCGTTATATGAATGGTAAATTATTAACGTGCGCGGGATCGTAAAAAAAAAAAAAAAAACTTCGGTTTGACGATAATATAGATGCAGTTATAATATAGTATTTAATATATCATCCGAAACAAAACATAAAACACAAAAAAAAAACCCCACTTCCGTTAAAATTATCATCGAAATCATCCCAGATCTGCATATTTTGTATATTATATTTAAGCGCTACCGCGTAATTTAATGGAGAGGCGTTTTAAAAAAAAAAAAAAAAAAAAAAAAATCAAACGATTTTATTACGTTGCGTTGGAAATATAAATATGGCGAGAAACGGGCCATTAGTTAAATTGACATTTTAAATTTTCGTTTGCGCCTATAGCCGATATTCAACAATACATTTTGGCCGAACAACATCCAAACGATATTCTCACTTTGGATTCAGTCGAATATCGGTTTCCAGAAAATTCTGAACTATTGAACCAATTGCGGTTGTCCGATATAATTACATTATACATTTGAAAAATTAACTACTCTACCTCGGGTCAGTTAATACAATTGCCCGGGTATGAACACGCGTACGGGGGAAAAAAAAAAACGAAGTGCATAAAATATATATTAAATGTTACATCCCCGGCCAGTCAAACTCGAAATTCCTGACGGCGGCGGCACCGGTGCAGCCTCGTGTAAATATTGTAGTCGTGTATACCTGCAGGGATTTGGCTCGACTGCGTTTTTATTTACGGCGGAAATGACGCAACACGCGCGCGACAACTCCCGCGCGGAATCCTTATCCCCGGAGACCGTGCAACGAGTTTGCGGTTCCATACGTCACCCCCCCCCCCCCCNCCCCCCCGCGCACTACACACCGTTCCCCCCCACCCGCCGGTCACCGCCGCCGACAACGTTCCATCCGGTCCGGATGTACAGGGTGCCACATACACACACACACACACACACACACACACACACGCATATTATATATCCGATATCGTAGTACCGCGCGTGCGACTATCTCGTGCGCGATAAATATATGTTATGGTACCGTCGTCGTCGCCGTCGTCTTCGTCGATATAATCCGTGCAACGTATCGGCAAAGCGGATTATCTGCGCATCGGCGCGGTACACGGTCGCGCGGACCGGAAACCCGTACGGGTACCGTTACGGACGACGAGGAGACGACGGCGGCGGGCGCGTTTGGCCGCGGGAGGGCTTCCGAAACGTAGCGGGAAGGGCGGAGGAAATCGTACAAAAAAAAAAAAAATATAGAGTAAAAAAAGGAAAAAAAAAAAAACGCTCCGTTAAATATATTATTATACGGACGTGGGGCCGGAGGAATATACGGCTTCCGCGAGCGATGTAAAACGCCGGCCGGCGTGTAGCTGCCGCGGCGGCAGAATACGAACGCATACACATTGCGACGGTGGTGCGGAGAAACGTTTTGGTGCAATGCAGGTATGCGTATGCTGCCGGCCGCATATAAATATACGGTGTATAATGCGTGCGGCGCGGCCGTGTGCACCGCACAGACTCGCGATGGTAGTAATAATAATAATAATAATAATAATAAAAATAATAATACACTACCGGAGCCTATGTATTTTTTGGCTCCGGTTTCCGTATTAAATTCCGGAACGATTATACGGAACGGCCGTGAAATATTACGCGGCGTCGGATTATACGGAAAAACAACGGGTTGGCATCGGATCGGAGAACGTTTTCGGACCCCGTTCCGCCGCGGCTCCCGAGACCCGGCCCTTTTCGCCCAACCGAACCTATCTACCTCGCTCCCTCTCGCCGCCCGCCAGTCGTTTTGCCGTCGGTAAAATAATAACGTAATCTACGCTAAAAGACGTATAATACCGCGTTATGAAACGTGCAACCGCAGCGCGGTATGCATCATTACTCCCGCGTCTCGGGGACGGCGGTGAAAAACCGCCCAGAGATTACACGGCGGTTCCTGCGTCGCCCTGTCACCCTGCTGTCCGTGTAACGCGATACGAACGTGTCGTATACAGGGCACACCACGAACGCCGCCGCCGATCGGTGCGGAGATTTCGAGAGCCCGCAGTGTACATATATACAATACAATGAACGATGTAACGGACGTACACGTTGCACCGCTCGGGTGTTCGTTCTTTAGAAACGTTACTAATATTGCGCGTACGTAAATATGTTAATACGGTACAATACGGCCTGAGAGCACGCATATATGGGGGGTACTTCCGACCTGCGGGGTGTATATTATTGGCACGAGTAACCGCCGTAATTCCGATCTCGGGCAGAGATTGAACACGGAATTATTATCGTCCGCGTATACATATATAATAGCGTATAGTAATCAGTTTTCGATTTATTATAATATTGTGTATGGCCGCAGGTATAATGGGCCGACCGAGGATATAAACCCCCGGCCGCGGGGTGCCGGGGGTCTTTGTCTCGGAGGAAAAATTAAACCGCCTCCGCTCAGCTGTAATAACATATAATCGCGATAGCGCGTCTGAATTGTAAGGAGCGGGCACACTAGTTCAGTGTTCGATCATTTAGCGTTGTATAGATTGCGTGTCGTCGATACCGTTTAACTTAATCGGTCACAGGGTTCGGGCTAGGGAAATCGACTGAAAACGGACGACAAAATAAATTAAATGCATACGAGTACTGAACAATAAGAACATTTAGAAATAATGGCACGGTGCAGAGGTTTGATTATTTACAGTCGAAATGTATTTATGGAAAATATAGGTGCGAATGTATAGTGAATAACGTAAAATCCAAAACGTTGCGGCTATACGTGTATCCCCATGCTGGATTTGGCGTAATCTCTACGAAAACGTTAAATGTCCGTAATGTTCAGTAACACGCGCCGAACATTACGAAAATGTACAGTAGTCGGACGTGATTTCCGCGTTTGTCTCTGTTCGGTATACAATACTGCAGCTACGCGATAATAACGTTTGGGTGTTTTTTTTCTTTTTTCTTTTTTTTTTTTTTTTGTTGTCTTTCGAGGCGAAACTTTATCGGCACGGCGTTAATACCAAAACGGATGATTATTATTTTGGCGCGCTTACAGAATATGCATTAGAGCCGCAAGTCCCGGGCAAGTTTTCGACTCGGGCGTTATATTGTAAACTCTTATCGATTTCGAAACCTGCACGTGCCCGACTTGGCGGGGCACTATCTTGTGTTTGAGCTATTCAATTACATACTATTACATAAGTTTGATAATGATATTATACGTATCGGGTTCGGTGTAGTATTTTGTAAACAGCGTGTCTACATTTTCGACGCATAAACCGAATAACAATCGGAACATAATATTCAAATCGTCAATGGACGTGGATAGGCGGTATATACGAAACCTATCTATGACGGTAACGCGGAAGTGTGTAATAAACGATATTCTCGACATGATATCTTTGGGGTAAACGAATTATGTCGTTCTATTAAAACAAATATAATATATTACGTGGAACGACGATCGACAAAACCGATATCGGCGAAGGGCGAAAACCTTGATTATAAAATTTGTTTTTTTTTTTTTATTTTCACTCAAACGATTCCAGTTATATACTCAAATGTTATTATATGGTTTTTATTCGCGTACTTATTGTTTTTTTTTTTTTTTTTTATATACGTACTATAAAACGAAAATTGACTTATAGGTCAGGCAGGCGTGCTTGTATAATAATAATAATAATAATAATAATAATAATATGCAGTCGGATATTATTATACTTTNACCGATATCGGCGAAGGGCGAAAACCTTGATTATAAAATTTGTTTTTTTTTTTTTTTTTTATATACGTACTATAAAACGAAAATTGACTTATAGGTCAGGCAGGCGTGCCTGTATAATAATAATAATAATAATAATAATAATAATAATAATAATAATAATAATAATAATATGCAGTCGGATATTATTATACTTTCGCAGTATATACCTAGTATGCAGTGTATACGTCGCGACCAAAACGCAAACTCTGCTCCGACACGATTTACATTTGCGTCCGTGTCTATATAATTGCGTACGCGCGTATATTATATTGCGCGAGTACCATGACGTTTTGCGGTACCGAATTTAACTACCGCGGTAAGGGTGCAGACGGGGAGGGGCCGGCGATAGGGGAGGACTATACACACACACACACACACACACATATATATATATAGTCGTTATATAGGTACATAATATAATGTATTATTATATTGCGTATACGTATATTATATTGTACATGATATTATAATACTATATTCCGTCGTGTCCGCCGCCCGCCGAAATAAGGGAAAAAGGAGACAATAAATCGCGGACCCCATTATGTGCGGCGTGTGTGTTTGTGCGTGCGTGCGTGTACGTAGTGCGCGCGTTATTTCCTGTCCGAAACAAATGCGTGACCCCCCTCCTCCCTCCCCCCGAGCGTATTATTATAGTCATCGCAAGCGCCGTCATAAATACGCACGGGAAACCGCGCGCGTATACCTAACCGTTTGATTTAGCGCGCGGCCCGTCTTTAAAACGGGGCGGACACGGGGAGGTTTCGCGTTTTTTTTCCGCATGTGTTTGGCACGACTATACCGTTCGGCGTACAATAATAATAATAACAATGGTGATAATGATAATATATTATAGTCGTTTTGTACCAGAACTTTCTCTCTCTCTCACTCTCTCTGCTCTATATATACATCTCTCAGCGCGTGGTTATTTACGGTAAAACCGCCTGGCAATGGCGGAAGAAAAAAAAAATTGTGAAAACGAAATAACATTAAAAAGCTCGGCGATATTATTAAACGGCTATTAAAAAAAAAAAAAAAACCGCGATAAGCGAAAGTGCGAACGGGGGGTTTTGTTTTTCGATTCCGAACGAATAAGCAATCGAGGAATGTTTATTGGTTCTATTGCGCTTTGATGTACGGATTTTTAGATTATCTGATCGAATCGAGGAATGCGTACTGTTTTTTTTTTCCACCGTCCGTCTGTCAAGAGGACGTGATACCCGCGTGTGCTGTCTGCGTCTTACAAACGTACGACACATAGCAAATTTCCGTTTGGCAGGGATGGCCGTTTGGCAAATTCGTGCTGTTTCTATGAAATATCAAAATTTAATAATCCTGATATCTCGCTTATTAGTCTATAATATATTTTTCCCTATCCAACTTTTCTCCTAGTGGCACATCCACCGGTCGTATATGCCTTTTATTTTTTTCCCCCCCATAATAAATGAGTAGGTTTTTTAGGACAACATATTTACCCTTTGCGACGGATCACAGTGACGTTTATATTTTTGTATACGATAGCGCGTATCCGTGGGCGAGGACGCCGCCAGAAACGACTATCATATATAAAAGTTAAACGTTTTTTTTTTTTTTTTTTTGCCCGTTCTTTTCAGGCCGGCAGTTTGTATAAGGTTAATTTAAAAAGGCCATTATACGATATTACGTAGTGTGTAATACGGACGCGAGCAGGGGCAGATCAGAAGAGGACTGGCGCGCGTTATCGTCACACATATATTAAACGCAAAAAGGACCCCGGGGAAAAGTCGCCGCGTATCGGTACGTACACAAACGCTGCGCGCACACGAGCGTATTATTATTATTATTATTATTACCATGCCCGCGTAAATATTATAATTACCGCGCGTGTTACTCGCTCGATGCCATCGAAACAATAATACAACGCCCGGGCCCCGGACCGCGCCGAGCCGCGAAACGTGTTTTCGCGCGCGGCGCGATAGGCGTAATAAATCTGCCGGCGACAGCGCCGGGGACTCCGCGGGTCAACGTCGCGAATTGATTAACGGCCAAAGTCCGCGAGGAACGCATTATAATATGTAATAATAATAATAATAATAATAATTATGCGGGCACAGTAACCATAATTACACAACCGGTTCTGCAATAAAATCGCTTGTCGGCCGCCGGTGCGGCGGCGGCGGCGGCAACGGCGTCGGCGGCGGCCGGAACTGTAGGAATCTGCTCCGACCCGCATAAATCTCGAGGCCTTTGCCGCGCGGGTCTCGTAACCGTATACACACACAGATATATATATATATATACGGTTGGTGATAAGGACGACGATACACGTTACCCCGGTTATCCGCGTTATTTATTGCCGCGCGGAAAATCGATTCCCGCGATAATTCGAAACTTCGGCGAACCTAAAAAGCGACAATTATCCGAAATCCCGTGGCCGCGTGCACACTCCGCAGAGTTCGGAGCCGAGGTTTTCGAAGATCTTTATTTACCCATTGTAATACACTCTGACAAAATTATTCGTGATCAATTGCCAAATCCAACGCAACGCGAACTTAAAAATTGCGCGATTGCATGGACAATCGTACGGAACCCGTGACAATAAAACCAAAATTGACTGAAAGGCAACGAGTTAAACATTCAATTTAAATCGAATACGTAATTTATTAAGAAAACTTTAAACAAGTTGACGGAGTCATTGCGCCGACTTAATTTTCTCAATAAATTAATCGATTTAAAATTTAAAATGAAAGTTTAACCCATTGTCCCAACTCAATTTACTTTAAACGAACCAGGTATGTTCGGGTCCGTAGAGTCTTGCCTCCGAAATTTAAGCTTCCCACCAAAAAAAATCAGATTATTGGTACAATAAATTATTGATAAATACGGATAAACAGTAAATCCAATATTAGTATTGTGCATATCAAATGTTTAGAAAAATATTCTCTATTTGAATCAGTATTTAAAATGAGAAGGAGGGTTGATTGGAATTTTAAATTAAAAATGTATACATCTTTTAGGTATAACGAGTAGGTATAGGGGTAATAAATTGAACAGTGTTAAAATAAAGCTTAAACGATTCCTTAACGATTGATAAATAAAATGCACTTGTTAAAACCTATTGCCGTGTTTTAACGCAAACATATCTCCGCCTAAAACGGTAAAGCGGCAGTGTCATTTTTCAAACAATATTGGGGGAAAGAGGTTTAGAGTTTATAAAGGTTGCACAAGGAATCGTTTTTGCGAAAGTGCTTGAAATGTTCAAGCTCGCAGTCTATTTTTACGTATTTAATAAAAAATACATTGGCCGAGGGTATTTTTTTTCTTTGAATTTTTATCTTGAGATTCCCGGCCGGGACGCACACTATGCACACCCGCTCGTACTTACGGTTCGGTCGAGACAAACATTAATTTACCTACTACTCGTTCGTCGAGCCCACGATGCCGTATCAGCGAAAACCCTGTACATCTCACGCATTCATGGGAAAACGTGCTGATCAAACAGAGTGAAAAATAAATTACAAGAGAGATTGTATTTTTTTTTTTTTTTTGAGAAGTGTATAAAAAATATGTATGCCTACCTAAACTAGACCGATAAATAATTAATAGCGGCGTATAGTGATAGGTAGGTAGGTAGATATATAGTCGTATCATATGCACTTAACGCGAAAAGGGGAGTGATGGTATTTTTTTTTCTATAGATGGGCTTATATATAATATAATATTTATTATTGGGAATTTTTCGCATCTTTTCTTTTCTTTTTTTTTTTTTTTTTTTTTAATGACTACGTACGTATATAATACGAAAGCAGAGGCTCGATTTCAAGTGGTCTCTCTTTTGTCCCGCGCGCTGCACGAAACGAAAACCTATACATATAGCTTTTAGCGGAGTGACCTTTTATTATTATTATTATTATTATTATTATTACGATACACGCATTAAATATGTACAGAGAAAAATTGCTTTCTCCAAAAGGCTGAAGAATATACATCGTCGACGTTCGCGCTTATATATAAAGTTCTTTGAATAATGCATTAGGCGAAAACGACTCTTTAAACTACTTGCACTATATAATGCGACGACGACGACGACGATGACGCGGTGTTGCGGGGTTACCGGGCAGTTTTCAAAAAATCGCGATGACGTAAATTAATCAAAAACAGCTTAAAATATTATATTGTATATTATGCTGCTGCGGAAATATTTTGGAATATTCGACACGAATATTCGGTTTTTCTATATATAACAACGACGGTGATAAATGATAAACAAAAAAAAAAAAAAAAAAAACGCGCCTTAGAAAATATAATTTAGTAGAAAAAAAATCCGCCGAAACATGGAGTTTTTAATGTTTTGATATATCTATTATAGGTATCTATAATATCTATAAAAACCACCGGAAACGAATTATATTTAATCCGAATAACCCGCGTTTTAAAATATATCCACTAAAAATACCCCTTGTACAAATAATCCCCGTTTTTCATAATTCCGAGGCGAAAACGGAATACTCTCGTTATGTCAGTCGATCCCCACATCGCAGACTTATAACTCCTATTTTTCCGAAGATTCTGATGAAATTCTGTAGGTGGACAGATGTGTCTTATGTGTTTCCTATCATTATACCGCGTTCTATATGTGAACCGCCATTATACAATTGTGTAATGAAATCACAAAAACAATAATTTAGGCGTGTAACTCATACAGCTATGATATTTCTAATGGCGATATTTTGTACAAAGGATATTTTTAATACGAGTTGTTTCTAACGGCGGTACGTCGGATATTTTGAAGTGCGGCATATACTTAAGGGTACATCTCCGGGACGCGGTTTTAATCCGATCGTAACAGACGTCGATAATGCGCATTCATAAATTGAAAAAAAAAAAAAAAAAAAAAAACTATATACCTATAATATATGTTCAAACACGTCCATAAAAAATAAAGGGTGAAGATAATAAAAATAATACGAATTATAGTCTAATAAGAGCAGAAAAGAACAAATATATATATATATAATCTATTATAGAGTAATACATAAATAATACATATTTATATATGTATATACACACAATTCAATATACGTGTGATGTTAATACAAGAAGAAATTATATAGCGTCCACATCAATCGATATAATTATTATATTACTTATAGTTATTATTTTCGAAAGCCATGTGCACATTTCAGCTGTTTGATCGCTGCATTAGTGGATTAGTGTTTATTATTATTATTATATTTTTTTTTTTTTTTTTTTTTTTATCAGCTCATTGTAAGACATTGAGTTATACGGCATAAAGACGAACTCAGTTTTGAAACTTTTATAGACATTTTTAATTATTTAGGTATTTTTCCTCCTTCTTTTCGGGTATCTTACTCTGTTTTTAATACAATTATATGGTATTTAAATTTTTTTTTTTTTTTTTTTTTTTTTTACGATTCTAGTATTTATATAATAATAATATGTACTGCAAAAATATATACAATGATATATATATGTATTTGTAAATCAACTTCGATCAAGCCATTTTTGTAAAGTTTTTTTTTTTAATATTATAGAAGTATACAACAAAACAAAAATATAAATCAAACATTTATATTTATATATAATATATATATATAAAACAATATTCAAATAAAAAATTGTTACTGAAACGGACTGCACTATATTATTATTATATTATCAACCACAAACTTCTACACATACGTCTACGCATCTACGGAGTTTTTTTTACGTCTTATCATTATTAGGACTGTGAATTTATAGAAAATGCATATTTTTTTTTTTTTTTTTGTTACTTTCAATATCAAATTATTAATACCTGAATTTGTTCATAATAGCTTCCTGATGGAGAGGAGGAGTTAAAGTGTTGTTTATAGTGCATTAAATTCACAGTCCTAATGTGTTTTTTTTTTGTTTTTGATTTTTTTTTGTTTTTTTTTACAACGATTAACTCCCGATGACATCACTGTACCCATAACTTACTTAACGCTGAAAAATAGAGGGTCTGTCATGAACAGGTACGAAAACGGCCGAACAGGCGCGTATGTCGGGTGTGTTCATATGCAGGTAGTAAGTAGTAGTAGGAGGAATAGTATTCCCGTCCTCCTTCGGGCTTCTGAGGTCGGAAAATTCTATCCAACCACATCAACGACGCGAATACGTTAAATCCGTAGTAGTCATTATAATAATTTGCGTTCAACTTTGAACACGGTTCGGTCAAGGACGTTCATAAGTATATAGCCTAACAGAACCACATATACGGTATATATTTATACATAGATATAATATGTTTCGATTTCTGTTAGTTATTGTTAACACTTATAGATATTATTTGTATTAAGTGAACGTTTTTCATTATGGAATAATAATAGTAATAATAATAATAATAATAACAATAATTATAAACGACGAGTACTGTCGGTTTTACACTGTTTTCAAACACCAAAGTACTCGGCGGCGTGATTCCTTACCTTGTGGATACTCGTAAAGGAGCCTGGGAATACAGTTTGGAAGTAGCGATAGCCAGCTTTGAATCTTATAGTAAACTCTCGTTTAAACGTTTATTTGAATCTGTGAATTAAAAAAAAAAAAAAAAATACAAATTAATTAACTAGTTAATTGCAAGTCGTGTAATGTAATATACAGTGTATTATTGCAAAGGGAACGCGCGACAACGCTACTTTGAGAAGAAAAACCTCGAAACACGAGAAGTTTTACGAGTATAACTTTAAATCGCACACTCCAGAGCAAACAAAGCCATTTATGTGAGTGGAGAAGATGACGGACTCGACTGCTGCTAAAGGGATTACGGGATTAAATGTTTATACATTTATATTAATATAACACAAAGAAAGACTTTTTCGTAATTTTTAATACCGTGTTGGTTTTTACGACCACTCATCCGAGGTTTTTGCAAGCCTTCTGGCAACCCAACAAACATGTTAGTAAAGTAATCGAAACTCAACGTTATTACACATTTACTCCGAGTGACGACATTTTCGATTTTTTGACATTAATAGTAAGGATACAAATACTACAGTCATAGTTTATTTTTCCATGGAATAACTCCATAATACTATGATTTACTCCATGCGACGTCAGCTTAGATGCATAATGTAATCTTGTTGACACGATTACTTTAGTCAAGTTTATAACCGAACGATAATATTAGTTTAGCGTTTGAAATTTTGTTGGATCGTATAGGTATGTTCAAATGTGTCCAAATTTGTTTACGGGATTGTGAAAACAGAGTATGGAAAATATCATAAACTTCAAAAATAATAAATACCCGAGATGATTATAAGTCGTAATAACAAAATAATATATTTACTTGACATAACCTATAACACGGAGAAAACAGTATTTTGGTAGTTTTCAAATCCACGAAAAGCATCTCATTCCATCCGTCTATAATATATTATTTTTCAGTTTAATTTTTTGACAGACAAAAGGATCGGTATGCAAATGTATAGTCCGTTATAATTTAAATGTCTATATGTATGAAGAAACCACACCGGATAGGACAAAAGCATTTTTAAGGGATACACGCCGTGAATTTCGGTTTCTTGGACATTATCAGTGTTTTCTCTCATCGATATCGTGGCCAGCTGGATTGTGCATTAACTTACCTAGAGAACCCATTTAACAAGAGAGTGGATACTGTACAACCGATCTTATTAGCGCTAATTCGATAATTAGTTTATAACCTTGTATATAAAGGATTGGCGGTTAAGTGAATTAATAGTTAAGTTCCACTAGTGATATTAGCCCTAGTGGAACACAGCTGACATTTATACGGTAGAGCGTAAAAAAAAATCGCAATAAACGGTGACACTCATGACAAGTAGCCAATAGAAAACGGTTCCGTAGTTGAAGACGTCTCTCTGATTGTATTGGATCTCTATAGTTGTACCTATATAAATCTATATGTATGTATTACCCACTATAATTTGCATTACACCTATTATAATGTATATTATGTGTATATATACATTCAAATATATTATTTCGCGTTTGACAGAAGTCAATTTAATAATATTCATGTTTATATAGACAGTTTGGAGAATTATTGTGCGATGGTTTGTTCCGGGATATAATAGGACCATATATATTATTATACAAACGCGTATACACAATAATACACACAGCGAATACAATGCACTGTATACACTATACATACAGACGTGTCGAGAGTGGAATTATTTGTCTACAATCGTAAAACTAATTTCATTTCAAGTTCGAGTGTCCATGTTATGTACGTAGGTTACGTAGGTAAATTAATAATTTGACGGCTAATGGGTAAAATACTTTTTAAAAGCACAGCGAATACATTTTGGAATACACAATATATACAATAGTACAATAAAAATAGTATTCCGAATATTGTATATTTACATATTTGAATACTTCACAACAGTAGTATTTTCAAAATATTATCAATATCCTGCGAAAGGTTTTTTGAATATTTTTTAGGAGTAAAATTGTTTTGTTATTTTTCAAGTCAAGTTCGAATTACTTAAGGAAATTAGATAAAACATTATGATAATAGGTAAAATAAGTTTTGAAAAACTATTAGCAATCCAAAACGAGAGAAACAAAGTGTTTTTTTATTCTTTAGAGATATTTTTTTAAAGGATTCGGAATACAGTATTCAGAATATGCTATTTGAAAAACTACCCGAGTTTGTTTGCAGGTGATGCTAATGGTATGTTTCCAGCCTAATAGTCGACTTTAAAAACATTAACAAAGCTTGTGTTCATATTCATATATTATTAGGTATATATATATAAAACGTTAATATTCCATTACTTAGACTGCGGAAAGTTAGCAAACACACACAATTTTACGTGAATGATGAAATTTCATATAGGTAAGTGTACCTATATTAAATAAGTTGATACACATAATCTGCAGAGTTCACCGGTAGTAAACGACAAAAAGTTTAACAGCATAATTACATGGGTCGGTATATAGGTACTTCGCTGCGGTTTGGTACTTAAATATTATATACAAACCAGCTGTTTATTTGAAACCGTATACAATTTTGAAATTTAACGATTTCGAGTTTTTACGCAGTATGAAGCAAATAGGTGGTATACATTTATGTTCCTCAATCAAACAATTTTTTTCATTTTTAGTTTTCTATTTCGACGAATACCGGACGACCAATTGTTGATGATAAACCTTATCGATTCCATCCCCTCGCCCCAAAGACATGTTTTTTAGTCCATTAACCTTCAGATGCGTTGTGAGGCAATTGAATGTTTAAAATTTTCGAGGAACATTGGATTTTTAATCTGATTGATTCATCAGGTCTAATGAGAAACACACGGATATACTATACTTATATAGAATAGAGGTACATACTGTACTTGCAATAATAAAAAACGTTATTAAACGTGTTGTTTTACGCAGGGGATACGCATTCGACAATATTAAATTTCGACGTTCTCCGCAAGTCATTATTATTAGTATTATAATTACGAGATCCACCGTCGATTCAATCCCTAATTAGTAATTATAATATTACAGACCTCGATCTATAGTATAGTTTTACGGCACGATACGGTCGTGATTTAAATGATGTTTAATCGCGAGATAGATACGATACTACAATATTACAGTTTTACACTCGTACCTACAATAAAATAGGACTCTGGAGAACCACTACTCAACCGAGATAACAACGCGATATCGAAAATTACAATTTATCCACAAAATCAATTGATTTATTTATACAAGTACAAATTAACCGATAATATTATAGAGTTTGGTCAAAATTATTGCTCTAGATATGTATTCGAACAACGGTAAATCTGTAGAGTACAATCTCGTTTTCATAGTATAACTGAACTTGAATACATAATATAACTACAGAAAGGATACTTAGATAAGTATCATTGCGTATATTATTCTATGCAATAGCCATCTTCATAAAAAAAAAATATAACGTGACCGTGATATATTTTGTAATCATTATCACATATGATAATATATACTGATAACTGGTATCCATAAGAATCTAACATAAAAATTAAAAACACAAAAATGTCTACGTGATACAATCGTAGAAATATTATACATACAACTAGATAGGGTTGTTTATTTCTGGAAAAATTTCAAAATTTTAGCAAAGTGCGTCCCTTCTGATTATTGCACGTGATTCAATCGAAAAATGTTTGATAAATGTGAAGTTCAAACATCAATATTAATATTATTTTCTGTATATCCGGCAAGCGTAAGCGATATTGCAGCTGTTATGATAATATTGCACAACGTACAGTGTTATTTGCAGTATCCCTTCAAAGAGATAAAAAAAAATTTAATTTTAAAGTATACACGTGAAAAAACTTTTCGAGTGACAAATCCGCTCGTTTCGATTAAAGGAAAAATGTACAAAATATATACTGACTTTAAAATTCGGTTAAAAATTGTATTTACCAGTGATAACGGTCGCTGGTTTGTTTATATCAGCTCAAGAAGTTTGTAACAGTGTTAAACATTATTATATTATAACAAAAACGCTGTTTATCCGGTTGGGGTGAACGGTGGAAGATGCAAAAATATTTGTTTATCTATATAACATAAATAGTAAGGCCAAAACCGTGATAAAACAATAATCCATCGAACTTAAATACCTACATAATATGATTTGAAGTATTAAACACATATTTATTTTTTTGATATAATGCAAATGTAATAAATTAATCCCAGACAAGGGAAAAACAAGACGAGAGTGTTTATGGGTCAGATTGCCCTTAAATGTACGTGGATCGGCTAAACCGAGTCCGATTACAGTACTCTTATTGGCTGGTTCAAAGACATTCGCTATTTAAAATATATACCTTTAACCGTCAGAGCTACCAAAAGGTAATGAAATCCTAGTGGTTGTGAATTAAAACGCCGACACGAACTTGCGAATGAAGGTGACCGAATGTCCAAAATGAAACAATTTTACTACTATACTATAAATTATGTTAACACGACATTTCAACGAGCCATCCATAAGAAATCAGTCAATCAGAAATCGTAATTTAACAACACAATTCAAATTATAGCCAATGAGAGCACGCGTATTTGGACACGGCATGTGCAGGCCACTAGAGGGTTTGGTAATACGTGTCCGGGATAGTAGAACTTTCTTACACGAGCACGGTGCCTTGTAATTTTTTGGGACAAAACCCGCAATGGCGATTTATTACATACTCGGCAATGGGATTTTTTTCCTTTCGGTGGGCGGTATAGGACGAACGATCGAAACGTATACGTGTATATTATATAGTTTTCGGGTCGACATCACGGGCGACGACGACGTTTTGACAAAGTTTTTCCACGTCTTCTCCGGACGATTAATCGCCACCGTGGCGGATCGGTCCATGCCGAGATTGATCGGAAGTGTTATATATTATATAGGACGGGTGATGGGCGTAAGTAAGTAACGCGTCGTATATATATGACGTTCGCGGGAGATGTGTAATTTAGACACACATCGCCTTTGCCGGGGGTCGCGTCGAGGTTAATTTTTCAACAATCCCTCTTCCCTATATATGTATATTGTATATATATATATAACATATTATAAAGTTACACATATTATATATAAGTATACACCCGTGGACGTATCAACTAAATGGACTGCGTCTTTCTCACCCATGGCTGACAATGATCGGCTAAAAATTGACGAGCAAAATAGTATCGTGGAAAAAAAAAAATAAATTTGTCACGTTTTTCGCGGATAAAAAAAAAAAAAAAAAAAAATAAAAATATTTTCTGTTTCTCCCGTTATAATATCTGTTTTTGCTTATCGGATATTGTCCGAGGTGCAACTCATTTTATAAATATGTCTATGAGTACGTTTAATACAACGGGTACAGACGTAGGCTTCTATTAGAGTCTGAGGAGGACATGCCCCCTCCCCCTCGTAAGTTTTTCCTTGCATACACGCATATGGAATGTTAACAAAGGTGAAATGAAAAATAACACATTTATCTCCTCATCCATAGAGTTCTTATAATATGCACGAATTTGGGTACAGATGACGTAATATAGTAATGACTAATGAGATACAGTAATGAACGGAAACGATTATGTTGTCAAAAATGAAAATAATAACCCGTACTTGTACCACAGATAGTAGCAGGTACATGGATATATTTCAGAAAGCATAGCGAAATCGTTTTCATAAAAAAACGATTCGGAGTGGTGTAGTATAGTATTCGTAATATATTTTTACCTTGTATAGCCACGAGGTAACTCTTCAGACATCAACAAAAGTAAAACTGATGTACGGACAATCTAGATTATTTATAAACAAAGCACCGTCTAGCGAAAAACTATAGCATCTTTTAATACGACATACGACGTGAAAACAATCATAACTTTTTTTCTAACCCAAAAAGTATTTTCCGAGAAGAAGGAAATATGCACCATACCTAAAATATAATAAAACCCATTAACGGAGGATGAGAGGTGCAGAAATCGAGTAAGTACGTGTATACGTAATATGGGAATTCGGATTAAAAAGGCATTTAGTGGCTATACCGAATACGTCATTAGTTTGTCGGAGATAAGCGATATCTAAAATGGTCGTAGTATATTATATATATTTTTGTATACAATATACGAATAATGAGTATATACATAGAGAAAACATCCAATCTGAAACGATTGATTCGAATAAAATAATAAAATGGCGTATTATCACACATGGATGACCGCGGACGAAATACATGGTTTTTTAACTCGTAATAAACAAATCATTTTTTTTTCTCTAGATAAATGTGTCAAATATCGCGAAAACGATTTATTATTGGATAGGTGCACGCGAAAAATAAATAAGCCATTATTTTATCTATTAAACAACCAATTCTTTATTACGTGGACTAGATCGAATCGGTCAATGGGTTATTTTTCAAATATAACGACCGCAAATAGAATAAAATCAATAAAAATAAGTATAATATAGTGTCGGGAAAAAATATATACCAGATATATGATAATAATATAATAGTATACTAACCAAATACCGGATGGTAAGTATACAAAATACTATAATCTACCACCAGCAGACGATGGTTAGTGTATAAAAAAACATAAAACAATAGACAAAAATGTTTCTTCACCACAATGATACTGTTAAAAAAAAAAAAAAAATGATGGGCTCCGATCTCGTCCGAAACCGGGAAATTTCCATAACATATAAAGTCCCGTTGCGTTCAAATTACAGTGAATGAGAGTAGAGTGACACACGCCTTTTTGAGAAGCAATTATCTCTGAGATTATTGGAAGATTCGGGAAGGGATTCTCTAATTCATAATTGTCATAATTGATAAAAATCAAAAATAATTTTAATTTTATAATACTCCGATTCTTATTATTAAGTCATAACAAAAATAATAATAAACAATATTATGGGTTCACTATCATTGTCCAGTGTTTACAGCCTAAACTAAATACACACACAGTTAGACGAGGCCAAAGCTAAAACAATTTATAATGAGACCACGAGTTTTGAATTTTTAGGTGAGACACTGTACAACGTTTTGTGAGGGGAGGAATTAGCGCACGGATTCGGAAAGGGGATAAGCCGCGAGCTGCACAAAGATAATCTTCAAAAATATTCGAGGTGAGATTTTCTTTATCCGTTAAATAGGCTGAGGCGGTCGATCCGCCGAAATATTCGCTTTTCAAAAACATTCGAGCAGTTCGCCGCCGGGAGAATTTTTCATTTTTCAAAATGTTTCCGATTTCTACGCGAAGTTCTTAGTATTATTGTTGCGTCCGATATTTCGGTTTTTATTATTTTTTTTTTTTCATAAGTTTTCAATTCGTAGCCAACGTCCGAATGACCGGTTTTCCTGCAGCGTCTGGTATCCCGACCTAGGAGAGGCGGCTGCGGCAGTCGCCCGAAACTCGGCGCGGCGAACGCCGGCGGCGGCGGCGGCGCGCGGTTAAAAGGTGCAGCTTAATCCCTATACTCGTACGTATATATATATATATATACATACATACATATATATATATATATATATATATATGTATGTATGTATGTGTATATATGTATAGTGTATACGCTCCGTGTCGGGGAGCGGCGGCGACGGTGGCGAAGCCGACGGGCGGACGGTCGCGTTCGGGCGGGCGGGCCGTCGGGGTACCCAGACAAACACTCGTACGGCGGCGATGGAACGGCGGCGGGGCGGCAGGAAAGGGGCGCCCAATCAATACTCGACCCCCGCGCGGCACGCGCTGCCGCCGCGGGCGCTCGTAACACCCTCGCCACCCCGCGCCGGCCGGTTGACGGTCAAAACTGCTCACTCCGCCCGTTACCGTTGCTCTTTACACACGATATAATAATATACACACTAACCGCTCGCCGTTATAACGCGCCCTATAGCTTTTTCTCGCGCGTAAATAATAATAACAATAATAATAATAATAACAATAAAATACACCTATGTACGGACGGAACAGAACGGGGCATAGTCGGTCACAAACCCGCGTCCGAGTCGTGTATCGATATTGTCACGTTATTATTAATTATTTATCGTGTATTAATATCGCGTCGCGTACGAAACGACGATAAGAAAACGGGCGCGCGGTGCGCACAATACTATTGTTGTTGTTGTTGTTGTTGTTGTTGTATAATGGCGTTATGTCTATTATTTTCTTGCGACTACGATTATATTACTCGGTAGCAGCGGACGCGGCGGTGGCGGCGGCGACCACGACGACGGCGAATTCGGCGTTGGCGGCGGGTGGCGATCGATGACGCGCGCGTTGCCGAAAAGACGCGAAAAACGATGCGGCTGCGGATTACTGAACACACTCACACACACATGCGCATAACGCGGCGTGACAACGAGTATTATTTTTACATACGACGACGATGATACGGCCCAGCATCACATTATGCATGCATATATATATATATATATTTGCACACACATAATATTACACCGGAGACTTTTTGCCGGTGCCGCGAAAACCGAAAAGCTTTCAAGCACCGTAACACTTTGCGTTTAATTTTTTAGAAAACGGAAGGGGGAAAGAGAACGTGGTCCACGAAGGGGCCCGGAACACCGTTTAAAAACCTAACCGCGTGCGTGTCCGTTTTTAAACCGCCCGTAAGTTAATTCAATTCAAACGGCGGCAACGCGATATTAAATTATCGCGATTGGACTTGACGCGACGATCCCTTTCAAAGCTCCGGCCCAATGTCGGAGGGCCCGTTACGCCGCGTACACGGCGATAATGCGGGCGCTGCGAAATTGCGACGTGTCGTATATCGCGGAGAATTCCCCCGCACGCGTACGTTCGACAAAACCGTCGGCGGCGACGAGGAACGTGCTTTTACCGCGAATATTATGTATAGGCACTCGTAACCGTATTTGCCGGCGCGAAGTGGGGAGGGCACGCGTACACCTATAGGCGGGCAATAATTGGTTTTGCGCCGAGTGTGCACACGAACTCGCGCGTAACGTCGGCATCTACGCGCGTGTATAATGTTTTATACATAATATACGCGGCGCGGTAGTGCTAAATCGACGCGATAATAATATTATTATTGTCACCGGTGCACGCGCGATACGTAATTTTCGCGCCGCCGGCGCGATTTTTGCCAACGGCGGAACCAACGCCGCCGCCGCAGGCCGCGTCTCTCCGGGGACGCGTGTGCGCAAGCGTGTTCCGCGAGATCTCGCTGCACGCGTCTTGGCCGCGCCGGTGTTCATTCAGTGCACTGTCGTCGTCGGGGGCGTCGGTGTCAGGCGAGTTTTCCGCGGAGGTACGCCAAGAGCAAATCCCGTAAAACAAAAACGGACATCAAAACTACACATTCACGCACGATTCTGCGGTGTCTGTGGCCAAACAACCGAATTTAAGCAACGATTGTTGAGTAAAGTTGCGCATTACCGTTGACATAATACCACACGTCATAACGATATGCACACAAATAATTACCAGAACTATTATGGCTATAAAATACCATACGAATAACGTTAACGTTGTTATCGAGAGTACCGAAATCAGTAAGAGTAAAAAATTCAGGAGTTTACAACTCCGAACAAAACAACGACCGGTGACCAATAATTCCGACCCGAAATCACCGGGTAAACGATTTTTAGTAAACGGTTAGCTGCATGCTCTCGGTATACCTTCGCTATATAATATAATTGCTCGCTTAATGACCGAATAACATACGCCCGAGCCGGTAAGTACCGATATATTATTGTTATTATTATTATACTGCGTCGCGCCGAGGGCGGGCGCCGAATCGGGTATTTTCGTCGAGGTCGTCGGCCCCGCGGTACCGCCGTGCAGACGGCTAGCCCGCCGCGGCTGTGTGAACGCCGTCTCGGTGTTTTTTCCGCCCCGCCGCCGACAATAGCGGGGGCGGCGGCGGCGGCGGCGGCGGCAGCGGCAGCAGCAGCAGCAGTACGGGCGCCCTAAACGCGCCGACCACATAAGCATTACCCGGAAGCGTTTTTCGGCAAACGAATACGGATATAGGCGCGTTTGATGTCCGCACGAATATCGAAACTTTACGACGGCACACGCCATCATACGGGTGGCGAATTAGCCGCGCCGAGACACGCCCCGGTCAGCGTCGTCTGCCCGTTCCTAACCCGACCTAACCCGCGGACAGATAATTGAATATTGAATGGGGCGTGTGAGCTTAGCGGACGAAATGGGCACCTGCGTTACGTGTCACCGTGATTACACAACAATAGCGTAAACAAACGGTTTCAATTTCCTATTTTCCTATCGCGCCGCGCCGCAAATGTACGGTCGCCTAAAAAAGTCCCGTCCGTTCTTTTATCGTCTATGACCTAACCTAACCGGGGACGTATTACTACGCCGGGTTAGGTCCGAAGGAAACGTGGGTAACGCGAACACGACTTCGGGACGGACGTAACGTGCAAAGTTTAAGGTTCGAACCGAAACTATACCGAAAATGTGGTTAGTAAAGGCGTAAACAGTAGTTAGGCACCTATAATATATATATATGTATACACCATGACAAAAGAAACTGCACGGTTCGACCGTGTCGCGAATTTTCGAGCGAGAATAATATTATAACAAAAGTACATACCAAACAATAAATATTAAATATTTTTTTCCCCCGACTCGGTACTACCGTCAAAATTAACGTCGTGTTCATAACAACTCGACTACTCGCGAAATAATTAAGTGGAGGCCATTATTTTTTTGTTTGTTTGTTCGCTCTCTTTTTTTTTTTCGTCAGGCGTATCGGTAATAATTAGTTTAATGGTTTTTGTTTTTTTTTTTTTTTATTATTGTTATTATTATTATTATTCCGTAACACCGAGACGCAAAATAGGAATCTTTTTTTTCCCTCTCTCTCTCTTTCTTACGCATCCATCACATCCGCGGGCGATTAAAATTTCAACAAAACGTGTATATTTATAATAATAATAATAATATCATTATTATTGTTTATGATGAGAGAGCTGTCCTTCGAACGGGGGAGGAGATTGCATTTATTTTTCGGAATGCGCTCGTTAAACAAACACCCAGTGAAAAAAAAAACGACTCTATAATTATTATTATAAATCAAAAGATTATAATAGACAAATTGAGCACGATTAAAATAAAGTAAAAAAACAAGCCATGTTTACTATTTCGCGTACTATAATATATTATATTAAAATAATATGAGGACGTGTGTGTTATAAATATGGCGACCACATGTCGTTTTAAGCCCGAAGCTTCAAAGGCACGGGGATGGTAGGGAAGTGAAGAAAGATTCGTAAGACGCCGATTCTTATATTATATATATATATATTATTATATCCATTATTATAACATAAAAAAAAAAATTTAAAAAACACCGTTAAACTCCGAGAAAAAGGACTGCAGTAGGAATATTAAGCTCTCTCAAAATATTCGGGCTGTTTGAATCTATATACAATATAATAATCGCGTATAGATATGTCCTTGGTTTTGGTCGTTATAATGGGGTTTTTGAAACACCCGACAGCTTAATTAGTTTAACGCTATCGACGAAATTAAAATGACCTACCAGTAATACGTGTATAATTATTCAGTATTTAGTAATTAATAAATTACATTTTATTAGGTTAAAATCGTTATTACTATACCGACCTTCGCCCGTTATATCTCCGATAAGTTAGGAATTTAATAAATTACTATAACATATAGGTACGCTTAAAAATAAAAAGGTCATCTGCTATACTCTGCACGATACTAGTCATTTACATTGGCCGGACGAAATAAGGACCTTTTGTTCGTGACCTTGGCATTAAAATAAATATAACACTTTCTACTTCAAAATCAAAACAAATACTAATATGTTTTCGTGATTCGCTCGCTTCGTACGAGAATTCTGAAATCGACACTGCGGCCGGTGGTTCAAAAGGTTATCAAAAATAGCTAACGCTCTTTTTGAATTAATAATCTAATTAATCTGGGAAATTTCTAGAAAAAGCAAAAAGCTGTTCTTTCGATTTCTACGACCCTCCCTCCTCCCCGACGGGATTTCCGACCGTTGTCCACGACGCAGTATACAGCAGCTAGTGTTATGCAACATTTCCATGGAGGTTTTAAACTGCACTGTATCAATGGTAGATATAATATTATAATAATAATACGACGTGTATGGTTTTATAATTTTTTTTTTTGTTTTTAATTGGAACCCAACGGAGCGTGTAAAAAAAAAAGTAAATAAAAAAAAAAAATCATCGTCACGACGCGAGGTTCCGCGTTTTGCCAAAAAACCGGGATTGCCGGGGTCCTCTACGACATCGCTTATTTCCCGCGCGCGCGAAAATCTCTTGGTAATTTTCCAGTTTTTTTTTTTCTTTCCCCCCTCCCCCCCCCCGTAAATATATTTATTTATTTTTATTATTATTTCCCTCGGGATAAAAATAACGAGCGCGGCGGCGGTGAAAAAAAAACGAAGTAGTAGAAGTAACATATATAGCAGCGCAGCTATATTAAAAAGGTGTTTTTTTTTTTTTTTAAATATATAATATAATGAGAGCACGGCGATTGTTCGGAAATTTATTTTTAAAATCGTCGCATTAGTCTTCGTCGTCTGTTCACTCGACAGCGGCCCCGCTCGCCCGCCGCGGTTCTCCTCTCCATACGCGTTTCGCATACTATATTACCGGTCCACGAAACTAGACATTTTCGATTTTTATAAGTACGACGAGTACGGGACGCACGTCGACCGGGTGTGAGCGACGACGACTACGACGAAACGCATTCCTGGCGATTCGAACATTTCGCAATGATGCGCGTTACATAATAAATCGGACCGACTCGTGTGTATGAGCAAAGTATAGGTACGCTGTAATTTATAAAAAAAAAAAAAAAAACTGAGCTCTCTATAATAATAATAATGTCGTAAAATCGCGGAAAAGAAAGTAATTTTCTGCAACGATAATAATAACATTGTAATAAAACAGACTTTGAAGTAACACTGCACGCGGATTGACGTGGATAACATTCAGTCACTGACTGACTCAGTGGCGGATTTTCAGGGACGTCAGCGAGGGGTGTGGCGGACGAATGGGTCGACGGATAAAATCGACGGGTTTCTTTCGCCGACGTAATATGACGGATGTATGCAAAATTTCGGAACAAAAAAAAAAAAAAACCGTATACATATATAGAACTATGGAAGTGTTCAACTGACGGAAGACTCGGGGTTGCAAGAAAAAAAACATCGTCGATTACTACGTATTTGATTATACACGTTTCGTTATAATCCAATCATTTTTCGTTTTGAAATTATTCTACAAAACCGTTTTAAACATTTTAATAGATGTAGCAATGGGCCCAAATAAAATCGCGTTGTATAACAAAGTCGAAAAAAAAACTAAAATCAAATTTAATCGATAATTTGTTCGTACAGATAATCTATATAAGTACTCGTAGTCATATTGTAGATAATATTTTACAAAATATCCTCGCCTTGTGTACATTATTACGATTATTATTTCGTCGCCATATTTGTATAGTATATTATAATATCATCATCGTTGTAACAGATCGGAATCTGTTTAATTGGATAATACATTCCGATAGATACCGTGAAAACATTCTGAAAAACATGTGCCCCGTTATAATATATTAATATTATAATGTGCACATAATCTCGGGACGGTCTTAATTATTTACGGGGTTTTTTTTTTTTTATAATATATAAATTTTTTTTATGTATTTCCGACTGTCCGAGCACAATAATAATGTCTGTCCGACCGACGTTTTAAAACGATAAAAGCAAAACATTTCGGGAGTCACGGCTCGTATATTACATAGTTGGCGTGTTGACCCGTTTTTTTCCCTATCTATTTAATTCCGTACCACCGGCCAGAAAAAGGAATAATCGTGTCCACGTATACGCGATTCGAGATAATACGATTGTCCGACGAGATAGCCACTACAAAAAACTTGTCATAATAATAATATTATGACCGGCAGAGAAACGTTTAAACTTAACAGACACCCGCGAGCACCATATATAATAAAGCTGAATTTTCCACGCCTATTTCGTATTAATTATATTATTTTTAAAGCATTAATAGTAACCAAATATTAACTATAATACAATACTATATTAATTCCAAAAAGAAAAAAAAAATGATAAAATTTTAACATAAAAAACCCTAGGGGCAACGATTAAATACCCATAAGATACGTATTTGATATACTAACACTATGCATATACAAAATGGCGTCCCCTGGCTTCATTTGGGGTATTTAGAGGAGTGTTTAAGTTAAAAGACACCGTCATCCCATTATTCATATTATTGGGGTGTAATCAACTTTTATCATTTTAATCATCCAATACAACTCTAATGCCCGACGTTAAGCACATTTGGTGCAAAGGAAACTGATAAAATCGTACACAAGTGAAAAAGGGATGTAAAGAATTGTAGTCTCCATTTTCGGGTAAAATTCTACGGCAAAATATTCGACGATAAATATTTTCAAAGCCGAAAAAAAGATGAAATAACTCACATTTCTTACAGAGATTTTCTGAGCACGTTTTTAATATCAACAAATATTTTGTATAGAACACAGATAGTCAAAAAAATGATATTACGTGTTTACACGCTGTTTACTTTTTTGCGGTGTTTAACAAATACTGTAGGTGGTATATAGCGTGAACCCCCCTAGGTCGACCGGTCGATTTCATTTCACGGCAGAAAAACCTAACCGCTAACCATATATATTATGTTAACGTATCATCTTAAATTGCGATTATCATCTATATACGATAATATCATTATAGTAGGTATATATAATTGCACGCGGTAGCCGGTAAGGCCCAGAAAAACGATTCAATCGACCGCAAATAGTATCTAAACTTTGAAACAGAAACACAGTACGTATTATAAGGTACTGCAATTGAATTGCACTATTGGCTATTCAAAAATGAAAACCACATGCAAGTGTTTCTTTTTTTTCGTTCCATATCGAAGTGAAGTACCTCGAGAAACGTGAAATACACCATTCATGAGAGTTCTACACGCGAACTGCAGTTATATTATAATCATTACCACGTCAATTAAAAACAAATATATGCATAAATATATATATAATATCGCGTTTCGATGGACAGCACGTGTTCTTATTATTAATATATTTTTTTCCTATTCCGATTATACACATCGAGTACAAATGGGGTAAGGTAAATTTGGTTTCTAACATTTTTTTTTTTTTTTTTTAGGTCAATCGTTATTGCACACAAACATTTATACGTAGCGGGTACCCAAGTAGGATAATTATTTTATTATAATTTGATTCTAATATTGCTGCACACTTTTTTTTGAATACGTCACCTCGTTAATATTTTACTGCAGTGCTGCAGCGATGAAAGAGTTCACGATTACAATCGTGAGAAACGATAAAATAGAATGAAAATAGTTTAGAAAAAAAAAAAGAAAAACACAATACACAGAGCCGTGGAAAAGTTTTTTCGCTAATCGGACGCCGCCGAAAAAATACAACAAAAGTTAAATTTGTTTAAAGCAGAGGTAGTGTCGCAAAGCACGTACCTCGATGGTAGCGGCGACCCGTCGAGTGAAAAATAGTTTCGATTATATTATAACACGGAGATTAAAAAACAAAAAAATCGATTTTCAAAACACCTCAGAGACTGCGCGACTACCCTATAGTATCAGTATTAAAGATACATACGAGTTTACAAAAAAAAAAAATGTTCTAAATATTTAATCGAAACATGGAGGTGAACGTATGTAAAAAAAATAAAAATAAACCGCTCAGAATATAATAATATTATATAGGTGTTATATTACGCTTGGGAAATTTAAAAGTTTTTACGCGAAAAAACGATTTCACGGTGACGACGACGTACGGGAGAGGGGGAGGGAGGAGAACCGGATAATGCTATAAATATTATACACTATACCTATAGGTACACGTCCGCAAAACTTTTGGTTGCTAATTTATAATATTATTAAATGAACATGTGTGTTGAAATTTCGATGCGATAATATATTACTATTATTTTATCGGTTTTTAAATTAAAATGCGGCATGCGCAAATCATGCGAAGTCTCTGTGCTCTTATACAAAAATGGACTAAAAAAGGCGTCTGTCGTGTAAGGGAACCTTTTATACGCTTTGCTAACTATCAATCAGAAAAATAATTAAAAATTATAATATAATTTTGCATTCGTGATTTCAATGGCCGCATATAACAACTAATTGGAAATTTGTGTCAACAATGAGGAGACATTATTAACACAGATCTCTCACTGCTGTCGGTTTATCTGGAAAACGATTTTCGATTTCGATATTAATTTATTATTATTATTTTTATATATTTTTTTTTCTGAAAAATTGACAACTTTCTACCTTACAAGGGACTTTCATTTTTGATAATTCAGCCAAAACCCACAAAAATTAAGTTTGAAAAATAAGTTATATATTATATCGGTAGCTTTTGGAAATACAATTTTCAAAATCTATCTGATCTGGATTTTGAGAATGTAAGAAAACTGCCAACAAAACAAACTATATTTGTTGTAGCGTCGAATATCGAGTTGCGCCATCGTCCCATAATATGTGCGTCTAATTCGTGCTAATTCTATTTAATGATATAACTAAACCTATTTATTTAGACACACATTGGGCGACAAGTTTAATCTTGACTGCGGTTACAGATGTTTACAATAACCGGTAAACATGAACGTCGAATGTTGAACACCGACGACAAAATGATAATTTGATGATGTTGTGAAACTACATTCATAAAGGTTGTTAACACCACCACGAAATGCGACTTAAAATGCAGTGATTATAATACTCGGCTCGAAAAAATTCTACAAATTACCGCATTGATACAAAAATAACCGTCGCACAGGAAACAAAACAATACACGGTCACTGTATACTGCGTTTTTCCTTATCGGCGTAATAATATGCACGCAACGTCTAATATTATCGGAATGTCCATATCAACGCTTTATTTTGGTATCACGCAGTATTTACAAAATTTTGTTATTACTCGGGAATTATTGTCGGTTTATTTATTTACCTTTTTTACTTACAAATGTTAAACGAACTAGTGTGTGCCATTATCGATAGGGCGTCGCAAGTCTTGCAGTGGCATTCATGAGGTTTACTATACTATAGCCGCTTATGAAAAGAAAAGAAAAAAAACGAAAATTTCAACTCGAAAATATCCGGATTCAATTTCGAATAAAATATGTAAAAGTACAATAGATATCGCGTACAACATTACGATAGTATCAAGGATGGGATTCGAACACCCCCTCTCACCTCCTGCAGATATTGTCTTGAAAGTAACAATAATATTCAAACGTATTGCGTGATCGAAGAATATTGTTCGGTTTTCGCCCAAGCCATAAGAGAATATTATTCATAAATTACAAAATGTAATGTGAACATTTGTTTTGTATATTTTGTGTGTTCTGACAGTGTGACCAAGTTACGTCGAATCGATTCATAATAATAATATATAACGTTCAAATCTCCGTTCTCGCGTTTTAAAATCGTGTAAAAATAATATACATCACTATGCAATAAAATCGCTGTGCAAAGTTCGCTTTTTGAGTAGCTGTTTGTGGAACAATTTACTCGACCGACGAGCGGTGTAAAACCGCCGGATATAATAATATATTATACTATACAAATTTAATTATTATTATTCGGACGAAATGTCCCAGAAAAAAACTGGTACTTGTTTAACACGTATACCTATATACCCATGTAGGGCGGGGCGCGTACACCTATACAACGAGGTTTTCTGTATCGCGTGCGTTGCCCGAAAAACGCTTAAAACGGTTATTACCCATAGCGAAGTACACTAAAATCACGTGTGTGCGAACAGTCGGTGGTTGCGCCGTGTGTTTGTTTCCCGTCGGATATTTCGGTGGGCGTCGCCGTTTTTCAACCGAAATTCACGTTTTCCTTTTCCGCCAATACACGTTTCCAACCAAACGTCTCCCCCACCAATACCCGTTTCTCCCAAAACGAATCTCCCCCTTTTCCCCATCACATAAACGATCGACTGGAGGTGGCCGTGTCACCTACACGCAATACGAAAAAATTTGACAACTACTACTATGATGACAACATGATATTCCTATGTGCGATTTATTGTATCGGCCAACCAGAAATGATATTTTAACCTGGCAATTAAAACCAGCCAACGATAACAGCAAACTTGGACGCGGCACTGGGACTATAGAAGCGTATTCGTAAATGCGCAACCCTGTCTTAATCTCTGTTTTGTATCCGTGTTATTCGTGATCTTCCACATCCGTCCCTAACCTCAATCATTCCTTGAATCATTAGCCTATGTAGGTATCTTATATTCATTATCTCGTATATGTCCAAAGTGACCCGATTTACGTGTTTGCGCTGTACTAATAATTTCTATTTCCTTATTCGTTCTGAGAAATTTTAGTTTTTATAGACAATAAGTTAACTTATTCTCAATAACCGTGTATAGTATTAAAATTCGAATGTTTCTAGAGCTGCAAATGGTCTCAGTAAAATCATGTAAATAGATTACACTTTAATATATTAAAACCGAAGAGACGAAGACTTAAAATGTATTTCATCGTTGTGATGTGAGTACGACGGGGCGCGGTATGTATAATAAAATATTATAGTACGAAAGACTCGGGGGGGAGTGAGTGGGAGGAGGGGGCGATTATCGGCGAGACCTTGAAAAGTAACGATTTTCGACGTTTTCGTATGACCCGCCGTCGCTGCCGTTTATAGTACGTGAATGCAGAGCAAAGGCCCCTTGTCCTCGTATGTAGTTTTACTATAATATAGTACGATAGAGCTGTATGGAGTGTGTGTAGTTTAACATTTTGTAATTCACGAGCTAATTTATATACGTTCATATAAAATACTGAGCAGACAATAACAATATCATTCAATCGTGAATAGAAGAAAAAAAATAAGAAACAAATGACGAATCTGTAAGAAGATAGGTTTTAGAAAAACGTATTTCCTATAGATTTCATTAAAGTGTTAACTTTAAACACACACAAAAAAATTGTGACATTACGCTCAACTTTTTTTACATTTTTCTTTTACCGGTAATTGTTACTCATCATGAATTTCGTAACAATTTTTTCGAGCATTTATACGTAATAAAAATGATTGTTTGTTAAAATAAATAATCAAAAAAATCGACAAGCTAGGTAAAGAACTCAAAATAATTTTGTAAACTATACTCTTCAAAAAATTTGTTTAGAAAAAATTCAATGAAAATTCTGAGGTATCAACAAATATTTCTTATTAAAATCAAACAAAAATAGCATAAATCGTAGTAAACGCTCAAAATGTTTAAACACTTTTTTCTTTAAGAAGTCTCTAAGGTCCTAAACAAGTCCACAACTCTGGAGGCCAGAAACTATATGATTTCATAGATTAGGTTTGTATTTAATATTGTTTTTACTAACCCACTAATATATTTTGTTTTGCAACTAAACAGGTATTTTGAAATCTTTTCCTGGTGGGTCCTCGTGTATTCCTTAAGTTTGAGATCCATTAATCTAGAGTGTATATAGAGAAATACTTTTTTTTCCGAAGGACACTTATTATAGTCGTAGTTTATTCAGTCAGTTTTTAAAAAAAATATGCAAAACCACTTTTGCCTCAATCGATCACTGTGTAGCTGAAGTATATCGTTGAGAGTGTAACCCGAGAACGTTAACCGAAAAATATGATTACTCAGCACGAATAACTAAATAATATACTTAGTATTACTTACTGCTTTTATATAGTGTTCTAAATGCGTTATGTTTATATGGAGAAGAAACCACAAAATACAAAAACCGATAAAAAAAAAAAAAAAGTTGCCAAGAATGTGAACATCAAATTAAATTAAAATTATTAATCGATACTTAAGTGATTATTCTATGAAAGCGTGTAAAAATATTATATTATACTGAGTGAGGTATTCCGGTATGTACGAAAGAAAATAAGACAAACATGTAAGTTTTGCTTAACTTTGACATTAATTAGATCATTTTAGGGAATAATCACATTGGTGTGGTGTTTTTAGTATAAAAGGTATCGGGAAAGACAATATTATAAAGTTCGAACTTAATACTCTCAAATCCTAAGACAAAACGATTATTGTTATAGCTTTAGGAAACTATTTTAATTTATGAAACGGGCCATCCTAATTCTGGTTGGTCATTAACCGTGAAATTTGCGACGAAAAAAAGCTTAGATCAAAATAATTTAACTGTCTTTTTACGATATGTATATCGGTTATTTTTTATTCGTTTACTATATTTTATTGCAGTCAACTATTCAATATTATCAAATTTACTTTTATTATAGTTTATAATTGTCAAAAACAACGTCGTATCCTTAAAAAGAGATTCTTTACCAATGGTAAAAAAACATGTTAATACAATACAACAGACAAACATTTTTAAATGATTTTTTGAATAAAATATACATTATAAAAAATAGAAAGTGGACGCTATTCCGAAAAACGAATCTCGTCAACTTTTTTCCGAGAATATAAACAGATGTAAACAAAACAAATAATTACTAACCACATAATATTATGAGGTGTTTCCGAAATATTTTGCTCTATCGATCAATTTCCTTATTTTGAGTATTTTACTATCTCTGAAAATATATATTGAAGGGTTTAATATTTTTTAACTGTTATTACGATGAAACACGTAAAACGAATTTCAGGAATATATAATAAACAGATTCCCTGCACGTATGCTAATACTACTAGCAATAATTATTCATTGATTCAAAGTGAATTCGAATAATTTCTAGTTGATCGATTTTCATCATGGTAAATTGCCTATACACAACCTTTTGTTAAAGATACTGAGAGTAAACGACAAAACTATGTATAATAATACACATTTACGATGTGTTTATTTGCGAAAAAAAACGTTAATGATCACGTAATCGATAGAAAATTATAACTTACATACCCCGATGGTAAAAAAAAAAAAATATAACAATAATACTAATAATTTACAACCGTTTTGTGTATGCATGCCACTGAGTTAGGGGGGCGCTGTTATACTGCATTCGAAACAAAACTATTGATTTTTCCGACTCCGCCCGGCCACCCTTGGAAACCTCTCGCCGTCTGTAACGCGACCAACCTGCATTCGTATTCAGTCCGCAGACTTTCTTATTATCATTATTATTTGTTATCACACTAATATAATTTACTCGTACGTTTGGTTGTCGTGCGAACGTGATTCGAAAACGGCGTTCCGGCCGGATTTTCCAATGTCTATGTAATATACTACTGATACGATAAGGTTAATTTAAGCACTTTTTTACTTGTTTTTTAATTCTCAGACAGACAACGAAAACGGATACCCATCACTGCGGCAGCCCGAAACAATGGCACCCAATTGATTAATTAATAATTATTGTTTGGTTTGTTTTTTAAACGTAGTGAATAAAGTAATCGACTACGATAATTTTCCGGCTGATCGGATATGTCGCCGTCGTATTTTTTTACGCTCGGAATGATACGAACAGCTGTGCAAAACAGGTTTTCGGTCAGACACCGCATCAAGCGGTCCGATAATATGTAACCTAATTATTATTATTATTGAATGATACATTGTTCGATATGCAGTTTCATAAAAAATCAGATACAGCTATAACAGCCTATCAGTAAAGAGTGTTGTAACCTGTGGTTCAGCTCTGTAGTAATCATGTTCAAAAATGTAAACAAACGGTCACACTTCTTATCAGTTCAGGACCGCGAAAATATAATGACCACACTTTTGGTAGTGTCCCGTACATATTTCATTATCTGAGGTCATATGACAGTTTTAATTAAGATGTATACGAAAAAAAAAGGCACGAGTTTAAAATATCAACCGCGATTACAAAATACATACGCATTTAATAATATAATATAGCCGTAAATAAAATACGCCGTATATACGAATTATAAAACTAACATGTAAAATTATGACTATGTAATTTAAATCTAAAAAAAAAAAACCAGTACGTACTCTGGTTTATTACATCAAACCCTCGTTGTCGCCGTCGTCGGTGTTTATCGTGTCATTGTACAATAAAAATCAAACTAGGTATAGTAGAAAAAAAATACACGGTTTTTTTTTCTAATTTTTTTACGCAATTCGACAAATTCACGTAAACGCGATCTCGTTCAATCGAAATCGTACATTGCAATATGAAAAAAAAAAAGAAATCAATCAGAATTGAAAACGCCATCAAATTGCGACATTCAGAATAGGTAGGTAAATAATAATATTATTATACCCAAAAAAAATGTGTATTATAATACATAAAACTGAACAATAGTTACTCAAAACTAAAGTTAATTTAGTTGTTATCAAAAACCAGTCCAATGAGATGTTAAATTTTATCTGCGGAAATAACAACCCAAATTGGGAACGTATTCATTCAAAAAGTAAACCATATAATTTTATCATCGCGATTATCAAACATCAATATAATCTTCGTTCTTCATATATTAAATAACCATGATGGTGATGACATTAGTAATCATATTATCACTGATAACTATAATAACACTTATTAACCATCATCTGTGTATCGTGTAATAATTATGTTACATCGGGAAACAAAATCATTAATATTAATTATAGGTACCACATTTATTATTAAAGAATTTAAATATTACAAAACCACAAAATTATATAAAAAGTTACTTTTTTTTTCTTTTTAACACGCTAGATTAAAATATTTTGTTATGTATCCAAAACAATGCGTTAGGTTGGAAAATTATTCTGAATTTAAAACCACTAATTAAGTTTAAAGTTACTAACAAGAGTAACTTTTCGACTTAATTCTAACTTTATAACTAGAACAAGCGACGGCCAATTCGAAATGTCGGGTTTTCAACGTTCGTCGAGAGATAATGATAATTATGACGTTAAATTCCCCCAGTGCGATAGTGTCGTAGAATAATATAATAATATGTACCTAATAATAATTGGACGGGCGGAGTTGCATAATATAATAACGTGTCGACTAATTATTATCGTATAGTATACAACAGAGGTGTAATTTCCTAGACGCCACACCGAGTTCATGACAGAAAAAAAAAAATTATAAACTACGTGCACACAGTAAATTGAACGGCATTTTTTTATACGTATATTTTTTTTTAATCGTAAATATTATTAAAATACATTTTCAAAAATAGACACGTTTTTCTATAATCTACATAGTGTGAGGCCACGTGACATTTAATACGCCGCCGTCAAATGCGGTTTTTGTTCTCTCTACAACCTCTCTCACTCTCTCTCCTCCGTATCGCAATCCGAGTAGGTACCAGCTATAGCTAGTACAGAGATCATTTTTCCGACAGCGTTTCTACCGGCGGAGGATCCGATTACCTCCGGGTCGTGTATATCTGCACACACTATATACCTATATACAGAACACAGGTACGCGATGTGGAATAGGCTATATTTTCGTTGGCAGGAAACGGCCGGTTAGAGTCCTAAAAGAAGACATTGTAAGGTATACAACGGTGATAATAATAATAAGAGAAAAAAAAAGTAGTAAAAGAAAACAAAAACCCCGAAAAGAAAAAAGTCTTGTCGAGGTCGAATTGACAGGACGTTGATGGGTGTGGCCCGCGCGCCCGGTTAAAGTAATTTTCTAAAGCACTACCTACAAACACCTCTTCCCTCCCATAACATCACCATCACTCCTGACCCTCCGAAACGTTTCGATCGTCTTTATATAGACTTAGGAAATGTCTTTTAGGTGACGGAGCAGGAGGTCGATCGTATGGCAAAAAAAAAAAAATTAAACCGAACGCGTAACACTGCATTTTATCGCGCGGTAAATCATAAAATAATATTATTTAGACACGCCGTCATTATGAATAACACACAAAATAGGAGAAAAAACCGTTCGGCATTTTGATATTCTCTCTCTCTCTCTCTCTCTCTCTCTCTTACTCTCTTGTAATACACTCTTGTAAGTGTTGTGCTCAAGGTCGCGACGGTGTCGCCCGACGAAGGCCACACGCAGCTGTACATAATATACAACGAATAACTGGACCAAAAGTATACGCACGAATTCACTTTTATCTAACGTAAGTTTTTTTTTTTTTACACGAAGACATATTACAGTATATACTATAATGACAGCAGTTTGTTTTTTGGCCGTCTCGCGGTTTAGTTTTCATATAGTCCAACGGACGTCTCGTGTATTATATTTATAGTCGATGTAGGCGCACCCGCGGGCGACGACGGTCATTATTGGGCGAGTGTAATTATTATTATTATTTTTTAAGCGAGAATAGTCCGCGATGTAATCATTTTTCACCCGCCTTTAACCTTTGATACCGCCGCTACGATAATTCGTCGAAAACGAACATGTTTACATTGTGTGAACTATAAATATAATATAAAGTATCCAAAGTGCGTTCTCATAACGAATCGAGGGATACGCCGGGTCGTCGACTGTTTGACGCACGTCAAAATTCAAACAGTCTGGCTGGAACCATTTTCCCGGATTGAACGAAGGGTTTGTCAAATATACGATTGCCGGGCTGATAACGAACTTTTTTACCGTCGCGTACACAACTATAATACAATACGACCGCGTTGTTCGTGTTACGTACATATTAAAATAGTAGCGCGCGGCTAATAAACAGCTGCTGTTCGTAATAAATTAAATTTGACCAATCGCTAACTGAGTTACGACCCGAGTTGTTTCGATATTATATTACTGATACCCACTATGCTGAAACTTTATTTTTCAAACGAATTTCCGGGGGTCCGACACGGCGTCGAATGTTCGACCAATGTGTACCCGGAACGGGGCAACACAATTCGCCCGAACTCTCCCAGGGGTTTGTCGTCCGTACAAAAACAACGTCGTCTGCAAAACGATCGCGGCTCGACAATAACCGATATTGTTTATATCTATAATGCTATTATAATCGGGTCGTTTGCGCGCACTTCGAACGGCGACGGGCGACGGGCGACGGGCGACGGGCGACGGGCGAGAGGGGAGGGTAGGGGTGAAACGACCCTGTATACATCACATAACTCAACCGTTTATTTCTCCTCTCGTGTATAATAATAATATTATATATAAAGAGACCGCGGCGGCGTGGATTCGTATTTCTTCTCTCGTTCGACGACGGTGCAGCACAAAGTAAAACGAATCGCATTGAATCGACGTATTAATCATCGCGAATAAATGTACTTTTTGATAGCTCGTTAACTCGGGAAATCTGCATAATTCATAGCGGCGGCGGTGTGGTATTCATAATATTTGTGGCCGCGGCGATCGTCCGCAGAGAGTTCGTTTTTTTTTCTTCTTTACTACGCGCGCCGCGTCGTCCCGCAGCCGTTTATCCGTTAATGTCTGGAAATATCTCATCGGAAGGGCGTGTATAATGTTATAATCATTTTTTTATTTTATTTTTTTTTTTTTGATAATATTATAAATTAATATAACACACATCCTTTGACCGATTCTCCCGCCGTCCTCCGTTAACGTCTAATTACGCGTTTTGATTAGCGGCGATATCGTTATTATAATATTATCGTTATTCAATTTTAAATTATCTCCGTGTCCGTTTTTTTTTTTTTTTTCCCCGTAAGAGAAAGTAGCGAAATTTTATTTGTTCCTAGTGAAATTTCCACGTCTCCCGCAGCAACAAATTGGACCCTGTCAACGGCATCACCGTGGACAACGACGATAATTGTTTTTGCGATCGAACGAAATACGCCATTGCCAAAAACTGTTTAGAATAATATTATTGTTATTATAACTGTACACCGCCGCTGCAGACGACGACAGTATAATTTTCATCATATTATTGGCTTCTTGACCAATATTATTTTTTATTTTTTGGTGCGGCCGTCTGTGAAAGAAAACTGTGCCGGTGGGGAAAACAAAAATCGACAAATCACATAATACATTATTATATCGTTCAAGGTGTCCGCGGACAATATACTACAATTCGTTCTGCGGTCTTGGCTCATATTTATAACACGATCTCGTATACGTACGTACGTACGTACGCCGCACACACTAATATACACAGAATATTATACACGAGAATAAAATATTATTATATATAGGTATACCACTAACCTCTGGTATAGTGGTGACCGTGTGCGGTATGTATCTTTCTCTCACTCTTCCTATCTCCCTCGTTCTTTTCATTATACACATTTCTCGTTTGCCTTTCACCCACAACACAAAAAAAAAAAAAACCGTTTTCTGTGTACTCTATACACACTACACTATATAGCCGGTACTACCTCAGTATAATAATAATACGTACGCGCCTGTATTATTTTCGGTTATAAAAATCCGATGTACACGTACCCACCTTTTTTTCGGTTTTTGTTCACTACTTACCCCCTATCGTTAGTCGTTTACGTTTTGCAAAATATTTTATTCTTTGGGCCATGAATTTAAAAAAAAAAATGCACACCCACACACACACACACACACAATACACGGCGGGGGTCCTAAATAATATTATAATTAATTCTCTTCTCTCCTCCTATCACATTGACGGGGGAGAAAATGTATATATTGCGTATATATATTATATACGGGGGTAAAACGTCGGAATTTCAAAGTGAAAAAAAAAATACCCGACAAAAAATTAATAATTAATTAATAACGACGTCTGAACGCGGAGTTTTTTTTTTTGTTGTTTTGTTTTTCACGTTTCAGCTCTCTCGAACACAATTTTCTTTCCCCGTTTCGATCACGTATATAGCGGTGGTACACGTAATAATAATATCTAAAAGGTTAAGCGCGGCTCGTTATCGGCACGCGGCACTATTAATCGCACCGCCACCGCCGCCACGCATAATAATAATACACAACGGCAAAGTCCTGAGTTGGCGTTATCAGCACAGCGACGCGGAACGCTCCGTGATAAGAGGCGGCGGCGGTTGTGGCAGCGTCCGATTAAATGGTCCGGAACGTATTAATTCCGCGACGTCGAGTTCGCACTTTACGCACGCAACGGCGACGATCGCGCCCCTCGCCATGACCGGCGTTAACGGTGTATAAATATTGGTAAAGTCATCGTTTTTGAATTGAACGCCACTGTGGCGGTACCCAGCAGCAGTCGAGAAATACATATATCCACGTCTTCGTCCTCGAAGTATAGCAGAGGAAATCTATTCAGTGGCAGCGCGAAGCGTTTTTACCTAGAATTGCCGATTTAATTTTCTATGCCTACCAAAAATACCCCAAAATCTACAAACCAGGGATAAAGGGGACCGAGTTTTCTCGAGGGTCATTAATACAATTTATCTAAATTTCCACAGTCTAAAATTCTTTTAACGACTTTTGTTTTGTACAATTTTTGTTATATTTCTAAACACCCACCCGTTTTTTTTCCCTTCGTGTCGCCACTAGAGAGAATAACGAAAGAGAAGAAAAATCCCGTTCGATATTATACGCATTTTTATAATATCGTCTCGGGTTCCGACAACGGTCCTCGAACGCCACGTGTTTTATCTTTCCACTGTAATCGTCGAGTTTGTTTTTTTGCTTTCCCCTATCCCCTCCCTCTTTTCCGGCTTCGTAATAATTAAAGTCCGACGGCGTCCGATGTCACCCCGCAGCCGCGGTCGCACAAGGAAGAAGATTAAAAAGTTTTTTCTCTCTCGTTTTGTATTTTGGACCGATTCCCGCAAACGGCGCCGGTGGCGTTCGCAGAGAAACGTTTTCAATTATTATTATTTCGAGAGATGTTTTGCGCGAAATAAAATTCGGTCTTTCGTCATATTTCGCCAATATTTTTATTATATGCGTTTAGGCGTGTGTAATATTATCAGTTTTGAATTGTCGGTATGCCTGCGGCCATTAAAAATCGATAGTGCGGATCTCACCGGAGATTTTTGGCCTCGACGTTCATAGTCAAAACATTAGTCCGTTATTCGCGAACCGCGTACATGTAAACTTCAAAAACCATTAATAGGTCACTATATAATAAATATAACGGGTACATTCCGCATATGCGTTTTATACTGACGATCGATAAGGTTTTTTTAACACGTCTCAATAATAAGTGGATTTAAAAAATCAGATATGAAATCCAATAGTGAAAAAATTACCAGTCGAACTCTAGTGCTCGGATATTTGAAATCGCAAACGGATGCTACATCGGTGTTAGTAATGTATAATATATAGTACGGTGTTTTTTTTTTTGTCAAACCGATGACGACGGACCGGCGGGAATATCCGAACAATAAAATAATGAGTTTTTAAATCGATTATACTATGAAAAAGAGAAATATAAACCAACAAAACTCATCAGACGTTCGGGAAAAAAACAATCCAAACACGGTTCTGGTTCAGTACCCATAGGTATATTATATATATTTATAGCCTACTATATATAGGTAGATAAACTGCACGTGAAATTTATGCACAACATAACATATTATAAGAGTAGGACAACGGTATAACATAATATTATTATTATTGTTATTGTTATTATAGTGATGCCGGTGAAAATCCATTAGTCGATATTTTCACTATACGCGAGTTTTGCGACATTCCAGTTTTTTTTTTCATTTCAATACAACAGTATTGGCTCTATTTCTTTTTTTTTTTTTTTTTTATTATACTGTCGGAATAAAATGCACTTGACGACGATTTATTGTAAGCCGGCAGAGGGCGCATCTGATCTACGATATTAGCCTAAAGCTAACATTTGACTATAGGCTGTTCAAACCTACGACGACGTATTACAAATTCAAATTGAACAAATGAAAGTTTTGCATATGCACACAGTACAATATATTACTGACCACATGGCAATATTTGTTTGAAAACGCTTTTGCCAAACGATAAGCTATTAATTAAAAAAAAAAAAAAAAAAAAAATGGTTTACCTAATTAAATTCGCATCGAAAAATGATTATAATATTATAACGATATGGGTAATAACGTATCGGATATTATAAAACTCGAGTGGAATCGAATTAAAAAAAAAAAAAAATCCAACCGACGCATAATAATAAAATAAAAATACCTAATTGAAATTCAGGAAACAGCGCAAGTACACACTGCACTAATTGTATCGATAAAATATTCTTATAAACGTTTTCCATAAATATGGTTTTCATTTACCCCTGGTGTTCAACAAAGTATTATATTTTTTAACTAATTTTTATTTTTTTGTCGGATTTCTGTGAAATGCTCTCGTAAATATTATTTTATTAGATATTCTATATGTATAGACTTCGGATTATTTATGATTATAAAGTAATCAATTCTAATTAAAACGAATAAATTACTTGCGTATTCACTTAAATTTTCACGATTATTCAATTCGGGGGGGGGGTCAAATATAATTAGGTTTTATACAATCATATTTTTCATTTTTCATTTCAAAAAGTTTCTAATATTTTTTCAATAATCTCCCATTTCCTTACGCGTATTAAACTTAAATTTTAAAATTTTTGAATATAAAATTCGAGGGTTTAAACCATGACAATGGCGGCATTCAAATTATCTGTAATGAATTCATACTTTATTAACGAATTTTCTATCGAAAATCTTCTTAAGTATTGATCTCTTGAACTCGGGTTGTTTATTGTTGTAAAAAAAATCTAATAATTGTAGTCCAAATGTAAAATAAATACGAATTAATATGTATATTTCTTCATATAGTTTTTCTGGAAACGTGTCAGCTGTTAGGTACGGACGTTTGCCGGTTGTTATGCGAGACCTTATACAATAATATCTTTCATAGCACTATAAAAAGAACAGTGTCTAGTGTAAAACGTTGACGATTTGACGGTTTAAATCTAAAAAATATAAAAATACACGAAAAGTTAATATGAATTTCTAATATATTATAAGATGATTTATACTCCAGAAATATTTCAATTTCTAAAACGACTAAACTATAGTTCATATTATGATGTTCAAAATACTTCACACAGAACTGTGTATAAAATTACTACAAAATACGTACGAGTATCACCTTGTCTACATAACTATTTAAAATATACAACAAATTATAGTATTGTCAACTATATAATGTAGGCCAAAACAAATTTATTTACTATACCTATATAGTAATAACGTGTGTTAATAATGTGATACGAACAAAAAAAAAAAAATATCAATGGAGAAATCATAAATCATATACCTCTGTCTATAATTCACGTCTTGTCAAAGGTGTAGACCATATAATAATTAAAAAAAATATTCGACGACCCGTCATCGTCGCGGTATACGTTTGTGTCCAAAATGAAATGTATCAATTTTACGCTATATAAATAATATATTACATGTAAATAAACGATAGCCGTCGAAAAACTTGTACATTTATAATATACTACAGCGAAACACAGTGAAGAGAGAAGAAGAAAACGCTACAGAAAGAAAGAAAAAAGTACACGTGTAAAAATAGTATACACACGCGCGCAGGACATTTAAAAAGAACGTTTACCAAGATATACTTAGAAAATAAATAAAAGATAATAGCGTGTAGTATACGTAGTAAATATGTAATAAATTTGGAAGAGAGACAGAACGGCTGCGATAGTGCCAGTACAGTTAGTTACATTATAGTACACAGAAATAGGTAACGCCGTACACCGTAGTTTTCTACAGAAATAAAAAAAATAAATAGAAAATAAATACTTTATAAGCTCAATCTTCAGTGTAGAAGACTAGAGAACTGAATATGTTTCACCCTGTTATCGGTTCGGATTTCCGTTAGTTTAATACCCGGAACTACGGGGGAGCGTAAATGGAGAATACAAAAATTATAAAGAATCAGTATAAAATAATAATATTAGAGTTTGAATGTCCCAATAGAAATTCGTTTCCTCCCCCTCCTCGCCGTCGGTCCAATACGAAACTACGTCGGCTATATATTACATAAATGTGTTTCCTAATAATAATACGTTAGGGTACAACAAAAGGAGTACAATATTTAATCCGCGTTTAAAACAATTATTTGTCGAAAAAGCACATTCTTTTTTTCTTTGTGGATAATATCATCGTAAACGCGATTCGAATATTATAAATTGTGCGAGCAATCATAATACGATTATTTGAAATGAAACAAATAGAACGAAAAGTTTGAACGTCAAGTATTTTTATGAGTTTTTCAAAAATAATAACATCAATAAGAAACAGGGGTTTTTTATGAAGATTTCTCTGCGCCTATTTGCATTATTTTATTTCAATGGTTTATGGAGTAGCAAAATACTATAAAATATGTTTTTATACCTATACGTAAATATAGTCCGATACACGCGTTTTTCAACGAAACTGCTGATAATATTCCGTAAGTATATTATTATTGCATTACGCTATGATACTCTGACCACTTTCTATTGGGTCGGTCGGGTCGTTTTTTCATTTCATTTTATATACATATACGCATATATAACCCGTTCACCACATGGCGGTGACCGGTGCAAACCGTCTATATACCTACGTTATTATAACCGAGTTCTGAATGCGGTTTGAAACAATGCACACACAATAATAAATAATAATATAATACATAATGCGCAATTCGTTTTTATACCGTTCGCCCCACCAAAACGGGGAAACGGAAAAAAGAACGAAAAAATTAAAAAATTCCTACGACTTATAGCTCGAGTCAAAAGTCACGACGACGGTTTTTGTCCGATGAAATGGAGCGCGAACGGGAAACGTTTTTCGGCTGCGAGCGCGTCACGCGCTGTTTAAGCGACGGTGGCCCGGTGGAGATGCTTATCGAGATATAGAAGAAGTAGTGAAATTATAGAGAGGAAAAAAAATACATAAAACGGTTCACGTGTACGTTGTTCTATCTGTGGTCTCTGATTAAAAATTTGTACGTTTCTTTTATTTTGGAACTCGGCCATTGGTGACGTGAGTGCCGCGGCAGCGTTGTGTACGACGACGGCTGCGACATTGTATAATGCAAAACGGTAAAATGTTATTAGACACAAAACAGAACCGAATATTCCGATAAAACGAAAAATAAAAAATCGCCCCGATGACAAATCGTAGTCGCGGGTCTTATTAGTCTAAGGCAAATCAAGTGAATCGCAGCAAAGCGCAGTCCAGTACTCGCATAGTGCACGTAACACGGGGCGGAGGAAAACAAATAGTAAGGTACGAGCGATTTTTTATTTTCCGTTCATCAAACATCACCGCGTTCAGACGGCCTAAAAATATACCGTAACCCCTTTCCCTCCGCACCACTCCCCCCCCCCATCACGGCCCACGAACCGCACACACGGCGGAATAATAATCGTTTCAGCTGTATCGTATATAATAATACTTTGAAGAGGTCTTCGGTCGTACGGCAAACGAACACGCAGCGTGCGGCGTTTGAAATATTTAGAGCGGGCGAAAATCACGGAGGAAAATAAACGTTGGCCATGTAATAATTGTTTCTCATCGTACTCGTTTGGTAAATTTCGGTCGAAAAATATACATACCTATGTAACATTATAAATTATTATTTATAATTATATTATCATAATTCACATAACGCGACGCGCGTGCAGTGCCTGCACAGAAAACGTCAACGCGAAAAATGTCCGTTAAATTATTATATTTTATTTCGGTCCGTTCAAATACGATTTTTATTAGCTCTCAGAAGCACTGCATTTTTAATAATTGTTTATAATTATAATGTTTTGTGAAGTCTCATTAATATAATTAGTGTACGTTAGGCAGGTACGTAATAATATTATTACGCGTGTCGTATATATAGTTTAAATGCTTAAAACGTTGTTTTTACTTCCAAGTATATTATCGTGTTGTTTTATTTTTATTTCGTTGCGCAGTAAACATTTTTTTACAGTAGGAAAAATTGATTAAAATTTCTACCGAACGTTTCCGGGTTGCGTATTTCTGTCCCTCTCCCCCCCTCCCTTAAAGTCGATGAATAACACTGTTGGTCCTAACTTAATGCTTCTCCGGGGAATTTAGTGTTTTAAGCGTAAGCCTAGAAAAACCTACTACCTAATCGATGAAATACCGCCACGGATTACCTAAGAAAAAGCCGAGGTAAAATTTTAAAACTTAACTTATTCGATAAAAACGAATTTGACAATCGTTGACCGCATTGATTTCATTGACATTATTTTAATCCATTGAAATACCACCAGAACAATCAGAACGCATATTGACTCGTATGATAAGGTATAGGTCTACTTGAAGAACTTATTGGTTCTAAGAGCACATACATTTACAAAATGCGACTCCGGGCATATACTTGAACTAGAAAATACTAAATAAACAGGCATGTCGGAAAAACACGTATTTTCCTTATCACAGCGCATGTTTCCCAGTCCAAGAAGAAACGGTACAATAACCATGATCCCACCACTCGCCTACCTCATCGTGACCACATTATCTTAGTTTGAGGTTCTGTACACGGCCTATTATAATACCGTGATCAAAATAAATCGATTTTAATCCATGGATAATAAATCTCTATAAGCGATGTTTTCAATCAAATTATTTCTTTCCGCACGATGGCTATATCGTTTATTCCAAATCTGGGGCAAACTCCATGTGCGCAGAACAAGTTTCTTATTACGAAACACGCACGGCGAGACACCCTGTATATTTGTTTCGTATTGCTGCACGTCGTTCCGTGAATTCTATTAAATTATTATACTACCTAATACATTGTTATTAAATACCACTCGTATATGATAACAAGAAGTTCCGTTAGGTTCGTATAATAATAATAGATAAAATATCGGGGGAATTTATATTCCTGTCGTGATGGAACGGGTTCTATATAGGTAGAGCAAACCAAACCGCGTTCTATTGACAAAAAAAAAATTGACTTACTGGACGACAAAGGACAATATCCGCGAATAGCATATGAAACTCGTTTGGGTAGGTCTAAAAAAGACAAAAAGAAAAAAAGAACGTTTTCAATCAATCGCGTAGAACGTAGAAGTATTTTCGTATACGATTTATGTTGTTAATGCCCGTGTCATTTGTGCGCTGTCCAGAATTTCTTCTCTTTCCAACCCCAACGGACATCTTTGTGCAATTGGTTTTTCGAACGTATAATATTATAATGGGCGATCATATTATATATTAAATTGACGACAGGAACGACGGAAAAAAAAAAACAAATATTACAAATATAAATAACCGGAATATCGAAAGGTTTGAAATTCCATTGTGTCACACGAGTATTGTATATTGTATTGGTGTATCACGGAATTTTCAGCCCGCGACCGGGTAAGCCAAGAAAGGTTCGATGCGTATGTTATTATTTTTTTTTCGCCGTTTGTAACAGGGGTTCGCAACCCGAGTACTGCCGCCCTCTCGGTTTTAATTTTCAGGGAGCGCCAAATTGGGCGATATTACCATGTGTATCTTCTGAAAAATCCGGTTAGTTATCGAAGACAATATAATAACCAAAGGTTATTATTATTGACGGATAGTAGTGCGGGACGCGAACGTTATGAGAAAAAGTTTGGGAAAAACTGATGGTGATGCGTGTATCCTAAGGCCGGACGACTTTCGATCGGACGTCGCTGGAAATGTCTGCGTATAATATACGATTGCAGTATAATAAGATGTAAAGAGCTCGCTAATAGATTGCACTGCGATATGGGCCCACTGGAAGTTTAATAATTCTAATAGAATTCCCGTGCAATCGGCTGGTATAAAAATCTGCAAAAACATCACCTCGTATAAGGACAGACGAAAACCGTAATGGAGATAGACGATAATATTATAATATGATAGGACCACCTATATAATACGATTTTCCGGATTATGGTCAATAGCTCGTATCTACTATACGCGGTTTGCGTTTGACATAAGACTGTAAACGAGATCAAGGGGTACTCTACGGCGAGTGCGCAAAATCGTAAGTATATACGTGTAATATAATTTATAATATTATAATAAGTGCAAGCGTGAAATTAAGTAAAGAAAAGGTTTTTTAATTAGTGTAAATATGCATTTCGCACGGAGAGACGTGTCGTCGTTTTCCCTATAAATATATACCCAAGTATAATCGACTCGTTTATCTACAATATAATACGTAGTAGGTATTTAACATTTCTATTTGAATAATAATTGATTATTAACGGTAATTATATATGCCTAATGTCTATACGACCTGACCGAGTATGGATATAGATTCGAAAAAAAAAAAACCGATTGGACGTCGTACAAGCTCACATATATTATATGCTATATAGGTACAGTATAGTATTACAATATGTAATATTGTACATTACATTTATATAGTACGCGAAATATTGTATTGTGAATATTTATACAGCGCGCTAACACCGTAGCGATATATTCTGAGCAAATATTTGTGTGCGTTTTTATTCCCCGTTCGACCTTTGGCGTCTTCGCGTTGATAAAATAGAAAAACCACTATATACATATAAAACCGCAGGAAAAAATAAATAACACGACGACACGTCATATAATAAAGTGAACCGCACAAATAAAGTCCTTGTTAACGAAAAAATAACGACCGCGGTACCTATGTATTTATTGAGTTTTCATTGATAGTTTTTATACCCCGTTTGTATACACCACCACTACCACCACCACCACCACCACGCGATCGATATCCAACCATAAACGCAAGAGGTATATCGGTTAGGTTACGTTTATTGGTACACAAATAAAACACACCGATGCGCTATATATTATCAAAATCACTATAGCCTAAATGATTTATGAACTATTTTGACGACAATAACTGTCATCATATCAGATTAGATTACAAATAAGCTGCGATAGACTTGGTATTCGGTTGAGATTTAGATCAATAAGCATTTCCGCGGTGTTCGAGACTCGACGTGTGGGGAAATTAACGCCAATAGGCTCTAACGATTTTTTTTTTTTTTTTTTTTTTTTTTTTACGAAAAATACGTTTATTAAACAAAACGTATTGCACTATACAATTAAAGGTAGGTACTATCATGTGTTGTTGCTTACTTTTTCAAAAAATTTAGTGTAGACACCCAAACGAGTTATTTATCAAGAGATTTATAGTGTACCCAAACGTGTCATGACTCTGTAAGGCTTGCCCTCCGCTGTGCAGTTTCGATATAGTATTTTTATTTAACATAAACGAATTATCCGGAATGTCCCGAACTCATTCCTTTTAAAAACAAAAATCAATAAAACAAATTATATTTAACGTGTTTCTCCGTTTCCACCGTTATCCCTATATCGCAGTTAATCGATGTTGCCCGGCAATCTATCTTTTAAAAAGGATACGTCCTTGCCTGAGCAAACGAAATTAAAATAATACACTAACAACTGTTTTTTGTTCATCCGTGCCACCGAGGCAACCCGTAAATCAACAAAAAAAAAAAAAGTCAATTTTCAATTAAAAAATACTAAAAACCCTGTGTCTGCCATCTTTAGCGGTTTTAATTTCTAGATAGAAAGGAAACAGCGCTCGTCCTCGAGTTTTAAATGTCAAGTGTGCAAAGTCGCATCGGAATAAAACTGTAAATATGTAAAGTGGATGCCGGACGGACAGACCCGCAAACAGAATTTAAATTATACACACTACAAAATTAATTCAACACCGTCCGGATTTCACGACTTATGTTTTATCGCACTCGCGATTATTTTAAACCTGCGGCTAACCTGTGTTATTATTAATATGCCTCGCGTTATCAAAGGGAACGCTTTTCCGACGGTTGTTGTTATCTTGTGTGTCCGTTCGCGGACTCGCGTGTTTCAATAATTGAATGTCAAGACCCGCGTCTGCTAAGGGATGTGAATAATATAATGTTATGGCGATTGTCGTCGCGGTCCAATCTCTATGATAATTATATTGAAAACTATAAAAAATAAAAATAAAATCGGTTACGTGAACTTGGTGGAAAACTAAAAAAAAAAAAAAATTTATACGGAACAAACCGACATTGATCGTGGGAAATCGAACGGGTCGCGGTAGAAAACTAAACGTTTTTATTACCGCGGATATTATAATACTATACTCCATAATACCGTGTTAATTCCCCCCGGGTCGTACATACCGAACTAGCATACACAACACTGTAATATGGACGATTAAGAATTTACCATCGTGCGCCGAACGTACGTATCCCGGGGTTGGTAGATCTGCGCCGTGGTCCCCGGGACATCTGTTCGGGTTTGCGCGTGAAAGCGGGGGCCAGGTGGTGAGGAAACAACAGGGAAAAAAAAATACAAAATTAGAAAGAGAGCGGGAAATAAATATAATATTGTGTACACTGGCGGGAGGAACGGTGGCGTGCGAGTGAGAACGGGAGGGAGAGACCGGGGCACGCGCGTCTCTTCCGCGCCGTCTGCTCGCCATCTGTCCCCTCGGAATATATTTTATATTGTCCGGATAACGGACGAAAACACGCGGCATCGCCAGCCAGACGCACGCACAAACATTTCGTTCTCAACAGAAAAAAAAAATCGATTTTCTCCGCGCGCGCGTTTATTATTATTATCGTTTATTATTTTTTTATTTAAAGTGCATAATATAAATTATTTCACGATTTACGGACGCGCGGATTCGTGTAAAAAGGCGCGATGGTGTCCGGATCGTACAGCGACATGGTCCCGAAAATAAAGTGCGCGGACACGACAGTATAATTACGCCGCGACGCTTCCGAGAGTCTCGGCTAATTATTTGTTAAATCCGCGTGTGTGCACCTACACATGTTCATTTGAAAAAAAAAAAAAAACAGTTTTTTATTTGTATACATTATAATATTATTATCGTACCCGCGCGTGGTGTGCGTTTACGGCCGCGAATTCGGGTCATTTATAATTTAACGAGACGCCATGGAAACGCGAAAGAAAACATTTTATTTTCATAACGACGTGTCTACAATAATGTTATTGACATATTCGCTGATAAAATAGAGACAGTTTTTTTTTTTTTTTTTTTTTTTTTTATCCAAATTATCCAATATACCCTTCCTTACAATTCCCCTTTTAAAACAATAGTATACTCATCAGCAGTTTAATATCATCGTTATTATTATTACGATTTTCCGCCAGCACTCGCGTCGTGTGTATATGAATTACCGTACAATTATAATAGATAATACCGCAGCATCGATCGAACATTATGTACCGAATCATCGTACGACGTAATAATATTGTTATGCGCTACGGAGACATGCTCGTGTCTCATTTTATTTATTATTTTTTTTTTTTATCCAAATTATCCAATATACAATTCCTTACAATTCCCCTTTTAAAACAATAGTATACTCATCAGCAGTATCATCCTTCATCATACTATACATCTGTGATTCATAAGGATTGATGATAACGCTCATAAAATTTAAAATACAAACAATGTAATCAATATTCAATTATTACACCGAGAATCCTTTACGGTCTCATGCAAATAGCCAACTATACCTATTATAATATGAGCCTGACATTTTCGCAAATATTAATAATAATATGTTGGCTTCAGCGTGTTACACTCAAATTAATGAGTGTTAAGCGCGGTCTATCTATTGTAAATAGTATACAATGGTAATTACCGACGAGAAACACGATTGCGGAATATTAATTGTCTTACACACGGTATTGCATTGTAAAAATATTATCAACTCGAAATCGCGAATATTGATGTGTGCGAAGTGCGTCCCGTGAATATAAACATATACTGTATAAAACACGATTTGACGAATTTACTTTAAAGTTATAATTATATGTTATACGCAATAATAACGCGATTTCACAGCAGTTTATATAATAATTAATACGATTATGTGCGTGCCCCGATGGTTTATTATAACGTATCGTTGTCGCGTCGATTCTCCAATGCGGTAATACTAGTTAAAAATAATATCTGCAAATGGAAATATTGGATAAAATGCGACATTTTAATGGCAATGTTTCAATATGCATCAGAAACGGGTGTACGATTTTTTTTTTTTTTTTTTTTTAATATAGGTCACTGTTGTTTTGTCTTCGTCGTCGTGCATTTTTTTTTTAGTACAAGAGTGAGATAGTTCGTTGTGGGTATAGGTACTTGTAACCGGTGAAAAATGTCGAAAATAAATCAATAAATTGGACACACCTATTTCGATATTATTAATATTGTAATGAAACTAGAACGGAACATAATATTATTGTGTACTTCACAGCGTCACGGGTAGACCACTGTTGTAGACGGATAGTGGAAATAAGGGATGTTATAGGGTAATTAAAAAGAAGAAAAAAAAAGGTTTTTGAGAAGCGCTCATTTAACTAGATTAACGTTAATCCAGTAATCGTAGTGGATTAATTATTGTTTTCCAGTAGTATACTGTAGCCAACAGGAGAACCCAGTAAAAAAATGCGAAATTAAAATGTGAAGGCAGTGTGGGCCAGTGTACGGAAATAATTTAAATTTAAACTCGTGTTTGAAACACAATTGATATAGTAAAAGTCGTAAAAAAAAAACCAGATGTTTTAAATAGAAAAAAGTCCACTCATTTGAAAGTTAAATTTCACGAAAATAGATTTTTATCAATAAGCAACAAGCATCATTATTTCTTATCAAATATTGATAAGATATACAGAGCGAGCTTATAATGAGAGTTATAGGGACATGGGACAGAACATAATATAGTCATTCCCGTCTATCTTAAACCGTTTAAAATATTAAAACTAAACGTGAATTAAAACAAATAGTAAGAAACGTTTAAAACTTTTTTATACACATCATAGTAACACTGGTAGTAACCATAGTAAACATACTATGGTGATAAAATAATTTAGGTATAGAGATATCGGCAAACGAGACTAGAATCGCCACAGCTGTTGTGTCGTCGTCATACTCTCGACAGATATAATAATAATAATGGCTAGGTATCTAATTTATTTCGGGTCCATAATTTTGCGCCGAATTAAATCCACTACCCGCCGTGGCGTCGTCCTTGTCGAAAAAAACACGAGCGAAGAAGCTGAAGATGTCTGCGAGAAAGACAAATAACACAATAATAATATTATTATTATTTTATTAGTTATTACGACCCGTACACCGTTTTCATTGGATGAACTACACAGGTCGCTTTATACTTTGGCCTCGTTATTGTTCTTTTCCCTCTGCCGTCGTATCAGCAGTGGCTACCGTGTGCACTGCTGAAACGTCCTCGTGACGACTCAATATAAGGTTATAATCATATAACCCGCGAGGTTTTCGTACCCGACAACGTGTTATTATTACATTTTGCGTTCCTCTCTTATGAGACTTAAACCTATTCTCTTATGTATATAAATATGATTTACGAATCAACAAAACGAGAAATTTTCAAACGTACAATTATAAAAAAAAAAAAAAAACAAGGACAGCGGAGTAACTCGTTCACTATAGTCGAATTCCCCACCCTCCCCGCCTATTTTCTATAACGGAAATATTCTTTGTGTAACAATAATCGCGATCACGAGATATTATAATAATAACAGTACTACAAATTATTAAATTTGAGATTTAAAACAGTAAGGATAGGAGTTTAAAATTGAAATACCTAAAAAAAAACATCCTCAGTATTATGCCACGCACATTATTGGCTTCATCTGGGAGATCTGCAAGGATGTTCGAAGCTAAAAAAAACACCCTCCATTCGCTGATATTTATATTGAAATTCAACCCAACTTGTATCACTTCAATCCGCGTATAAAACAACTATAATTTCTGAGGTGTAGGTCATTTAGTCCAGAAGGAAGCCACCAAAAGTAACGAAACTATTCGATAAAAAAGAAGTAAATCGTGAATGGTGAAAAAAAAAATGAAAGAATAAAACACTAACTAAAAATATAAATATATGTAAGTAATATACCTATTTATTCAGGTATGCTCGTTTTATCGTCGTAAACATTTTATGAGTTTTTTTATTTTTTTATTTAAAAATAAAACTTCATAGCTTTGAGATTGTATACTATTATAAAGCGAATCAAGACGTCAAGGATAGACAAAATAAAACAACGGAATTTTATTTAATAGTACTAATCGCACGAAACACACAACCACTGGCAGTCTTGTTTTGTTGTGATAAATAATTATTAATCTCGTAAATATAATTAATATTTAATTCGACACGCGATCAACTAACTCCATTGACGATATATTAAATAGATTTTTTTTTTTTTTTTGAACAGTGTACGATTTTATCGATCTTGTTCGAGAAACAAACGATGAATTGAATCTAAAATATTATATAAAGAGGAGAATAGAGGATGATAATGTTAGAGCAAATCTAAAACGGAAGTCTCGAGATAATAGATCCGACGTTAAACCCAGTAAAGGATGGACCGACGTTCTCGAAGACGGTCTAAAGAATTTGGAATTTCGGTGTGGAATACCGGATAGACGTGAGCGTCAGCAGACATATTTTTTCATGGAAGCAAAGGTATTAAAAAATCAATGACGATTTTTTTTTATCAAGTAAACTGTTCATTTCAATACACCAAACATAGGAATTACTAGATCGAGGGGAAGAAGGACAGTTTTCCGATCTTGCTTCCCCTCGTAACGCCCGTAGTCCGAAACATGGATAGTCGTTATGTTGTTTTGACAGCGAAAGCTTTTTAAATATTATTGTAACGGCCATACGAAAAAGATGAAATAAAATATATTCGGAATTTACTACTTAATATATTCTCTACAGGAGATATTCTCTTCAGATGGGTATTGTATTTTGATTTTATTTAAATACGTTAATTAGACTGCAGGCCGAAGTGATTAATGACGAGTCTATTTTCATCATAATCGCGTTTTACTAAATAATTGAAATATTTGTGCAAAATAATATAAGGTATTGTAAATAGGCAAAGAACAACGCACGATTTCATTCAAGATTATAGTGACCACCTTTCCCTTTGCCCGCTATTTCAAAGAAAACCAGTCTGGTGCAAAATGATTTGCAAATATTTTATTGCAATAATATTGTTTTCTAGTACTACTCGTAATAAATTATACTATTTAAACTAATAACGATTTAATTATAAATTAATAAAGCCAATTAACTTTGAAAATTATTATTAAAATAATTATTCCTATCGCGGAGAACACCTCACCCCGTGTTAATACAATATATTATGGAACAAATTATACAACGGTACCTGATACGGTAGTATAATAATATAATAATAATTATTAACGAGTGGTTATATATTATTATTAGAATGACAGAAAATATAATAACGAACGATTATTTTACATGTGTTATTATAACGGGTAAACTTTTGTTAACGACACCCACAAATCACAACAGTAAACACAAACACTTATTATTGTGATAATATGTGTTACATTTCAAAATGCCGATTAAGTAAGTGCCACCACGCACATGGAAAACGTTATTATTACAACATCGATTATTTCCATTATTTTTTTTTTTTTTAAAGACTGGTTTACCTTATTTTTTTTTTCCAGTTTTATGTTTTTTTTTTTTTTGTGAGCTCGCACGGTGTTAACAACAAACCGACGAAATAAATTTAATATGCACGTCTGTAGTGAGTGTGTTGTGTAGGTATATATACGCGCAACATTATTTACGAGCTATCGATACTATATTTATTATTATATTTTTTTGAACGGAACGTAAACGCCAAAAATACACGAGCATTTACGGTCGAGTTGCTTTTTACCAGACTTTTTAACCCCATATATATATTTATTTTTTTACACTATATTACAATATATCCATAAATATATTTTTAATAATATTCGCATATACAAAAGCTGTATGCCGGAAATTTCGCTCTCAATCCACGCGCACCACATTAGGGCGAGAGCGTAGTACCGCACACAGAACTAACTTAATGGGCCCCCCACGCGAATGCTCGTGCATTATATTGGAAAGCTATTTAGGCACTTTAAGTAGTAAAGTACCGAGCTCAGCATATAAAAATGCGTAGGTACATTATGATGCATTTATATATAATGGCTCAGGTACATGTGTGCATTGTCAAACGTTCGCGACTATTATCGAATCGAAAACACGACTGCATCAGTGTGCATTATTTCGAATTGATGAATAATGATCAACAAACTATATACGCAGTAGTGAATGGAATTCAAATCGAACATAATAATAATAAAAAGTTAATATTGCTTGTGGTGGAAGGAAAGTAATATGTATTTAGTAATATGTAATATGTAATTTGATTTAGATACTGTACCTATATGCAAACGATAAATCAATTCTGAGCAGAGTAGTATAATTAGTGGTGTACTTATCCGTTATTATCGAGGTAACCCAGTAATCACAATAAAAAAAAAAAAATCAAACAACCACAAAATAGACATATAGGCGAACCGTTTGTAATGTTGACAAATATCTCATATAAAATAGTAGATATCACCGAGAAGAAATTCCGTACTTTTTGAGGTATGACATAGACAAATTAGAGCGTGTTTACTTACCGAAAAAGTCTTCCGAGAGAGAAAAAACTTTCACCTTTGTAAAACTAGTGACTAAAATATTGTGACGAAGTTTTTTTTTTTTGTTCGGACGCAAAATCCTACATGCGGAACGAGACATGAGTATAATTTCTGAAAATGCTCTCGAAATGCTGAGGTCGGTAGAAACTTGCCAATTTGTATTATTCTATAGGTACAAGAGGGGCTGCCGCTGTACAAATTATTGCAGCCCTACTTGTAGTGGTCCTTCGCACCGGGCGATGGGGGAATTCACAGTGCCCCGGTACCTATGAACAACTCCAGTGAGCAAATGGTGGCGGTTTCTCCACTTGTGGATCTTTTCATCATGTTTTATATACATCACGTACATTTGAGTATTTGACATCGTACATAATATTATTATTATTGCATGATACTGTACGCGGGAGACCACTTATTTTACACGTCAAAGTAATTATTAAACATCAGCAAACAGTGCCTCTCGTAAAAAAAAATACACGCAGGCATATTTTTTTCTTCAAAAAATAATAATTATATTAAAGCAAAATATAAATTATCTTGCTGCATGAACTCCACACGATAATAGAACGAGCCACGGCAATAATATTATATGCAAACAAAAATAATATAATATATTATTATACTTCATACAAGCTGCATCGCCCTTCAAAGGCATTGCAAATGTTTACTTTCAATCAATAAGTACAGTAGTGATATAAGAATCGCTTGACGGAGGGAGGCAAGTACAAAATAGGACCAATAGGGGGTGGGTGAATCGTTGACAGTTACATAAAAAAAAAAACACATTTTAAGTAAAACCTTACCGACGGAAATGCTTTAAAAGAGAAATATTAAGTGTAATGTTTTGGGAGAAGTATTGAGTTAGTTCGATATAATGATTTAAATCAAGTACTATAATATCAGACGAAAAGTCCGTATCTAATGGCCTGAAAAAATGTGTACATTATTACTTTTCTGAGAAAACGAATCTCATTACAACATCGCTGGGTACGCTCGCAGAAATTTAAAAGGACAATTTTTGGATTTAGATTTTTTTTTCTAGATGATTTTTGGCGGGATTCGAAGGGATAAAGACGCAGTAAGATCAATCAGGGCTGTAGGAACAGATCACGGTGACGAATTGCAATCTTTTTTCAGCATCGTTATTGCTCACTATCGCTATAATGATCGGGATACGACTAAAAAATTAGCACGTCGCGTGCGCGAATCGCCGCTTTCGATCTCCTTATAAATGATATTACGTTTTTCCGCGTGTGCTACTTACAATATTGTAAACGTGGTTGATGTTCGATTAAAACCCGAGTATTTCGAATGCCGACTGTACCTACAGTCAGTACACTTCTTCTCGCGACGGTTTCACGTGCTATCGTTTCTGCTGACCACACGGCAGGAGTGAAAGTAAAAAAATACAAAATAAAATATCCCTTTCGTTTTGTCTGTCGCCGACGACGAATTCTCCGATAAACCAGTTTCGTTATTATACAGACACGAAATTTATTTTAATATGTATAATATGCGTACGGTGTATACCTATATACGGCGTGGTTAAATTTTAAGACTACAACACGGCCATAGAGCGTGGAACGACCTTTTTTCGGCACGACTGAGCAAATTTGTCGGCTTATCGAAGGAACGAGAAAAAAAAATGGAACCCAATACCCATATACACGGTCGAACATAAAATACGAGTAAATTATACTGTGCGACGTTGCCATTGCTAGTTTTCTTCGATATTTATTTTGAGATACAGATAAATTCTCATTCTTCCAACGGAATAAACGCCCAATCGGAAACGTTTTTGAACAGAGGTTTCCTATACAGTCCGTCAATTTTGTTGAAAACATCGAAAATAGGCAAGTATATATATAGAGTTATTTAAGGTGGATTGTCGCGGAGAAAAGGACACTGGGTTCTATGGTCTCGTTTGAGTTGTAAAACAAAACAATATATATACTCAATTGTACAGCGGTATCGTTTTTATTTCTACAACGACAAAATGAGAATTCATACAGAGACTATATAAAATAGAGCTTTACCTATACCGTATAGTTCAGCGTTTTTCGCGAGCCGTGTCCTCGACGATTTCCAAATTCATCGTATCAATTTAACGTAACAACGATTTTTTCGTGATAAAACAAAGACACGTCTAATACGCCCTCTAAACGTCGAATTTATTTCTGAAGGTACATTTCAACAAGGTATTCGACGTAAATAAATCATTAATGCGCGGCCGTAATCGTATCGATATTCCCTATAGAATTTGTTCTGATCGACTAAAAGCTAAATATTGCGAGAAGTGAACCTAACCTAACCTAACTTGACCTCTCATTATACAACGAACCGGACCGGTTGACTCGGTTACGACCACGGTTATACAGATACTACTGCGTACAGCGGTCGGGCTACGATAAGATCGTCATAAATCGGCAATCGAATTAAATCCCCCGGACCGTCCGATTTCCAGACTGCTATCGCTCGTGTGGCGGTTCGAGAGAATGATTAAATACGCCAGCGATGTCGAGCGTCTCGTGTCTCGTGGACTGCACGCGCGGACTCATTAATCCGGTAGACACTGTACGCATCGTAGGTCGACGTGCGACAGGCCGTATAACAGTAACCATAGATATTATAACCGTGGTAACGACGGATTTACACGGTGCGAATCGGCCGCGATGTACGATAATTTTATTTATTGTATTCGTACCGGGATATCGTGAGTGTGTGCGCGTGTGTGTGTGGCATTTCGATTTGGCAACGGCGATTTTCCGAAACGCCGAGGTAATTGGACTGCCAATTTCGTACGGCCATTAACATAATCGAGTACACAATATTATTAGTGCGCACAAACGAAACGCGCGCCGTTCCCTGGCCCGGTGACAAGTTCACGTGTGCCTCCGCCCCCGCGCGGCGCGAGCCGTTCCGCCGGTTTATGGTCCCGACCATTCCGGTCGATCTCGTTCTCCCGACGTGATATAATAAAAATACAGAAAAAAAAAAAAAACAGGGATAAAAAACACCGCACGACAATAAAATTATACGAGTGTATTATATTTGTAACGGGTTATTAGGTCGTCGTCGGAAAAATTATCCAAACGGTTACATACCTTACTTACAAAATAAAAACGTATTATACAATAATATATTTTGCAGTCGTACCAACGGCGCGGAACTTTTTCGATTGAAACGTTCCGAATATTGGAAGCCGGTAAAACGATGGTGGAAGAATGAAGAATATATCGTCGCCCCTCCCACCACTGTGACCTGTTTCCCTTCAATAATTACAATAAGCTGTCCCGCTCAGACCTTCAATGAATACATACACACTTTTGGTTTTCGACAAAATACGAATAGTCTTCCGGATTCGAATATTCATTTAATAAAGGTATAAAACATTGATTTTAGTGTTTATAAAATAAAACCTCGCGGAAATCCGCATATAGAATATACTAAGAAAATCGCTGGTTCACGATAAATGGATGGGGTTGTCCCTATATAGTTGTGCGTACAAAAAAGTAAATTAAATTTATCGTAATAAAACGAAAACTGTGCGTATATCTAAAACGCTGGATTTAATATTAAAAAAAAAAAACCTTGTTCGGAGAAAAGTCCTTTGATTAATAAGGTTTCTGTAGCAATCGCGCATGTTTCGCTCTACAATACATAATATTGTAATTATAATTACCTATTGATCCTTTTCCCAGGAAAGCAATGTAGAGGCGAGTTTCGAGGTAAGTATTTTAAATAACTACTTATTATTATGTACCTAATATTATTTACGGACATTTTGTTTCGATAACAAGCGATGTGAAATAATTGCTTGCGAAACGATAACGCATGCAATCACGGTGGAAATCAAAAATGTTCATAAGTACGATCGAAATAGCTCGGAAGTAATTCGAAGAAAACACACACACCTACCTAATCGAATATTGTAAACGGCTTTTCTAAAAGCAAAAGTCCGAAACTGCTGATAGGTATGTCACTGTTTTACTAGGAAAGTTGAAAGGGAGTATATATTGGATGATTTAATTTGAATCGGTACACAATGATGAACAATAGCTAACAAACAACGATTCTGAGTGGAATATTATTAGTAACTCAAAAATCAAAAAAAAAAATTATAACATTAATTGTTTGTTTCTTTTATGTTAGAAGAAAACCAAGGGAAATAAAAAACTGACCTCAATTTTCCAAATAGATAAAATTACAAAGTTTTCGAATACGTTTTATGTGTACGTGTGTGTTTATGTGAAATGAATATGTCCGAGTAATAAAGACGAATGAAGATAATAACTACTTGTACCAAACAACCATTTTGTACGTAAAAGTGCAAAAAAAGTAGAATTATGTAAAAATTTTCGACCGGTGCAAATACTTAATAGTTTGGTTGTATTTAACCTTAACCTGTTTGGATATTGTTCGAGAAAACGTCACGGAAGTTAATATTTGGAATAGTGATTTTATTTGTCTAAAATGAAAAAAATCTGAGATATACAGCTATTGAACAATAAAAAAAAAAAGAAACAAAACTGTTTTGTACCACTCGCAAGGGAAAACAAGTTTACAACTATACACGATACGGGCGTGCGTGAAATTAACAAATATCATTTTGAAAACATTTTAACGGTCAAGTACGTATACATATCCGACTCTATAAATAAGTAAAACTTTATTGACGTTCTGTAAGTAATCGAGTAATTCGGGATTTTGTTTTGTTTTTTTGTACTTACGTGATTGGTACAAAACGGCACGGAGGACTCGAATCAAATTTTCGGTTAGTGCCACCAGTCGATGTTAATCGCCAGTCAATCACTAATGTTTTTACACGAAACAAGGCCGAAAAGTCGAGTTAACGTTACCGACAATAATAAACCGAAATCCACGACCCGCAACGAAAAGCACGGCTGCACGTTATATAAATAAACTATGGCGGGGAGTGAGGTCCTGTGTATAGCTAAATAGATGGGCGGTGATTGCGACTAATAATAATTGATGTCTAACCGATAGAAAAAACGTTTGCAATAAAATATTTGTCGGCTCGAAAACACAGGGAAATCCTCCCGCCCCGTAGAGCGACTAGTTTTCCGTTGAAGAAAAAGAAGCACAGGCCGCATCGAATTCATTCGGTTTTTTAATATTTTCACCTCAAACTTTTTAACGTTTCTTTTAACTCCGCGTCTGCGGAACGTCGTTGTTTATCGATGGAAAAAAAAAAGAAAACCACGGTATAGGAGAAAATTACGTCGGCAATGTGCTATCCGTAATTCCGCGAAGACGTTTTCGTCCGGAAAAAAACGTCTCCCTACTCGTTCCCCCCGAACGGGGACGTCGGGACAGTATGGATTGCCGGAAAGAGTGTCTTGCGGTTAAGATCGATAGAAATTTTAAAATTTTACAAAATTTCGACGAACCCCGGCACGTGAACAACGACATGGTGCGTTTTTTAAACCGTTTTGCGCGCTAACGATCGCGCGGGATCCGGCGATCCGTAATTTATCGCAATCGCACACACGCATAATATTACAACGACAACAATAACGACAAACCGTCCGCCGCGGCCCTGATAACAATATTATGCGGATCTCCGCCGCAGCAGATCCTTTTCGGGTTAAATCGCGCGCACGCAAGAGTATTGTAAAAGTGTTGCGGCGGCGGCGGCGGTCCGCTTTTGTTCAACGACCTATTCAAATTACTTTGGGTTGTAAAAGTCGACGTCGGAATTTTCGAGTGGCCCTCTTGCCCGCCGCCGCACACGTACACGTAAGACTATCGGCGGGCGATCCCCTCGCGCGGAAGGCGGTCGGTCGAGAGGCCGGAGAACGGAGGGGCGGGAGACAGCAAAGGGGCGGCGTTCGCCCGCGCGCGCCGCGAGGGCGAGCCGGCCGGCGGAGGGGGTTAAAGCCACAGGGATATTCTCGCAGAATGGTATTTTTTTTTTTATTTTTTTTTTTATTTATTTTTTTTTTTTTATACGTATATATAGTATACACACCATCCATCGCCCCTCGCCGCCAACGCGTTCGCTTCCTCCGCCGCCGCCGCCGCCGTAGTAGTAGTGGTAGTATTATACCTCTAACCTCTGTTTTGCATTTTTATCGAGCGGCGGTATTTATTACTGCACATAATGTATACCTACGCGTATACAATATATATACGTATACGTAAATATAATTTAGGCAGGTACCTGTACGGAATATATACCGGTAAATCACGGTCGAATATTGTACGTACAATAATAATAATACTATGGTATACTACACACCGTTACATAACGCGCCATAATAATATATTACTGACCTAAAATCATATCATAACCGCGTAAATGACCGCACCCCCTCGGCGACAAAAAAATCTCCCAACCGCCCCCCCCCCATCGCGCCCGGGTTTTTAGGAAAAAAACCCCGCCCCGACTGTGCACGCCGCCGCCGTCGCGGGTAACGGCCGAAAACGAAAAATCGCACGTGTAACCGCGCGCCCGGGTTCTTGTCTCGCGACGACGTGGGCATGGATCCCCGCGTTTCCCGTCTTATTATCTCGTCACTGTCGGTTTTTTCACCGTCGTATAAGAATCCCGTTGATATTATTACACGAACACGTGACGAAACAATATTTCTCCGCGTGCAGACGATTAATCAATCGGTCGGGTGGGTAATTTATCGGTCGGTCGTTATTGTCGTGTGTACAAGAACGGCGGCTTAATAAACAAATTAAAATTTACCGAACGTCAAATAAAACGATTAAACGACAATCGATTAGGGGAGTTTAACGCGCGATTTCGAAGATTTGTTACGGGCGCGGTTTACGTATCGGACCTTTGTCGACCGCGGGGGGTGGGGTGATAAGCAGGACCCCAATAATATCAGAGTAACCAATAGGCCGAACGGTGCGTAGGGGCGTCACGAAAAAATTTGCTTTTTTTTTTTTTTTTTCGATTGATTTCGTTCAAAAATACTATTGTAACTCTGTTTATTATATTATCAGTGATGACGGTCGCGGCCAGACATTTTTTTTGTTTTTTTTTTAGCACGAGAATTCATAGAGAGGTCCGGTTTACGTGATGATAATTGGAAAAAAAAAAGCCAAATCAATCCCGACGTACTCTGACGATTAGAATCCGGGAGTGCAGTTTATACGAGAAAAAAAAAATGTCATTCGGGCGCAGTTTACGTGCCCATGTCCAAAAATCGTTTCGCACGTTTGTTTGCGCGGTATTGTTTGAATTTCCGGTTTCACGAACTATCGAGACGCAACGTTAGCGGGGGGTTTCATTTTTTTTTTTTTTTTTTTTTTTTTTTTTTTATTTTTACTAACCGCGTAACCCCGGCGGGTAAGACAGTATACAATAATCGTTCTCGAGATGATAATAATAATAATAATAATATTGTACTACGGTCGGCGGGATACGGACTATTTCTCGTATTATTATTTTTTTTTTTTTCCCCACTCGTTTCAGACGGGGCTCGTTCGTACGCACAATAATAATGTCACAGGCGGAAAATATCGGTAAGGCGAGGTAGGCATACGAACACAGAGAGAATCGAACGACCGCGGCCGGCGAACCCCTGCGAAGGACGACCGGTTGTCGACACGGCTGCGGTGCACCACCACCCCAGTGGGCCCGCCGACGCACTCGGTGTACTCCGCGCGCGCGGCAGCATATGGTCGTCGTAAACACAACGCGCTGCGCCACGACCGTCAATACTTATTAATATTAATACGAATGGTACGTTTTTACGACGCGATTGCTAGGGAGGTCCGCACGCGCGATACGCGTCGCACACACCTACCCGTGTCGGGCGGCGATAATATTTTTGATGCCGACGAGAAATGCGCAAAATGGCGTAACAATAAATTATTTCATTTGTGCGATTAAACAACACCAAACGCGGTTCGGATGTGGAAAAACGTCGCACGACACGCGCACGTACCCGCCACCGTCGTCGTACGCGGCGACACAGACAATAAATATGTTCTTTGTTCGGAGAAATATCGCTCGCGTGCCTACCGTCCCGCGTTGTTTCTACGCGTAAATTCTACGGCCACAACGGCACTGTTTATATCGCGTTAAAAAAAAAAAAACCCCCCCGTCGTTCGTCGCGTCCGATCGCCGGGTTATTCACGCGCTCCCGGTTTTCGGGCGAAACGAACGTCCCCCGTCCGATCGTAACGGTTCCGCGCCGTTGTCGCGGGCCGGGAATAATAACGGCGGGCAACGAAACAACAATTATAATTAATGCCGGAGTCACGTCGGACACCGAGCGCGTAGTAGTCTCGGAACAGTCCGCGTCCGTTCGCCGCACACAATTTAATCGGCGGTGACAAGGTTAGTGTGCGGCGCGCGCCGAACGGAAAATCCGTTTTTAAGTGTCGGTTTTTTACGCGATATAATTTTCAGTTTGTGCGTGCGCGTGTGCGTGTTTCGAAACGTCCGCGACCGTACAATGACGTGCGATTATCACGGGATAAGAGTGGGGGAGGGGGGGGGAGGGCTAGACGGGGGCCGCGCACGGACGCGAGAATAAACGACCGTCGCAACAATAATATTTAGATAAGTATAATATCACAGAGCCGACCGTGTGTCGTTCGATCGATCAGCGTGTAGCACGGTTTCGCGCCGCGCGACAACACTAACACGAAATAATAGTACGTCACGGGATTGCCGACGACGGGGGTATATTCGCCCCCTTGTATTATTTGTACGAGGGTCGCGATCCCGGCGGCGAGAGGGTCTTCCGGGGCCGGGGAGCGGGCGGCGAGGAATAACCGGAGGCGGCGGCGGCGGCGGCGGTGGGGAGGTTTTCTAAAGACCGGCACGCCAAAGTATCCGTGCCACAGTGCTCCGGGATAATATTATTATATTGTATTAAATCCCGTAACGTGGGTTTCCCCCCCCCCCGTCGTATTTTATTGTCCGGGACGAGACGCGACACTTTTGTTCGGAACACGCGGTTTACCTACCGGCGGGCGGCTGATTCATACGCGCACGAGGCGTGTGCGCAGGAAACCCCGACGGATCGCGAATCATCCCCGAAAACCTATCCGTGTCGCGCGAAGGTTTACGACGGCGGGTGCGCGCGAAATAAGAGAAAACCGCACGATTACAAATGATAATGTTAACACGGCGCGCAGTAATGGCGGGGCGAAAACACCGGGCGGCAAGCGATTCCGTCAGATTCGAAAGGGATGACAGAAGCGTCAACTATTACGAGCGAAAATGCGATTCAGACGCGGTCAAAAAAATATCACTATTACTATCGGGCAAGGCACGCATCTAGTGTTGTTATAAACAGGTATATATAATATGTAGTCTTATAAGTCGTAAATACGTTACAAGTTACTCACCCTAAACAAATATCGTATAACCGCGCGCGGGTTTCAGCAGCCAACCACTTTGGTCATGGACCGGAGAATCCTGGGACTTCGGACGCGGTATGACACTCCGATACTATCGGAGTTTCGACACGCTCGAAAACGAAATCTCGTCGTTTCCGCGCACGGTTTTTCGAGTATCCCGCGAACACAAAACCGCGGACTCGGCCGGACGACACTCTCGCTTTCGCGCAGTATATTACAAATAATAATGTCGAACAAACGAATATCACGTGGGCCGCGCGTGTGGTGTGTATTTTCTGTTAGTGTTCTCAAGAAGAATAACGGTGGGCACCTATGGGTACAATACTAGAACGGTGTAACGCGACGAGACGTGTGCTATAGTAATGATAATGATAATAATATTAATATTAATATTATTATTATCGTGCAGCGACCAAAAACAATATTATCGAAACGGTATAGCAGTCGTCTCAGGGCGATTGTAGAGTAGGTGTAGTGTATGCGGCAGCTGAACAGAGCAAGCGACCACCGAACGTATGCGGAACACGTGAGACACTGAAGGGGCTTGTGCGGCGACGAACGACGAGCGACCAAACGGGCGCACACTGTTTGTGCGTCGCGTAGTGCGCGTGTGTGTGAACGTTTCGTGCGCGCGCGCGTGCGCGTCCGTGCGTGTTAGCGTACAGCGAGGTTCGCGGGCGCGCTCTGTATATCGTACGGCGCGGCGGCGGCGGCGGCGGCAACGACGACGACGACGGCGACGACGACGACGGCGACGCGGTTGCCGTGACGAACGCGGCACGGGAGAGCGAGAGCGAGATAATCTACAACAGCGAGCGACCGCTGGAGCGAGATAGCGAGCGACTGGTTCGCGTGTACCACCGGTACGACGAAATGCATCGCAGCCGAGTTCACATGTGGTATCGGCGGCTTGTGCGTGTATGCGTGCGTACGCTCTCGCGTGTGTGCGTGTTCTTTTGTGTTTCACGAGAACGGGCGGCCGCCGCCGCCACCGCCGAAGGGCGAAGACGGCTGCAACAATGACGAACCGTGACGGGCGGCGGGGCGGTGGATTGCGAGTAGTCCACGGCGCCTGTGCAACGGTGGCGGCGGTCCGGTGTTTTCGTTTTGACGTGCGAGTTGAATTTTTTCCCTCTCTTTGTCACCCTCCCTCGACCAAACCGCTATTCGTTTTCGGACCGCGCGCGAGTTTTCGGAACCCCTGGGCATCCACTGCCCGCATTTTCGCCAAGGTTCCACGATCGGTGGGCCGAGGTGGGGGTTTTGCCCGCTGCCGCGTACTCCGCCGCCCGTTCAGTGATTTTCGCACGCGGAGATTTCTCGTCGTCGTCATTATTTATTGCGCGACGAAAGAATCGGCAGTGGCGTCGTGTGCGAACCACCGAAACGGGCGGACTACTCTATCCACAATCAGTGGCGTGCCGTCAGTTCTTTCAGAGTAGGTACACTAGTAGAACATTCTGCACCCAACAACGGTATTGCATGTGTTTTTGTGTAGGGAAACAGATATCAATTATACAAAAATTAAACATTTAAATTACCAAAATTAAAAGTGGGAGTGGGGATATTGTGCTCGGTATCTGATCATTTAGGCGAATCGTTTTTATTTCGGCGAAACTGTTTATTTATTTAGAGCGAAAGTATTAGGAAAAAGGACCGAAACTGCAGGGGACGGGTATGCCGTTGTTGTGGGCGGCACGTTGGGAAGGCAGAGAATACATAAAGTTATTTGATTGTTGTTTGTACGCAACGATAAACCATTTGGAGCGAAGTTCGGTATGGCATATTTGGAAATGTGTTTTCAGAATAAATGGCGGACAAATCGACAAATAAGTAAAGAAAAAAATTATCCGGTGTAAACGTCACAATGCAAATTATTACGATAACGTTCGGCCGAACCCCGATATTACTATTAGGATTTGTATTGGTAGTATATTATTTGCGGAGATTATGAAACGTAAAAGACGGCGAGTTTGACACACAGATGTACACGGATAATATTGTCGGACTTTTGCTCGTTCAATGACGTCTAGACGTTTAGTCGAACCGTAATAACCGCGATACGTGTGTAAATGGTCGAAATCAAATCGAACATTTTACAATTTTAAATAAAAAGTTTGGTAATCTTTTACCTGACTTCATATCGCATGACTTTATTGACTCGTATAGACTCTGCATACTCGTATAACTCGTATTAATTATATAGACACACGTACATGTTCAGCGGCGTGCCCAGGAATTATCGACGGGAGTTGATGTAGAAAACGATAATCGTGAATAAATCATAAATTCGTCTTCTCTACCCAAATTGACCGCGGGAGTTTGGTAATTTAAAAGCCGGATCCTAATAACGGTCAATTTCTAATCGATAAGTCAAGTTTTCCCTCGTAACTTGGTTGAAATAAATGCATTTCGACATTGGATCACTCGTATTTTTTTTATTTTTTTTTGTATTTCAAATCAACGGATGGAGGATAAACCCCTAACCTCCGCTCCTCTGCGCACGTACATATTATATTGACACACATTAGCGTTTTACTCCAAATAAATAAATCGTTTCGCCGAAAGATCCATTCGTCGGAATATGTGTTCGCCAAATTATCCGTCGGCCGATACGTCCGTTCGCCAAAAACGATTCGCCAAGACGTCCTGGATCCATTTTGGGCCGTTGTAAATCGTCAGGAAATGCTGTGAAATATTCAGTTGCATACGGGTAATTACCGAAAATAAATGCTATTTATTTTGTAATACCGATGGGGTTTTATGACTGGCGCCAGAGCGCATACGAAAGTGCCTACGAGATTATAATATATTAAGAGGTAGATTTTTTTTTGATTTTTTTTTTTTTCATCTTCATAAAAACTATTCGAGAGTATATAATACGCGGCATTACAGTATGCCCGTGATTTTTCAACAGAACGTTCGGGGGTACAATATTAAGTAACGCGCACTGCACTATACGCGAACACTACTGTCTGTAATCCCAAAATCGATAAACGTGTACTGCGATATGGGCACCTATTATAATGCAGGCGTGTTTTAGCGTCGTAAACAGTTTAGCGATCATAAGTTCACGGTTCCGCCCGTTCACCCGGTTAGTGACGTTTTGTAAATTCGGTTGCCCAGGCGCAGTCGAACGTTTTAATCTCGAAAAACTGAACGACGTGTTGTTATTTTATTTGCGTCTATCGTCGCGTTTCTCGTATTGACGTCGTAATATCGTGTAATTACCTATCGGACCGAGGCTCGCAAACGCGGGAAATAATTAATTTTAAGCGTTTTTAACACGCGCTAAAAATGACGCGACAAATTGGAAAATATGGCGAATAATATTGTCCGGTAACGCAACGCGGTGTGATACGACCACGAATTAAGATACACAGGATATCGAACGAACGTGTGATGAGTGAAGCTCGAACCTTCTCACTTTTGGCAAGGCCACTAACACCATCTAACGTATTCTTTACAAACTATGTCAATATTTATTATAGAATAGATGCGCAATTTATTATGTGTCCTACTCTTCCAGTCTAAACTTAAAACTGGTTTTAGTCTGATTTGTACACCAATTTTGTCTAGCTGTCATGCCGAAACAGTGAAAAGCAGGCGGACTCGGAAAAACATTGATAAAATCATTCCGTTCGGTATACTGTATATCTTAATTCGCGGATACGACTGATACGATTTTAAAAATAACTAATTATTTATCGAAAACGATCGAAATATTGTCCGTTAAGATCGTCGATAACAACCGAATGCGTTTGAAAACCAAATCGAAATGGGCTCCGGTTCCTAATATGTTAAGGGTATTTAGGTTCCGCCGCCGGTTCTTTTAAGTCTAGTTCCAGTCTCCGCCACAGAGTAATCAATAACAATAGTAATAATAATAGTGCTTATACTTACCAATAATGCAAAGTTTACAGTTTGCATATTTTATATTGAAAAAGCATTTTTTTTCCTTTAGGTTTAATTGGTGTACCGCGGTGCCGACGAGAAAATTTGAAACCTTCGCGGAAGCGACAGCGGTCCGACAGGAAAATTCAAAAATCACCCAGAAAAAAAAAACCAGTTAATTTGTCCGACTAAATTGGCACATTGTTTTACGGAATCGGACAATGCGCGGCGGTGCAGCCGCATAGATAGCACCGGCTAGTATTTGTTCGTGGATTTCAGAAGTCTATGAGCCCTAGCAAAATCCAAAAAACCGCCCTATCGGAAATTCGATAGCGGTTACATACAGTCCTAGCATAATGTGCCTGAGCCGATTTGCCCGACCTGCTTTATTACGATATTTATAATGTTACGTTACCAGGTGCACTCGTGGAGCGTGTTATCACCGACCGCGTGTATGGTGCCGCACGGGTGTAGTCGGACGGAAAACGCTATAATTAATATCATAATGTCTGTTATTAATTTATAATCATAACAATATGTTAATTTAATACAAATTTAAAGTAGACCGGGTACGACGTTACTGTCAGATAATCGCGCCCCTGAAAATTCGACTCGAGGAAGAGGGCATATTATATTTTATAATACCGTGCTATGTTATTTAACGTACAAAATAAATCGATAACACCTAACACAAAACTAAAAATTATAATACGATTACCTATTTTAATACCATCATTTTTTTTTTTTTTCTTTCTATCTTATATGTCTATAACGGCTATAGCGGAGACCTTTTCATCGTACAATCACTGCCTGTACGTGTTTTTATGTATTTCCCGAAAAGCCATAGGAGGCGGTCCCCTAGCTCACTCACCCAACCCCTTGGCCGACCGACCGCCGTACCTGTACCGCAGAATACCGTTCCTAATAAGGGTTGGATTGTGTTAGGTTCAGAACACGATTTAAGATACCTGTACTGGTTACGCAACGAGACCCCAGAAGTGTCTTTTACTCCTAACTGATAAGAAATATATTACGGCGCGCTCTATAGTAACTGTAAAATGAACTGACGCTGTGCCGGTAAATAAATAGTGACACGAACACTAAGATATCTTAATCCGTTATGAAAGCTAGTTGTCTTTTCATAGCTCGGTGTGTAACCACTATATCTTTAATCGTGGTTCAGAGCCGTGGGAAAGGTCGTACTATTTTCCCGGTCCGGCGGATATAAACTACAGTATTAACTATTAACTAGACTAATTTACACAAGTTTTTTAAGTAGGAATTATTAACATAAAAGTAAATCATAGCGAAAATAAAACATTTGACTACAATAACAATACACTTTAGTCGTGGTAATTTGTAAACACTTTGCTCCAGTCAGGAAAATGACTTCTAAAAATGCAAGCGGATATATTTACATGTTTTTTTTTTTTTTTTATCGTCCAAACCTAAACAGTAATGCATCACGAACGAATTCAATAAAAAAAAAATATATATATATATATTAACGCGGTAGGTATATACATATTTTAAATAAATTAATTACGGTTTGCTAACGAATAGTAAATAACCAAAAACCGAAAAAAATAATATAGTTTAGCTATTTTTTTTTAATTATTATTTTAAATAAAAAATAAAAAATAAAAAATAAAAATGTATGAGCGTTACAGAATAAATAATTAAATTAACTATCGAGATTTTAATAAACC